GGTTTAGATATAGAAAATCTAGGACTATGTTTACTGTTTAGGGAAAGAGCGATGTCTAGGGTAATGTTACACTGGTGTTGTTATCGGCGACTTGGCAAGTCTTGGTTTTAAAAGAAATGTACCATTATGTACCGTCGTATTTCCATTGTTGTCTCAGAAGGTCTGTCGCTACCAACGACACAACCTTAATGGACGTTAACTCAGCCGTGAAATTAGTATTAAGCCTTTATGGTACAGGCTGGTAGATACATCAGCGGTGAAGTGGACAATTTGACTATACACTGCTGAACGGTAACATGTGTGATGACTTAAAGTTCAAGAATAAAGTGTGAGTAGTCTGATTTATGATTAGTAAGGCTGATGTTAAAGAAAAAAATATTTTTTCTCTAAAAATGTTTCACCTAGCCTGCGTTTTAGAATGAACTAACATAAAATCACATTTTGAATGAGTTTAAGCTATTATTGTTTATTTTTTTAAAGAAAACAGATGATGCCATTAACACTCAAGCATGCTAAATAAGGAGATTGGAAAGAACCTTATACAGCAGCTGGCATTGCGGCTTGCATAATTTAAAAGCCCGGAAGACGGCACGGACGGCATTTAAGTAATTAGACAAACTATCAACATTTTTTTTTATACGGGAAGTATAAAAAATATTATGGGCTATATTATTTAAGTAATTACGGTTTGATTTTTTAAACAGAATGTCGGTTTTTATTGATTCGCGTTTTCATTTAGTTTGTATTGCCCAAATCGATACGTTAACCCTTAGAGATAGGGTTAGTGGGTACATTCTTAGGGAAACAACGGTTCTCTATTGGGGTAAAGAATAGAAAACGTAATCGATGATAACGATTCAAATTATCCTGTTGCGTTGGTCGCGTTCCAGCTTGCCTTTTAACGAGAAAGTGGCCTGATTGTGTGTTAGGTTTGAGGGTGGGGCATCGTGGTCAGTGATCACTTAATGAGCATTAGCCAGATAGTTTTTGAAAAGAAGTTTAAAGGATCTCAAGGTGTTAAGAGCAACTATTAGCGAAAAAAAGTCTTTAAATTAAGATTTAAATAACTACGTTTAAATGTATTTTTAAAAACGTGCAGATTAAACCCATTAATAAACAATGATCTTCGGGCACAACATAGAAGATCAAACAAAGCCTAAGTAACATAGATAAAAAATTATGACCAAACTCCTTAGCTAGCAGTGGTTTAGTAAAAGGGCAGTGTAATGACTATTCAAACACGACATTGATGAAGTCAATAATTACACTCGTAATTATTTTCTCAATCATACGCCAAAGAAATCAATGAGTCGACATATTTAAAGAGCAAATGAGTGCATAAGCACGCAGCATCCATTGTGCACTCTAACCTGCCTATATAATGTCAATGATCAGCGTCCGCTTCCGGCTTGTCTAATACCGACTAAGCTTAGGGCAACGCAAAATTTCGCAAGACAGGGAATGCAATCTCATCAAGACACACCATACAATAAATCAACAGAAATTGTATCGACGTGAACCCCTGTGATTTCGGAGAACACAATTTTGCTTAGCTGTACCGCTGGTTAACTAACAGGTTGATTTCAAGGCATCGTTCATATAAATCATCATACGGTAAACATCTAATTCAGTAAACTGAATTCTATGTATGAAATTATAATTATAATGCTTTTTCGGCGTGTATAAATATAATCAGAGATTGTACTTCGTGCTGATTTCCCAAAGTAAAAGTGTACACAGAATGATCTGGATGAGCCGCGATGAAGCCGGTATGTGCACGTGTGTGTAGTGGCTTGAAGTGTCAGGGCGTGCCAACTCCCAAAGGGTCCGGTTGTCGAAGGAAGTGTAAGCGTGATGTGTCTCGGTATTGATTTCAACCAATGAGTGGTGAGTCCAAAACGACGCTCTGGGGACAAGGTCTAAAACTTTTTTTTTTGAGTCTTCTATATCAGGATTGCGCAATCTGCGCTGAGCAAACACGCCACAAAGAAGAGAAACACGGTCCTTCTTGAGATGTAATTGTAAGGGGGTCATCCATAAATGACGTCACACTCGTAGGGGGGTCCGTAATTTTGTGACGATGTGTGATGAGGGGGAGGGGGGATCGGATGTTTCGACGTCACACTTTTGCATTATAAAAAAGCAATTTTAGAAAACGAATTTTTAATAAATTGTAATCGGAATTGATTAAAATACTCTATTTTGACAGAGTTCAGACAAGATTTTGGAAAAATATCGATGTTTTAAGAAAAATTCAACTGCAATTTTGAGGGGGGGGGGGGTTGTAGAATGAGGTGTGACATCATTATACAATATTTTTAACATTTCTTTGTTAATGTTTTGGTTCTTAAGTATATTAAGTATTGTAAATTACTAAAAAAAATTGATGTATAAATATTGTAATAAACTATAGCTATTGGTGATTGAGAAACCAAATAATCATACAAGATGAATATTTAAATCTGACCAATGGAGAGCATGAATTTTTTTACATCAAATCAGGCTTTGGTTAATTTCTGGCTTGAACTATCATTTCTTTTAAACTAACTTTACAGATGTATGGGTATGATTAGTTGACTTGTGCTCACCATCTCACATTAAACAGGACCCCTTTCATACCTAAGGATCTATAGGGAAGATGTAGTAGAGTTCACATGTTTCTTGACTCAGTATATGAAGGGATGCTGTGGTCTAGCCACATTTAATACCCCTTTACTTTAGTCAGGTACCCATCAGAGCTGAGTGGACTCAGGGACGTCCTACAGTCTTGAGTCCAGACCGAGATCTGAACTCAAGACCTCTGGGCTAGGAATTGAGCGCTCTACCACTAACCATGCTGTTACATCCCTACACGGTTAGGGGCACCTAACTAAAAATTGCTGGCCCCAGTGTCAAAGTGCTTTCTTATCTACAGTCAACATGGTCTGTATAGAACATATGGGGCCTAGAATGGAAACTGGATAGTTTTTAGACAGGTGACCCAGGTCAACCTGATTCCACACCCTGATTTTCTAAGGAAAAAGTGGATATTTGTTAGTTTATGATGCTTATCAAAATTAATATGGTTGAGGAATGCTGTTTAAATTGAAACAAATTCTTCTATGTTGGAAATAAATCTTCACAGTAGATTCATTGGACCTAGATTTCTAGCTGAAATTTTAATGGAAAAAACAACCTTAAAAATCAACATAGCAACCCTGCTGTAAGAGCAAGCTGTTGCCAGAGGTGCAGACTGAGTCAGAAAAATCAATGTAAATACTGATAGGCTTATATGGCCTATATGTCACATACATTGTAAGCAGTGCAGTGGAGCGGAGATGCTTTGGAAGTTAGGCCTGATTCAATAAGCCAGGCGTCACACAAACTCACTGATTATTAATAGCGTGAATAAAGTTGCATCTGTTAAGTTAAGCCCAGTATTCAACACTTTAAACGTTGTCGTTAATACAAACAGAATTAACAGAAAATAAAACAGATCTATTTCACTACTTACCAGGTCATGTGCATAAAAATCAAAAATATCATAGGCACTACTAAATCATCAGATCCAATGGACCATCTCCTGCCGCACACAACTATTCCAGGCATTTTCTTGAATTTTTCTGAATTCCCACAGAAGATTAATATGTCAATAAACACATTTTAAAATGTTAAAAGCTAGACCTACATTTTAAATCAGAATCTATAGGCCTAGGGCCTACTATATCATAATCTCTACTAGACTAGCTCTAGATTCTGGACTAGATCTAGAACTCTAGGCCTGACACTGACAGCAATCAAGTTAGATTATACTGAAGACTAAGGCCTAAGGAAAGGTGGTCTGCATTTCCTGGTTACTTTTCTTTATATTTGGAGAATGCATTGCTTTGTTTGGCTTTATCAATCATTAGCAACAACCTAAGACCTACTTTATATAATATAAAATAGTCTAGACTAGTCCTAGATATTAGTAGATAGATCTATATAATATAGGGGCCTATAGATCTAGAATCTAGATTAATATAGAATAGATCTAGTTTTTAGATTCAGATCTACTGATCTAGACTAGCTAGTAGAATCTAGTAGTAAGTAAGTAGTATGCTAACAATTTGAATTAGAATTAGGCTATGGGCTATAGACTTCTACTAGACTTTTAAGTAAAATGAAAAAGTAAATATTTTATTAGGCCCTAGATCTAGATCTAGTCCTAATATTAAAATAATTTAGGCCTGGGAACAGGGCATTACCCCCCCCCCCCCCCCCCCAACTTAAGCATTTCTTTACTTAAACAATTAGTATTAAACAAAACTTGACCAACTGTAACTTGTGTAACTTTAAGACTTAAGAAATAGATCTAGACTCTAGATCAACTTAAAACGTGTTTAAACTGAGCACTCACATATATTTGCCTAATCACGCACAAAAGAATTAGTTTTGTACGCAGCTCACATCACTAGGCCTACAGCCGCAAATAAACGCGAGAGAGCGTAGGGACGGAAAAATAGGCGAGTAGATCTAACTATGAAGTGAACAGAGAATCTGATGTCATCCATTATTTGATTTTAAATAATAAAGCTCCATGTTTGTAACTCTCAAGAAAAATGAAACAACACAATCTAGAAACAAAATTATAGTTGAAATTTTCACAAAATAAGCGGCGGCTGCATCTCTAGTTCTGTTTCCGTGTGGTTCGGTTATATTTAGCCTCGAGCAAGTGGTTGTCTGCTAGCCTAGGCTACATTTCACCGTGTTGATTTCAAGGTTTATTCATTTAGGCCTATGATGTTTCCCCGTGTAAAAAGCAATGATTGGTTCCCCGAAAAAGTTCCTAATCACTTGTCCGCAGTCATTGGCTACTAAATTTAGCTGTAAGAGTCAAGGCACAGTGCAAGGGAACCAACCTACGCGAAAAATTGTAAACATCCAGCTTGTATGAGCCGGATGAAGAAATCTTCTCGGTTAAATGATACCTTTTGTGTAAGCCAATGGCGTAAGTTTTTAAATGATATTACAACCAATGAAACAAGGCTAACATTCTAACAGGAAATTCAAAAGTGTTTACAGTAACATAATGGAGGGCGAGGAGGTTAGTTTGAGTAGGCCTAATATTTTAAGAGTTAAGAGTCATTATTTGATTTGAGGTTAATTTATATGAAAATTCATTGACAATAACAAATGGATGTTCGTCTAAAGCCTCAACATAATACATACGAATTTAAAACTAATTAGATCTAGATTTGATTAGAAGAAAACCCATGACGCCGAGATGGGAGCCACCTACCCTGCTACCACTTACCACTCACTGCTACTTCAGTAGGCCTACTTCAACCTACTTGTCTGTTTTCCAATCTAGATCTAGTAACTTATAGATCTAGATTAGATCTACAATAAATCTATTATTTATCAACTAAAACTAGACTACTTGGATCTATCTAGTACTACACTTGACTTACCAGTACTTGACTTCTTATTGTAAAATTGTAGGCCTACAGCCTACAACTACACAGTTTAACAGGAAGAGTGGCAGACTGTTTCTTCTGCTAGACTTAGACTCTAGACTACTCTGAGTCTCCTAGAGTAGATTCTAGTGATTCTAGATTATAGTTCTCATCATCATTGATGACTGATATGGCACATTGACTGTGACTTCAGCCTGCTTTTCTTTCTGGATTTGCTGGCTTACAATGGGCGCAAAGGCCTTTTTCCACCCAAGAACAATCTGCATGACAGCTGTTTTAGAGCTTTTCTCCTAGAAGGGTTTCTGTCCCCAGTTATTTCATTTGGCCAATTCTAGCCGGAAAAAGATACGGATGCGCAATGGAGAGAAACTACGACTTGCCTTCCCGGCAATGTTTTCGATGGTACTGCGCATGTGTGTGTTTACAACCGCAAAATCCTAATCCTAGCCCTAACCTTAGCCATAACCCTAGCCCAGCTATACGGTCACTGTGTATGCGCTGAACTGAACTATCTTTGGCCAACCAAGTGGAGACGCTGGGGCGAAAAATCTTTTTCCGAGTAGTCACTTCGATTTCATTTTGCCAGCTAATGGAGCTTCATCTGCATGAGGGTCTGGGCTACATAGCACTAGTTGGGGCGGTCCTATGATTTTTATCTCATGTTTCATCTTTCTTATAGCTACTTAGATCTATATAATACATTTTAATAAAACATTTTATTTCTAACAGAGGAAACCTTTATCTACCAGAAGCAATACTAGCAAACTGCCACTGCCAGGTTCTCGCTTAAAGAGGGCCCGTAGTCCAGATAATGAGGTACATGCTGTCATTTTAATTATGATATTTAATTTCTTATTGTTGTTTTAAATTAAAATATTACACTACTTAATGAGTATTTAAAATATAATTCAGAACCATTACAGTTCCAGTATGCATCATAGAAATAGTTTGCTGTTAAAATGTAGGCTACATATCTAGTAATCTGGCATTCATTGTGGATTTTTTTTTTTTTCAGCCAGTTCTTTCTGGAAAAAAATCACGTATTGATAATGGCCCCAGTCAAAATTTACTCAATTCTAGCACCAGATCAATTTCTGCTTCTTCACTTTCTTCTGTATCAACAACCACATCTAGAATTAAAAAGACAGGATCTACTTCTAATTTAATGAAAAAACCTATTGGTGGCCCTATCACAAGTCGCAATATTCAAACAGTTGTACAGAAAAATAGAGCACAATCAAAAACTGTGTCGAGTACTGTGGCAAGGCCAAGTAAGTTACTCGTTCAATGTTTGTTTTTTTCACTCAGAAAAGAGTTATTTATTTTTTTAAATTGTGTTGTTAATCAACTTGATTCACTTTCCTGAAACTTGCTACAGGATAGTTTTTGTGTTGATAGAAGCAATCGAAAGAAAAGTAGATAAAATACTTTCTGGGGTGGGATCTCTTAAAAATCAGAATTATTTTGCTAAACAAAGACTACTGTTGCTAATATTAATGATAAGATATTTTTTACTCTAGGAACAGCCCAGTCTGTTGTAGCTGTAAAATCTAATACAGCAAACAACAACCTAGACTCGACAGTTGTTAGCACAGGTAAGGATGTATGATATGAATGTGTTTGTGGTGTTACGTTTAGTCGTGAATTAACATCAAGCTGCCATTATGTTTCTGAATTTTAAATATAATTTACAAACATTCGTACATATACAGGTGCTCCAAAGAAACGACCAGCATGGGACCTGAAAGGACGTCTCCAGGATATGGAAAATCATCTACAGCGTCAAGCAAAAGACAGCACTTCTTTGCAGGTATTACTCACTTAATTACTTTTTAGGCTTTTTTTTTTTATTTTTAATGAATTGATTTGATAATATAATTGACAAATAATTTATTAATATCTTGATGTGTTTCAGGGTCAGCTTTCTCAGTACAATGATCGTATAGCACAGCTGGAGTCCATAAATCAGAAATTGAGTGGAGATGTAGTTGAGAAGCAAGTTGCCAGTGAAACAGCTTTCAAAGATATACAAGATCTCAGGAACAAACTGAGGTTTGTCTTTTCATGAAGCAGGTCTATTGCACACTGTTTTGGTTAGTTATTTTAATACATGATAATTAACTTTTTACATTTTTTACTTGTTACCTAATCATTTTTCTATATTTACATTTGAGAAGGGGAAGAAAAATTACCTCTTTTTTTTTAAATCTCATACTTAGTCAAGCTGAACAGGAATTTGAAGTAACCAAAAGAAAACTGAAAAGGGAAATAGAGGATTTAGAGTTCCAAAAGTCATCATTGGAAAGACAAAAGTCTACTTTAGAAGGTGAACTTGCTGCATCAATAAAAGAACTTGGTGCTCTAAAGTGCACTTTGGCAGAACTGACTGCCTCTCAAGCCACATTAAGAGCAGAGTTTGATCACACCAAGGTAAATCATTAATAATCCACTCATTAGCTACATTAGTTTAAAATTATCTTCAGGAATGATTACATAATTAATAAATAAGTATTTAATCAAATACAAACATGTTTTTCAATACAGTACCTAGTTATACTTAATCTATGCCGATTATTTTTAAAAAATTCACTGTGTCTGTTTTAAAAGATTTCAGACTGCACAACACTTGCAAAAGTTGTTATCTTTAGTTTTATTTCATTTTTACAGCTCCAACTTGACAATGCATTTAGAGATATAAGTGATCGCAATGCAACAATTGCTGAAAAGTCAGAAGTGATTCGCTTAAAAGAACAAGCAATTGAAGTTTACCAACAAAAGGAGAGAGATCATGAGACTGAGAGGAGGAAACTGCACAACACTATTCAAGAGCTCAAAGTAAGTTCTGGGTTGTTGTTTTCTTTTTTTAACGATTTGTTCTTAACCTTCATAGTGGGTCATAGAGGAATATTAAATTGTTCCCTTGTTTAGAGATGCCTGTTTCTTTATATTATTTATATTTTAATTTGAAAAATTTTATGGGTGGAAGCTTCTTTTTTTTCACTGTTTCTGATATTGATCTCAAGCTAGTTCTTTATATCTAATACTTATAATTGTGAATGAGCAAATGGTATATAGCATTTTTATTTTACGCCATTTCAAATTGTCTTTTTAGGGCAACATTCGGGTGTTTTGTAGAGTACGGCCGCTGCTTGGGGACGAACAACTTGGCAACAATGGCATCATTAGTCACATGAACTTTCCTGATATGGATAAAAAAATGTTAGAACTCGAAAAATTGTCAGATATTTCTGTTAATGAGGTTAGTACATGGTATTGTACCTCAGACATTGTCACATTAACTACTATATTAGTGTAGTAAATATATAGAGAATGTACTGTATTTTTTGTATTATAGAGTGTACTGAATTCTACAAGAAATGGGAAAGGGGCAAGCAAATATGAGTTCTCATTTGATAAAGTTTTCCAACCAGAAACCTCACAAGCTGAAGTGTTTGAAGAAATATCACAATTGGTGCAGGTTGGTGGAACAACAAAATGACCTACTTTTTTTTTTTAAATTCAATTAATTATGCATAAATTATATGGTGACAATAATGATATAATGAAATACTGCAGCTGCCAGTGAACTATCATTAATATAAGGATTACATGTTAACCCTTTTAAAATCTTGCAGAGTGCTTTAGATGGCTACAATGTGTGCATATTTGCCTATGGCCAGACAGGATCTGGCAAAACATTCACCATGGAAGGATCACTCAATGATGAGTCTAAGCTGGGCATGATCCCTAGAACTGTGCAACAGATATTCACTACATGTAATGACCTGGTTAAGAAAGGATGGAGTGTGAGTATTCATTCTAAATCCTTTATTTGTTTTTTATGTTTATTTAAATGATACACTGTGCTAAACCATAAAACATTGATTTCCCATGACATCCACTACATTCAATGATTCAGCATAACTAACGATACATCCATTCATTTTGGCCTGCCTCTAATACACTTTTATATTGATGTTTTTAAAATTTGGCATTTAAATGGCAGAAAGAACATAACATTTCTGAATGTATACATAGACATATGACTACTGCTGTAAATACCCTCATTTTAACTTTCCAATATCTTTTCCCCCTCAGTATGTGATTCAAGTTTCCATGTTGGAAATCTACAATGAAACCATAAGAGATTTACTTGGTAAAGGAAAAGATGAGAAACTAGAAATCAAGTTACAAGGAAAGGGTGAAACAGATGTTTTTATCCCGAACTTGACTATAGTAGAAGTCAAATCTGAGGACAAGGTTGGTCACTCTATTACATCCCTTCTTTCTCTTTTTGACATACCATAATTATTTGAAATTACCTGAACAATAGTTATCTGCTAGAATAAAAAATTAAAAACTACTTTATGTAGAATTTGTACTCATGTGGAATAATAGTATTGAAAAGTTTGTTTTAGTTAATCTTTCATGCTTTTTTTAATATTGACCTAGGTTATGAAGCTTCTAATGAAAGCCTCCGAAAATAGAGCAGTTGCTGAAACTAAATGCAATGAAAGATCGTCGCGAAGTCACTCAGTGTTTCAGCTCAGATTAACTGGCACAAATAGCATTACAGGCGAATCTTGTAAAGGTTAGTTTACTTCATATTAAATCATTTTTAGGTTTAGTGTCCTATGCAAGCATTGTAACATGCAACATTTTAAAATGGTTGGTGTTAGTGAAAGTAAGGTCCAATAAATCTGTTACTGTTTTAGGTATGCTGAATTTGGTTGACCTTGCTGGAAGTGAAAGAATTAAAGATTCTGGTTCTGAGGGTCAAAGGTTGACTGAAGCACAGGCAATCAACAAGAGTCTTAGTAACCTTGGCAATGTTATAATGGCCTTAGGGAATAAGGTGAGATAATGTAACAGTCTAACTAATTCTCAGTCTTGTGCCTTAGGGTACATTGACCTGACGTTGCATAAAACATAATATTGACCGTTCTTAAAACTAACTTTTCTTTCTTTTAACAATTACTCATTATTATTGTTTCTATAGGACTAAAATGTTTTATTCTGTTTCTATTGTACCCCAGTTGTTTTTTTAAATCTAGTTTTTTTAACAGAGGCAACTACTAGTACTAGTATCATTATTCTTGCCCTAATCCCTTTCAGCCATACAGAGAAGGAAAAGTAGTTGATTTAACTACCTGCTTTATTATGTCCTATCTGGTGCAATTTAATATCTTACATTTAAAGTAATTACTGCTTTTTGTTGACATAGCCTATACATTTTCCATCCCTGCAGGACAAACATATCCCATATCGCAACTCGAAGTTGACTTACTTGTTACAAAACTCCCTTGGTGGTAACAGCAAAACCCTGATGTTTGTCAACGTCTCTCCTAAAGAAGAATGCTTTGCAGAAACTCTTAACTCATTGCGGTTTGCTACTAAGGTACTTATATTTTAACTTTATTTGAAAAACATTAATTAGGGGGGGGGGGGGGACGACAACTACTCTTGCTAATACATAATTTTTAGTTAACTGGATCATTTATTAAAACAAAATAAAACCAAATTGGTCTGTTGTGGCTAATCTATAACATGCAGCGATAATGTAACTTGTCAGATTTGTTTTGCTTTACTGAAATTATTTTTCTTCTCACATTGAGTAAGTGTTCTGTTTTTTGGGTGAGCTAATTAACAGTAGTTTAAAAATTTGATAAAAGATCTACATTTGTATCAATATTTTTTTCTTAGGTCAACCAATGTAATATAGGAACAGCACAGAAAAGAAAGTAAAGGAGAAAATGATCTCACCAGTACTGTTTTGAGGCAGCTTACAAATGTTATGATGCTGTATAGAGTTAATGAAATGATTACATTGGTTGTCAGTGTATTTTTTAAAACAAAACTAAAGATGCATTACACTCTAACTGAAATCTGTATATAGTATATTCTGTCCATAGGTTTTAAGTGTATTGACAGAACATGTAAGATATGACTGTTATGTTTAAGCACAGTAATAACTATGATACTGTAAAGTATTTTAGTTAAGATTTTCATAGTCGGACCACCCTGTGTCCATTATTAATTAGCTTATATTGTTTTAAAATTTTAAAATAATTTATATCCATGATGTATTATATTCTGCTTTAGTCACCAAATTTTGAGCAAAAAGAAAAATCAAACTGGTGCTTTATATTTAGTACATTTGAATAAATGATGTGTATGATAAAATATTTACTCAATAATAGTGATAAAAATAAACAAAACCTTATTTGCTGAATCACATATTAATATACTTTACTACTTATTTCATATCCATTTCATGTATGAGTGTTGGTTTTTAATGTTGTATTTTTATCGGACAAGCATTTAACAGCAATTCAATGTACATATGTATATAAACATTGTTCTCACTGTCTCTGCAGACTTGTTCTCTATTACTTTCTTTCACACTTCTTCTAATCTTACATATGACAGTCATGTGACCTTCAGGATTATCATAAACATCCATTAATGTAATCATTATTTTCTATATGACATTTATTATAATATACATTAGGCATTTTCAAAAGAAAGATTTTACTTTAATTAGGAATAGGATTACATTTCATTTTGAAAAATCTGGCAGTTTTAAGGAAGTAATTGACATTCAACTCGAATATTATTTGATTCATATTGTTAGTAGTATATTTAGGTAATTTCATATTTTAAACTTTGGAAACAAAAATGGTGTATGGTATAGACCTGAAACTATTGCATTAAAATTTAGAATATTAACTTTTTTGCCTTGATTATTTTAATGATAGTACTTTCACACCAAGCCAGTCAATCATTTATAGTTACAAAATCTATGGCTTCAACCCACATACAAAAAACTTCTTGAATTTGTTTTCTTCTATATTAAACTAAACACAAATCAGCTTTGATAAAATAAATGTTTATTTAAAAAGTAAATGAACACATCTCAAATTAAATGAATAAGCTTTGTTATCCTACAATAACTGGAGGATAGGTGGTATCAGAAGGCTGCTCAGATAAGGCACTCACATCATTGACTGGTATCTTAAATATTCTAAAATTGATTCCTTGAGCTCCTGAAATATCTAAAGTTCCTGCGTGAAAGAGCTGTGCTCTGGCACTGACAAAATACAGGGAGCCAACACCTTGGTTGTTAGTGGCGCCACTCAGGGCTATTCCATCTGGCCACTGGATGGTCTCCGAGTTCTGGATGAGTTGTCTTTCTGTTTGAAGTTTTAACTCCCCTTCACTCACGCCCTGGCTGACTGCATCTTTTACTGCATCCCATCTGGTGAAAGTTTAATGCACTGGTAAAAAAATCTTGTTTTGATATGGGATGTTTCCCTTTCAATTGCCCATATGCAATAGCAGCAGTTTTTTCTTTAAAATAAACAATAACTAGACACATTTCAAATTTTGCAAAATAAATAAATATATATAGTCATACCCATACCAATAATTTTTTTTTTAAAATGGCTATAGTGCTGGTTGTACTTTAATTTGTTTGTCTAATGCTATATTTGCATAGTCTAAATTTTTTATGAAGATATAATAGTCTATAGAGCAGAAAGAGTTAATCTGTTGGTATGACCACTGCATGTATTGCACAAACAGCACATTCTCTTTCCCTCCCATAATTATTGTATTCTCTAAACCTATAACACTAATTAAGGCAGCTATTTACATTTCATTATGTTAAATGGAATGTAAACAAAATCTTAACTCACACATAAACTGCATTCTTGGAGAGTGCTCCATAGTACAGCCCTTGTTTACCAAAAACCATAGCATCAGAGTTGTCCACCTTGCTACCAACAGTGCGAACATGATCGAGAAAATTTGCATTTTTATTTCTTAAGACCCATGTCGGAATCTGCCACAATTTTTTGGAACCAAGAGCAGAGTAATAGACGTAGTTGAAGGAAGGTGAAATAGCAATGCCATTGATACCAAAAGGCCACTGGTATAAGACGCCATTAATTGTTATGTTGCTGCGAAGGGGTGAAAAAGGTTTGGAGAAAATAGCTTCATAACAAAAATAAAAGTGATTTCATAATATTCTTTTATAATACTAGTATTCATGTTTTGTTTAGTAATACCTGTCTTCATCAGCTGACATTGAAATATCGTTAAAGCTCCATGTTTCATTAGTAGAGAAATCAAAAACAACAATCTGTTCAGCTGAAAGATGGGTTAGAATAAATCATAACAGTAGGGATTAACAGGGGGATAACTCCTTTAAAAAGTAATATAGGAAAATGTTTTAACTAATTATTTTCTTTATTACAGATTTAGCAGAAGGTTGTACAACAAATATAATATAAATAAATAATCCCTCAACCCTTATTGGTGCACCACAGATTTGTGCAGTGTTTTAGGGCAAAGTTTTGCATAGAGGGCACCCTCCCATTTCCATGCCTGACCACAGCCAGGTGCCTCTATCTAGGTGGCTATGTCGTGCTTACCTTTTGTATCTGAGATATAAGCATATCTAACACCTGTAACAACATAATCCAGCAGTGTCATACTTACCTTTTGTATCTGAGATATAAGCATATCTAACCCCTGTAGGATGGTCAAGATCAACATAGTCCAGCACTATATCATTCAGGAAGTTGGTGCTGCGTGAGACCACTGAATCTGGGAACTCGTGGCTCCTGACCAGAAGACCACCAGCTCTGGTATTGAAGACCACCAACTTAGGTGGACATAGATTTGATGGGTGGTCAGATGTTACGCCCACTCTCCCAACATCTATCACATAGAGATACCCTGTCCTAGAAAATAAAGAACCAAATATTTTGTCAAATTAATGGGTTTTCATGTAGGGCAGTGCAGTATCACACTTAGCTAATGTTTCTGTTTTGATTTAAAACGTGTGCCTTTAAATCTACATGATATTAATGATTGTAGCTTTAGAAACTTTTTGTTTGATTATGTATAATTTTACACACATTAATGAAACAAATATTATTTTTATACTAAATAACTTTGAGGCCTGCAGTACTTTACTTATGTGATTTGTAAGATTAAAATCAAATTCATTTGGAAATAAGCGTACTCATAATAAAAAAAAAATAATTAAATTTTAAAAAAAGCACACAAAAAGAAGCTAAGTCCAAAACTACTTATTTAACTAACTCTATTCCCTCCCTAAAAATGTATACAGGCTCATGATTTACTATTAACTATTATGACATGATTTTAGCACTCACTCACTCACTTCTTGGAATTATTGCACCCAACAAAAGCACAGTTGGCCTGGGTCAATAGCAATGCTCAAAAATTGCAGTTTCCTGACATTTTTGTAGCCACATTATTTATGAGTCTAATAATATCATTGACCCAACAAAAGCAGCAGAATTGACCTCTGTGAAAGTTATCTCACCTGGGGTCAATAGCTATGCTCATGGGCAGCTGAAGGGCATTGCAGTCTCCCAGCTTGTTGGTCTCCCAGTCAGGGAAAGGGCGCAGGATGCCAGTTTTGGAGTCAGGGGATAGGTGTTCCACTGTGTTCAGGCCTGAAGGAACCCCTAGAGAAAACCAGGTGATAATCAGACTGATGTGCCTACTCATTAAAACCGAATTCCATTAGAAAACAAGGGGCGGAAGTTTAAATGTCAAGTATGTCTATTTAAGAAATAGTCATTTATCATTTGTGAAATAAGGCTTAAAATAAGCTGTGAGGTAAAGCTTTATTAAATGCTGATTTATCATATTTATTTATATGGGTTGAAAACATAGCTTTGATATAGAAGGGAAATGCCTAGCTCTTTCTTTCAACTCAATTGACATCCTAAAGATGCACTGAAACTCGTAGCAGAAGAAAAAATCTCGATATTACTACACTAAAACTATCTATTTATTGTTGATTCAATTAAAGGGAGGAAACTTTAACCAAAAGAAAGAATGGCTGTGCTAGTAGTGTACTTTAATTAAATATTCATACATTTTTAAAATATGGATGGCACTGTCTAAAAAACATATGAACATCAATAATTTATTTTATCGAATTAATTATATTATAGGCCTATACTTTAGAGGCAAAACTGTGATGACGGCAATAAATGTGTTGTTGAATATATGGGAGATAACCCAAGTAACCACCCTTCATTGCACCTTATCAGTCTATGCTTCTGTACGTGCGTGTGTGCAGGATGGTTGTCGAATGTGAAATTAATTAAAACAATCACATTACCCATTTACTATTTCTTGAATTATTACTAAAGGGAGGCAATCTAAACAATTTACCTACCTTTTGCTTCCTTTAGTCTGGGCGCTGTAACAAAGACTTTGGTTTGGCTGTTGAAATCGTCGACCTGTATAGCAGACAGGTGACACAGCTTGGGATCGTAATCCCCTCGAGCTATGTATTCGTCTCGCATGCTGGTGTTCGGCCATACCCAGTCGATCGTAAGAAATTCAAACTCAACCTCACATCTGACCACCACGGTCTGTAGTAGAATCGTCCCCAGTAACACGGACAACAACATTGTCATTATCTCCCTTTAGTGAAGTTGTTTCTTTTTAAAAGGTGGTCACGAAGTCGTGGTATAGGAAGAAATAAAAATGTATTTATTAGTTTTTTATGCTAGTGGTTTATCAAATTGCATTGTCTGCCAAGCACTAAGTTAAATACTTGAGAAAAACAAAATAGAGCATGCTGCATTGAATCTATTAAGATCTATTGCTGAGCGTTATTTTAAAGTTGAGTTTTTAGCATTAAAATGTCTGGCTTTGATCTTCTATCGTTGATGGTAGATGCGTGCAACTTTACTATCCCATCATTCAATCAAGCACATTGTCTAATATTACCCCAGCATTTGTATCTATTACAAAGAATGGTTATAGCCTATATCTTTGTTATAAAGCAGTTTTAAATCAACATTGCTTGAGGCACTGAACAATTCTACCTACCTGTGCTGAATTAACTTCTAGGACTTAATAAGTGGATTTTCCCACATCTTGGTGTTTATGTTCTTTTATTTAATATTTTTATCTTATCTTTGTTTAATTTAGCTTAGTAATATTCACAAAACAATTTTCTTATCACTTGCTTTTTAAAAAAAAAACAACACCGGAAAATGGCATGGTGGTTCTCATGTTGGGACAGTCCGTATCTTAAACTTAAACGTCATAAATTTTAAAATGTTCACATTATTAGAACGACTTCCATCATGTATTAGATTTTTGGAATTTATAATGGTAGCTATTGTATTCAATGCCCCAGAAAATAAATTTTAAAATGTGATTAATAGAAATATTTCTTAGTGCAGTTCGCGGCACCAATGCTGCGCTAATGCTCTGAAGTGCTGCAGTTGGCGACCCATACTCCAGCAGGACAGATAACTCTGGAGAGCTGTGGTTGGTGGCCCAAACTCCAGCAGGACAGAGAACTCCGGAGAGTTGTAGTTGGCGACCCATACTCCAGCAGGACAGATAACTCTGGGGAGCTGCCGAGAAACGCATAATCCAGTTTTCAACTGAAAGTCACTGCTACCACTGCGTGAACGATGTCAAGTACGTTCATAACGTGAGAACCGTTTGAAGGTGACAAAGTGATTGTATCCCTTTTTGCTTCGTCATCCACAGCCTGAAGTGACTTAACAGTTTTAAGAGCGCTTCAACAACACTGATCCAGCTAATCAACAGCTCTCACTAGTCTTTCACTAAATGTGTATTAGAGTCAAATCATCCATGTACAGTTACCCTTCCAGACTTAAAGATCCTTGGGGTAGGTGAAGTAGATTTCATGTGTTTCTTAACCTCGGCAGAAGAAGTGATGTGTTCAGAACTAAGCCCAGACAACAAAAAAACATCCTTGTTAATCTAAATGTCAACCTTCCTCTCCCCCCCCCTCCCCCCATAAAGCTACAACTACAATGATTGATTTAATTTCTGTTGTCTTCCTCAAAAGCCGGGAGGGGAGAGGGGAAATGTTGGTTCATACTTTTGACCTGCATGATATAATGCTCTCTTCATAAGCTGAAATGAATAGCAGTCGTTCAGTTGCAGACACCTTGAAGATTTGTGTAAGGCACATCAGGGGAGATAATTTAAATAACAACAAACAAACATGTTACAACTTGATTGCTGCCAATATTTAATGGCATATATTTTGATTAATATGATTAGCAAAATAAGATGACGAAATCTTTTTACTAAGTTTACATATTATTTATTAGTACATTCATGATTGTATTCATTGGCATGATATAATTACTACAGCAATATGTACACTGTTTGATAGCTGAATTTTTTAAAAGTAGGTATTTTAATTTTATAAATATAATTTCAAGATATTTTTAAAAGTTGTGCAGCCAGATTACAGTGTATGGACAAACTTTTAAACATCAATAGATAAAAAATAAGGCACATTGTTCATCCTTATTTGAGTCAGTCTGTGTATACCACACTGTACTTAATTCAGTTTGACCTTTATTTTAAAACAATGAAGTGCACCATTTAATCCAAACCAACATTTTAAAACTTATGTTCTGAAGATCACAACATTTTAAAACTTATGTTCTGAAGATCACATTCCTTGTTTTTACTTTATGGGATTTTGTTACGGCTATTTCAATCCTTTAATAATTAAATTTGATTGTTAAAAATCACAATAAAATTACCACTACACTTCATTTGTATTTAAAAGTAAATAAAGTCTACAACTATTAACATTAGAAACTACACATTATACTTACTACAAGATTAAAATAGTTTTAAAAATAAAAATAGCATTTAAAGAAAATGATATGTTACATAGTTACAAAAGAGTGCTATCTACAATATCACAGATTTTTATTTTGTTTTTTGTTCTTACTATAGTACAACAAAACACTGTCTCATAACTTAAATGTAAAGGCTAAGCAATAAAGATGAGTAAAATCACTACCAGTTTTATATCTCATTATGTAATAAAAATGTAATTCTGACTTTGATAATTCAATATCTACACCTCACCAACACACTTATATTTTTTACATTTTAAAATCTTACTATTAAGCTGGCATTAACAAACACAGAATTATCTTCTTCTTTCAAATTCTTTGTGGATCCACTCAGAGTCTTCATAAAAATGTGGCTCGCCTAGTTTCAATGCTGTTCTTTTGTAGAAATAATAATAAAACACAGCAGCTGGAGAAGAAAGCAGAGAAATTTCGACATTACTAAATAGACATTAATGCACAGGTAACAATATGCACTTCCAATCACATAATTTCTTTATAAAATTACACAAGATGAGACTTACCTATCCTTTGGAAAGCAAAAAGAACATGATAGCCACTGTTACCCCAAATGTAGTAGTTTACATTGGACCAACGCAAATTCTGTAAGATAAATATTTCTGATTATAGTATAAGATAAAGTTAATATCTTTAAAGTTAAACTGTGTTTGTTGTTTTTAATTATTTCCTAACATTAAGTATTTAAGAAAATCAAGTAAACACACATTCTTTTTCATTCTCATATTAATTCTTCAAGCAAACACACACACAAATACTCACCATCGTCCATACATGAAGAGCAACACAAAGTGCAAAGTAAATAAAGGTAACTGTGATTGGTACTTTGAATTTTGACACTAGAATGTTCACAAGTCCAGCTTGGAAAATGAAGGTAGAAAAGAACAGCAAAAATATGACAATTACTGCAAAAATCAGACAGAAGTCTTGAATTCTGAAAAGAATAAAAAAAGTTTTAAATATAAGAGTGTAGAAGGATCATACATAAATTTTACAACACCAAAATAGGACATTTTTACCCGTCACATTACATAAATATTTCATGGACTACCTCAGTGTAGTGGTGTAGAGTACAAATTACAAAGGCTGGATGGGGAAGACAGAAGTTAGGACAGAGAGGATGTTGACATCCCTATGGGAATGTCCACCACTGTCATCAGGAAATTTTTAAAATGTAATTAAACATTATAAAAATAAAAGATAAAATTACTACAAACTTACAGAGATTTAAAAAATAAAAAAAGAAGTATGTCACTTACACATATAACACTAAGAGTATAACATTCTGAAATCGTAATAACTCTGTGAATGAATTCATAAAAATGTCTATCAGAAGAAGAAGATACTGCAGCAATAATATAGGTCTGTATCTTCCCACAAGCATCATTTTCAGTCCGTGCTGATTCTTTCACTGAGGCTACAACATCAACTAAATAGAAAAATGTGTATATTAGTGTATAGGCCTATAGATCTAATACATAACTATAAAATTTCAGAGTAAAGGTATAAAATGTACACAAAAATTTGGAAACGTAGATTATATCATTGTAGAAACAGCTGACATTTTAGATTTTGTTTAGAAGAATCAGAGTTTAACATATAGGCCAATGGTTACTCATAACACTGCTATTAAAACTAGCCTGCAACTTTGTGTGTTGTGGTGAAAATTAAAAACTTTGTAAGTTTGAAAAAGGGGAAATATTAACCCAATTATTACTAATTATTAATCAAGATGCTACATTATAATAACATACAGAGTCAAGTACACTATATAAATATGTGATTATAGCTATGGGGTAGTCCATAATTGACGTCACACTCGTAGGGGGGAGGGGGGGTCCGTAATTTTGTGAGTGTGTGATGAGGGGAAGGGGGGGTTCAGATGGTGCGACGTCACACTTGTGCATTATAAAAAAGTAATGTTAGAAAACAAATTTTAGACGTTATTTTGCGTTTTAGAAAACTGTTTTAATAAATTGTAATAGGAATGGATTAAAATACTCTATTTTGACAGAGTTCAGACAAGATTTTGGAAAAATATCGATGTTTAAAAAAAATTCAACTGCGATTTTGAGGGGGGTTGTAGGCTGAGGTGTGATGTCATTTTATGGGGGGGTCTGGCTTTTTGTGACGATGTGTGATGGAGGGGAGGGGGTAAAAAATCATCAAAAAAGCGTGACATCATTTATGGATGACCCCTATACAATGAGTATACTGCACTCAATACTCAATGCCAATGAGTGGCTACTCTCACCATGTGACAATGACCCTGTGCCTGTAGTGTGTAGTTTGAAATCTGAATATAGTTCAATATAGTAGGCCTATGTTCAAATTAACTATAAAACTAGATCTATATACTTAAGCCTACAGTGAAACAGTCATTATATGATCAATGCCGCAAGTGCTAAGTTTGCTGAGCCTCTGCTAGCGGTTGCTGCTTCACGCGAATCACGGATTTGATTATCACACTCACAGTGCTGAGTGCCAGATTCTAAGATTTTTACAAATATTAGGCTTATATTAAAAACCAGACGGAAAATTAGTCTAGTAGAGATCCAATTGTTTCAAATGGAAATGAAAATGCGGACACTTGGGTCCTAAAAGTTTCACATTATTCATTTGGTCAAACAGAAATTTGCTTTAATGTTCGTATAACAAGTAGCTTCCTGTCGCCATAATGTTTACTATCGTTACATGATTTGAAATCTCGCGTCGGACGATGCTTTAGTAGATCTAGATTCTAGATCTAGTTCCTAATATAATGAACCCATTAAAATCAATGTAATTATTATTTTCTATATCGTTGTTTTGATTTTAAGGTCTATTTAGATAATAATTAGATTTTAATCTATAAATTCAAATCAAAGAAACAGCTTTAAAATATTATTTTGCTTGTATTTTGTATTTTGCACAAATATGCCATGTTGGCAAAATTAAATTAAAATGTATAAGGGAGGCCTATCTTTTTTTAATTTTAGTGTAAGCTTGTTGTGGATGGATTATATTTTCTAAACAAAAAAAAACAAACTGCTAAAAACATATTATAGAAATTTCCTTTTGCAAATCTTATCAAAGCGTTAAAATATTACGTTTCTATTATGGGGTCGTCCATAAATGACGTCACATTCGTCGGGGGGGGGGCCGTAATTTTGTGACTATGTGTGATAAAGGGGATGGGGGGGGGGGGGGGTCAGATGGTGTGACGTCACACTTGTGCAATATAAAAAAGCAATGTTAGAAAACGAATTTCAGCCGTTATTTCGCGTTTTAGAAAACTGAATTAATAAATTGTAATTAGAATTTATTAAAATACTCTATGTTGACAGAGTTCAGACAAGATTTTGGAAAAAATATCGTGTTTTAAGAAAAATTCAACTGCAATTTTGAGGGGGGGGGGGGGGGTGTAGTCTGAGTTGTGACGTTATTTTAGGGGGGGGGGTCTGGCTTTTTGTGACGATGTGTGACGGAGGGGAGGGGAAGGTAAAAATTGTCCAAAAAGCGTGACATCATTTATGGCAATGCACCTTTATAATGAATATAATGTTGTGTAGTAAATATAATATGTAGGCCTACTAAAGTACAATCAGACCTACAGCTGGTACTAAATAAATTGCAAAATGAAAAATTCGGCCACTTCGGTTTTGGTGAAGTATTAATGCCATTTAAATAGGCTCTGCTGAAATTTCATTAGATCTAGACCTATTAAATGTTTATCTGGCAACCCTTATCCCGCGTAAACAAGCGCGAAGTGCCCTATACAATTTGTTAATATAATACCGGTATAATGCATTTATTATAACATACATTAATCTACCTTAGAAATTCGATAAAAGCAACCATTAAGTAGTACAACATGCCTTATTATAAACTAGATCTATGTAATTTCAAGCCATTCTAGATCTTTTAGACCCCCATAGACTGTCTACACTTCTACACTACTGTACTGGAATCTGATGACTAGACTAGAAAATAAAAAAATATGACTGCAACAGTAGAATCAAGATGTCTAGAGTTAGTTAGAGTAGGCCAGTAGGCCCTTCCTAGAGAAGGCTGCATACTGCCTCAGTCTCCTTACTAACTACACACTAGTACTAGATCTAGTACACACTCTTATAAGTCTAATTATTACTAATTAGGCCTAACTCCAATCAAGTCTTAAGTCTAATCCCACAGATCTAGATCTGTAAAGTCTAGACTCTAGTTAAGAGTTTACTCAGTTTAGTTTAGTTTTTTAGACTAATTAATTAATAATTATTAATAGATCTATTCTATAGGCCTACTATATAAAATTTAAATTATCCATGCCTAATATTGCCTAACTTCAAGTAACTTCCAAGCATCATAAACTGCAATGAATAAAAAAAACAGGCCCTAATAATAAATAGGCCTCAGTCAACTAAGTGTTATATCTTTCTCTTTCGACTCTAGATCTAGATCTATAAGTCTAAGGACCAACACAACCTTGTTAAAAACTTATTAGGCCTATTTTATAATTTTAATTTAGGCCTAATTTATTTAAAACAACTTTAAACAACCAATTTACTCAGAGCTGTAAGCAAAAAAAGTCTGCAGAGCTTGCAGCGGACACCAGACTGCTACTTGAAACTTGTCCTAATTAGTAATTTCACCAATTAGCAAAATCTTTGCTTTGCTCATCAGTGCTTTTTTTAGCCTGAAATTGGCTCTCTCCTTCCCACCCTTAATTAAGTAATTAGAGTTATTTTTTAAGGCTAAAGGATTTTTTAAAACCAGTAGTATTCCAAATACAAAAAATACATTGATCATTAATATATAATATGTATCATCATAGTATTAGTTCTTGTCTTTATGTCTGTTCAAATATTTAGATTTTAGACCTTTGTTAACTAGATCCAGACTAAATAAACTTGATCTGTATTCTAGTTGAACATAGGCCTGGATCTAGATTTTAATAAGTTAAAATTATTATGATAACAATATTCTTGGTTTTAACAAGCTTTAAGAAACCTATTATGTCCTTACATGAAATTGATAAGGATAGTCTAATTAATAATAATGGTAGACTTGTTGCATCTTAATGAACTTGACAATTGCATTTGATAATATATGTGCTTTGTATTACATAATATAGAGAGGGGGGAGGTCAGTAATAATTCTATATTTATTTCTCTTTTAGATCACATGCTTGATAGACAGTTAAAATGAGTGAATTCACTATTCACCATCATGTCAGTGAGCTCATAACACTTTTAGGGTAAGCTATTTAATTGTTTTTTTGGTCTCTCTTTTTTGATTGTTTCGGGTATAGGTTTAATTTACTTTTTACTCATTGATCACAATAACTTATTTTTGCTGTGTGATTTCCACTTTCATGTATTTCACTACATGTTTTACCATTGCAGGGTGAGGTCATCAGATCCTATTGGAGAAGAAGTCTACACTGAAAAACTGCTAAAAAGTAGAACACCTTACGTTACAACCCAGGTAACACAAATTTTTAATGGCTTCTGATTTTGTAAACTCAGGTAGAGCACAGCTATTTTTATATTGATTTTTTTTTTAAACTCCAGGTTTCCTCAAGCCAAGCTAAGAAAAAAATAGCAGAATCTTCTAACACACCAATTGAGTTTTTGGCTAAATATGATGAACTGAAAGGAAAAAAGTAAGTAACGGATGTTAAGTTCCCATTTTAGTTACATTCATTTTACTGTTCTTATTCTTTTGATTTCCTAAACAAAAATGTAAATTTGAAAATTTGTTAACATTATTTAACGCTTCAAAAACCTGTTAGAGTAAAATTATCTTCACTGTTTTTCAGTGTAAGGGACCTAGATCCTTTGGTTTATCTTTTGTCCAAGCTTTGTGAAGAAAAAGAGGTAAGAGAATGCTCAAATTACAGATGGCAATCTTATCTTTATTAGTTTTCTTAATAAATTTTTACAAGTAATGTGAAGGTTGCCTTCTAATAATTTTTTCATGTGTTAAAAATTAATTTAAAAAAAATTAATAAATAGAATTTAAATGATAATGTATGTTTATAAACTATGACAATGTTACTTTCTACAATCCTAGACCAAACAGTTTCTGTCTAAGAATGCGCATGAAAAGGCGGAGCAAGAAGGGATGACATTGATGCCACACAGTAAGGTCACAGGTCAATTGCCAACTGCTGGAACTAAAATGACAGAAGAAGAACTATCAGAGGTACATTTAAAATAGTTTCAACTGAATTACAATCAAAGATAGTTTCAAAAATATATCTTAAGAAATGGAAACGTAATGTTAAACTTTGTTTCCATGCAGATAAAAGATATATTGTTAAAGCAAGCAAAAGTTGTTGAGAATCCATCTTCAGATTTCTTAACTAAGGTCATGAGGGATAAACAAATCACCAGAAAAGGTGAGATAATATTATCGTTGAAGTTAAAGTTTGTGAACGATTATTGCTGAGCAAATTGTAACCATTGACTTATCATTTCAGTCAACATTCCTCAACAGCCAGACTGGTTATTTAAACGGCCCTACCTTACTCTAGATTTTATGACTATTGGAGACTCTACTGCAAATGAAGTAAGTATTACACATAAGGTAAACTGCTATTTTAATTAATGTGTAATCAACAACCTATTGTTGAAATGTAAAGAAAAATAATTGTGCATATGTAAAATACTTATACAGAATTTTTAAAACAAAGTATTGTTTTGTATTATGAGATATATACATGAAAATCTTCGGAAGGATTAAGATTTTCATTGGGTTGGTTACACCTCTTAACTGACTATTGATTTCTAATAGGTCCCTAATTCTAATAACCTAATCAGTTCTATTAAGTTTATGCACATTTGCATTGGCTAAAATATATGGTTGTGTTTATTTATGGTAATTTTGTATTAATATTACAGAACATAGTAGCTTTGGGAACAATGCCAACACATTATCAGGAGCAAGCTGTTTTGGATGATCTTCTGTTGTTGATGAGGGTAAAAAATATAGATTGCTTTTCTATAGAAAGATTAAAATCTATTTAAGCTTTATCATTCCTCTGTAATTCATTTGCTACATCTCAATTACTATTTTAGGGTATTGATGGTAAATATGTCATTCCAAGACCCCTGGCTGAAAGTTACGCTCCCAGAGAGTTTCTTATTGATCAAAGTTTAGGTAAAGTTGATTGTAATATACTCTTGTTTATTTATTTTTTTGTCAAGAAAAGTAAATTTTGATAATAAAAAAAGGTCTTATATTGCTTTTATACATTTGTAGTGTTTAAAAATTGTAATTTCATTTTATGATAGCTCTGAAAATAGTTTTTTTTGACTTTTTGAATCATGGTTAATCTGATTTTGTTTAAAATTTCAGATGCTTCAGTTCAAGAGCTTGTAAAGAGAATTTTGCCTCTTTGTTCAAACTACTCAACTGTTGTAATGTTTATCAAAGGTTTGAATTTATTTCTGTTTAAAACCCAATTATAATACTCAAGTTATGTATTGAATTATATATTTTATACTGTTTGTGAAAGATAAAAAAAAGTTTCTCTTTTTTTATTTTATCAGAAAAATCCTCTTTTGAATATGGTCTTGTAAATCATGCACTTAGTCAGGCTATGGAGACGCTTATTAAGGTTTGCATAATTTAAGTTAATTGTATTTCAGTTTTTAAAAAAAATACTTTTTGTTTTTAATTTCAACCATGTTCAAAAAATGAGATATTTTTTAAAATGTTGAATGTTATTGTTTACAGGATTACTTGGTTTTGGTAGCACAACTTGAGCAGCAAATGAAATTGGTAAATTTTAAAAATTTAACTTTTATTTTGATTAAGATGTAATTGAAAATTTCATTTTTTTAAAATACTTTAATAAAAACTATCCTTATTATAGTTGTTATTGATGAAATCTGTTATAAATTAGTCTAAGGTTTAAAAAGTTTCCAAACTTCTTAGGGCCAGTTGACACTACAGAAATTGTGTTTTTATCTTCAACCTACCATGAGAATACTTGAGATTCTTGCATCTATTGCAAACTCCATCAATCGGGTAATTATAATATTTCTAAAGTAGTAGGGATTTGTTAAATCAAGATTGCATAAATATATATATATTTATATGTTAATACATTTGATTGCATATGAACTATTTTTTAATAGAAATAATTTTTAAAATTATTTCAATGTCAGAGTAGATTTTCATCTATAATTAGCTAACGATCTTTTACCACAAATAATTGACATGTCGCATACCATCTTGTACCAATGTTACATTACAGGGCAAGTGTATTGGTGGTGCTGTTTTGAGTTTGCTGCATGAAAAAACTGCTTCAATGATTGGGTAAAGCAGATTGAAAACTTTATTAAAATTCACATTTACATTAATAAATGGCTGCAGGGATCAGTAGTGAGTACTGCTTGATGTGTGTTACATACATTATAATTTCTATATGAATATTTTCAGAGATGGCAAGAGCTCAGAGCTATGTCTCTATTTAACCCAGACAGTGAGTATAATGTTCATTTTTTTAATCAATAAATGAAAACTGCTTTTAAAATGACAAAAAGTTTACATTAATGTTTATCATTTTTTTGTTAACATATCAATAAAGAAAAAAATATATGTAATTGATACTTTGTCTATTCAGGCATGTGTACCTTACATGGAAATAGTAGAGAAATGGATCTATAGAGGTATAATCCTTGACCCATATTCAGAGGTAGGTTGTGTCTTTTGTTTAATTCTCCTAATGTTTTACTATATAATGTTAAATGCAGTTTCCTACCAATGTATTTTTAGCTATTTAATTCTTCAGGATTCTTATTGAAACTAACCTTAGTAAAACAAAATGTAATGCGGCTACATAAACATTAAAAAAATATAGAGTGCACTGTTTATTAAATATTGTATGAAGTTGATATAATAACATGATTTTATCTAAAAAGCATAATTTAATCCACAGTGCACTTGATTTTATTTGTCTTGTATAGAATTTTTAGCTAGTAAGTTTTTGATGAGTAGCTGTTTTTCCATTTTCAGTTCCTTGTAGAAGAAAACCAGACCATAAACAAAGAGAAACTTCAAGAAGATTACAATGATGCATATCCTTAATCTTATAGTCATTTTAATGAAATAAAATAGTTTTTCGACATAGTTAATATTTTTGTAATTTATTGACATTAATTATGAAAATATTTTATACTTCCAACAAACATAAGTAAAATTAACATGCTGCTTAACTATTTCTTTACCTGCTTTTAAGATTTTCTCATTGTGATTAAGTCTAGTGATGTTTTCCTTAACTGGTTCACCTATTGGGAGAAACACTACTCAGTGTTTCAGGAGAGAATTCCAGTGTTTTTAGAGCAGGTTGCAGACAAAATTCTCAACACAGGGAAATATCTAAATGTTGTCAGACAATGTGGTTAGTATAAACTTAATTTGGACATTATGGTATAGTTTTACTAACAACAACTTTTACATGACCTGTTATTACAAAAATTTTCATTTTTTTTTAAAGTCACAATTTAAAATAATTAATTTTTTTTTTTAAATAAGGTCGAGATGTGAAGTGTCCTTTTGCTGAAGAATTAGTGTATACAGTAAAGGAAAGAAGATACTACGATCAAATAGAACGGGCCTATAGCTATGCAAGTCGCTTGTTACTGACACTTCTTTTGGAGGAAAAAGAGCTGATGGCTAGGCTAAAGTATGATTTTTCAATATTTGTTATCCATTAATTTTTCCATCAGTATTTAATTCTAGATTAGTGTTCACTTTGCATATAAGAATTATTAATATACTACTTTTAAATGAATCTCTTTTATTGGTTTTCTATTTTTATAAAAATAGGTCAATAAAGCATTACTTCCTGCTGGATAAAGGTGATTTCATCGTACAGTTTATGGACATGACAGAGGTTGAGATGAACCTTAACATTGATGATATCCTACCTTCTAGACTGGAATCACTGTTAGAGCTGGCTCTTAGAACTAGCACTGCTAATGTTGACACTTTTAAAGATGACCTAAGGTCAGTTAGCTTAGAACTAGCACTGCTAATGTACACACTTTTAAAGATGGCCTAAGGTCAGTTATCTTAGAACTAGCACTGCTAATGTACACACTTTTAAAGATGGCCTAAGGTCAGTTATCTTAGAAGTAGCACTGCTAATGTAGACACTTTTAAAGATGACCTAAGGTCAGTTAGCTTAGAACTAGCACTGCTAATGTAGACACTTTTAAAGATGACCTAAGGTCAGTTATCTTAGAACTAGCACTGCTAATGTAGACACTTTTAAAGATGACCTAAGGTCAGTTAGCTTAAACATAGAAATGCTAATGTAAATACTTGTAAAGATTATCTCTGGTAATTATTTCACACAAGCTATTCTTTAAATTTTTTAATAATGTTAATTATTGCATTAAGTGATTTCAAAAATGTTTTTTTTTTCACCTTTTATTTCAGAGTTGACCTGCTCCCATTTGATTTAACAACACAACTTTTACAGATTTTAGCTATAGACTCTAAGACAGAAAAAGGTTTGTTTTATACTCTTCTGGTTTTATCAATGTTTTAAGTGTATTGTTTTTAAAAAGTGAGGTTACCAAAGATTATGAAATTATTTTTGTGTTGATCCAAGATCTGGATCATCACTGATACATGATTTTTATGTTTAGCATGGATACAGAAAATGTTTTCTTAAACCTACTTTTCTGTTTATCCTACTGTTTCATTTCTTTAAAATCTAGTCATCAATAAAAAATAGTTAAAGATTTAATTCAAAAAAATTGTTTTTACTTTCAGAATATCGTAGAGATCCAACTGAAATTCACTTATCTGGAATAGAGTCCTTTTCTTTTGATTATGTAGTGAAATGGCCAATGTCACTTGTTTTAAGTAGAAAAGTAAGACCATGTTGTTTTTTTTTTTTTAATTTATTTGAAATTTCTTTAAAATATTTAGCAGATAATATACAGGTTTTTACTTACGAATAATTATTTTTCTTACAGGCACTTACAAGATATCAAATTCTTTTTAGACACCTTTTTTACTGTAAACACGTGGAGAGACAGCTTTGCAAGTAAGTGTTATTTTAATCAATGTTCAATGAGGCAATAATAATAAAATAAAGCCATTGACAAAAATAAATAAAAATATTTAAAAAATGTTTAAGTATTCAAGTATTAATGCATGTAAATACTTTTAATAATGTAAACAATCATTTATGATTTTCTTTTCATGCAGTGTATGGATAGGAAACAAGCAGACAAAGTTGTACACCATCAGCAGGTCACATTGTTATTCTTCCGCCTTTGCCTTGAGGCAGCGCATGCTAAATTTTATTCAGAATTTTGAGTACTACATGATGTTTGAAGTCATTGAACCAAACTGGCACACATTTCAGCAAAACATGTCTAAAGTAAGTTATAATCATGTCCTTGAATGTTGCGTTGCATGAAGTTATATTTTGATATCATGGCATAATTTTTTGCTTGTACAAGTGAACTAATTTTTCAAAAACTTGGCTACTAATTTTAAAAAAAGACCAAATCATACTAAAGCTTGTTTGTCTAGTGTCTATGAACCCGTTTCATTTTTCATGCTAAACCAGCATTAATTTAAAAATAAACTTTAATAATTTGCTATGATGGTTCTGCCATTTTAAGAACCAAAAAAAAACCTGTAATTGTGCCCTCAGGTATCTAATGTTGATGATGTTCTGGCTTTACATGGAGACTTCCTGGACTCATGCCTCAAAGACTGTATGTTGACATCTACAGAATTGTTGAGAATAGTTCATAAACTACAAGTTGTTTGTATTCTGTTTTCAAACTACCTCCAGGTAATTGTTTTAGAATTATCAGTTAACATATTTTACCAATCCATTTATTAATCTATTTATTTTTCATTCTTGATGGAGTTTTATTTTAAAATCTATTTTGATCTAAAAAGTGTATCAGATTGAAAGTTTTAAAGTGTGTTTACAGCATCTAAAGCTAATTATGAACTTTGTCTTGTTAGAGAGTTAGCCAAACTATAACTGTAGAGAGTGAAATGGAAAGACTTCGTGACAGCTCACTGCAGTCTTCCAAAAGCAATCGAGAGAGGAAGGAAGATTTCCAGATGAAAAAAACTGCAGCAAAGGTATGTTTTTTATTTGTAGTGAGAATGTTTCCAGTGATTGAATTGTTTTTTTTTTTAATTAATTAATTAATTTACTTTTGAGACAAGGTTACATTAATATTTTGATATTTTATTCTTTTTTAAAAATTGGGAAGTTGTTTCATTAAGGCTTATTTACTTTTTGGTATCAAGAAGCTCATCAAATCCTATAACAACTTGTGTAATCCAAATCTGTGCACAAAATAGTGAAGAAAAATTGTAATAACTGATTTGTTTGTTTTTTTGTAGATTGTATCTGAACATATTGACAAAGTGTTGGCAGATGCAAGTTTTGAGGAGGCCATCTTAGGATTTGACAAAGACTTTTCTAGACTGCTTCTAGAGTTATTAGATAAAATAATGGATGAAAATAATAAAACATATGAGCACAAACTTTTCAACATTATTTACAGGTAAGAAGTGTGTGAAAACTTTGTTTTTACTACAATATATGTTAGTTCAGTATATATAAACAAACTTTTTTTTAAATTAATTAAAAAGAGGTTTAATAGTTGAGATTGTGACACAATAACTTGCAATTAATTTTACATTGTTACTGATTCTTATTTTTCATGTAACATTTTTTTCTAGGCTTGATTTCAATGGATTTTACACAGAGAAATTGGAAGCAATGTCTGCAGAGAGAGCTCTAAAAGATCACTCTTTTATTTCTGAATCAAGTGCTCATTCAAGTGGTAAGTGTTATGTGCTCACACAGAACTTATAAACTTTATCTTAATGCCTCGTCATGTTAAAAAAAATGTTTACTGATGTACTAAATCATTTTTCTAATAAATTTAAAACAGAAACACCAATTTATGTACTTGGTTGTGAAAGTTATTCTGATAATAAATTATGTTATTATTTTGTTCATTCCAGCTTCTAGTGGGTCTTTACCAACCTCTTTCACTACCCAACATCCTGAGGGAGCAAGGTATGTTCCAGGACAATACAAAGGAAGGAAAGGTTCAGTACCAGGTTCAGAGAAATAAAGATGTTAGTTTGGTTGGACACTGCAGAGGTGGATGGCAGGAGAGCATCAAGACAATCTGTGATATGGCTTGCCTTTATTTTAACTTCATTGTTTGTTATGAATCTCTATTCAGTCTGACTTGCTTAAAGTCAGTGACAGCTTGTGCCTATTTGTCAGTGCAAGATTTTTTAAAAATATGTAAACATTGTTTTTAACTATACTATAAATAAATATTTGTTTGACAAAAATGTGTTTATATTTGTTTATAGTTAGTTTTAGTATGATCAGTGGTGCATCTTTTCCGGAATATTTGGGATTCAAGAATCAATATTTTTTCCCTTTCCGGATTCGCAAGATTTGATTTGCCTATTGATATGTGGTTTGTAAATTTTCGGTGCTGTTGCACCTCAATCCATTTTGGTGGATGGTGTATTTGGTGTCATCCCCCTCCCACCCCTTTTTGTTGAGTGGCGTCAACTTAAATTGATCCACCTAGAAAAAGCGTTGAGGGGCCTTATTCAAACAGTAATTATATCAAGTGGAAAATTTCGTGTCAACCCCTATCTTAGAAGTCAATTCAGTTATTACAATTCTCAACAAAAGCTTTTTCCTCAGGCAAATATTACAATGTTTAATTGGTGTCACAACCCCCCCCCCCCCCCCCCTCCTTAATAGCTTTAAACTGTGCACAGATAATACTAACGATGTTTATCTAGAGTAGGTAATGATTCAAAACATTCATAAAAACGAATTAATAGTTTAATTTTATAATTTTATTAATCCGAATACTGAACATCTTTCTAAAATTGTATGGCATTCATATATTTCATTAAGAAACAAAAAAATCTTTAAATACACTACAATAACACAATGAGTTTAATAAATATATTACTTAAAATAAATATATATATATATCACAAAAGAGTTGACAATCTTCATTATTGTATTTATAATTTACACAAATGTATTGATACACAATTACATAAACCAATGAGTAAATAAAATAACTGCACTCAAAGTAACTTATTGCTTAATACTTGTATGGTTCTAATATTGAAATTTATAATATAAATTAATACTTTGAATACTAGCACATTTGCTGCCAATTCAATAACAGTATTTATTATCCAGGGACAATTATAGTTGCCATCAAAATTATGAAATCATAAATATTAGTATCACATAAATCTTTTTTATAACTATAACAATATACATTAATCAGAGCTACAAGGTTTGTACAACTGATTCTATTTCATAGAGGTGGTTTTTAAAATTGTCACAACAACTAAAATATGCTAGATTTGCTTTTTTTACTTAATATTCAATAGTTATTATATACAGTTAACTTTTTTTTTCATTATCTTTTAGGGTTTAATTTCAAAATTTTAGCACACAAATAAAGATTGTAGTTTTCTCTTTTAGTAAGGTCTAATAGTTGCTGCTAGACCACGTAGGGCCCATCTTGATGACGGCACACCCTCTCTTCTCACATCCATCTCAAGGACAACTTCCTGTCTAGTCAGGCGTGAGTGGTAGACTGGGCACTGGTAGGTTTCTGATGCACGAGTGCTGTCCAGCAATGCAGGCTTGTCATTGATTGGCCAGCATGTGATGTGGACAACAGGAAGTGCTGCACAGCCAGAGCGGGGAGGTAAATCTTGCAGCTCCCCAGTTGTCTTCTCCCAGGCACAGCCCCACAGATAGATTCCCCACACAAACATGCCTTCTTGTGGTGGGTCTCTTAGCTGCAGGGTACAGAAGTATTTCATATCTTAAGGCTAATATAGAATAATATAATTTAAACAAACTGTTATGGTATTTGTAGAGTTTTCAACTAAGCAATAGAAATCAAATTCAGAAAAATTTGAAAAAGCTTTCTCATTCGTAAACAATTCTTTGTTTTATCAAAATACCCCAAAACCAAAGAAAACATTACAGTTTTAAATTTAAACTAGAACTACACACTATCGTTTGAAAGAAAAAATACACCTTTACTAAAGCTTTATATATTTTTTGTTACATTCACTGTCTGAATTGAATGTCTGAACAACCCTTTGGCAAAGATATACATACATGATCTTTGTCCCTTGAAGTCACTTCTGTTTGGAATGTGAAAAGCTCAAAGTTTCCTAGTTTGTCATTGCCGAAGTTTCTAATACTGTCTTGTTTCATTAGTGAGAGCAAGCCCCTGGGGTTAAAGAAAGCACCAAGCCAGTAGGCTGGCATCTTGTCACGACCCTGTAGCACAACAAAGTGAAAAGCAATTAATTTTTAAGTATGGCCTATAACTTTTGTCAAGTCCGCAAAATTTTATTTTTACTAAAGGACAGCTAGTTTTTTAATTAAAGAGTTGCTCTGTGAACTAATAAAATATTTAAAATGCAAGCTTTATGAAACTTTTATAATATAAATTAAAAAGACAATATTCTTCATACCAGTGACAAGATTTTCTCAAAGTGGTAACATCTGTTTTGTAGTTCCACAAGCCACTGGCCCATACCGTATGTCAGAGGCGGGGCAGAGTAACCTGACATCCTACACCAGGCTTCTGGAATTCTCAGGTGATAGATGTCATCTGCCACTTCTAAGGTGTACTGAGACATTTGGTCACCCAGGACATCACTCTCTGATGCATTTTTAATGGTCTGGTGGATTGGTTGGAAGACAGTTCTCAACATTAATTGCATTTTTTTTTACAAAATTTGACTAAAAGAATACTATTGTTATTGAGAATCACAATACCTGCAAACTGGACCTAATCTCATTTAGAAGCTTGTACATAATCTCAATTTCTTTCATGATGAAGTTGTTGAATGTGGTAAATCCTCCAACTTTTTTCACCTTCTCTATGATATACTCCTATTTAAGGAAATAAGTTGATATTTGTTCAAAAATAGGAGTGATAACACAACAATTGGTAAGACTAGTAAGTTATTAGAGTTACTGTTATAGATTAAACCTCCTGAGTAGATGGCATTTCAAAATTTGTGTAGGTTTGAGAGCTGGTATTACTGGTATGTTAAGTATATATTTGCATACCTTGTTGTAGGCCTTGGGAACTTTTTGTAGCATGGTGTGACATATCTCCCATAATTCCATGTCTTTCCTCAACTTGTAGGTAGCATAACTGGCAGTACTAAACACACCCTGGTCAACAACTAGTGGGTTGTTACTCTGGCTGCTGATATTGGCCAAAGCTGGACCTATTCGATTTAACAATATCTTCAATTAAAGTATACAATATTATATTCAATTATATAAACTGCATTTCATTAGTCTGAAGACTAAAAATATTAACTAGTGGGTTTAAAGATAGATACTTAGATTGGCCATTATTTTTTTTTTAAAATACAAAATACATAAATATAATATAATTTTGAGATAAATCTACTAATGTGGTTTATTTATTCACCAATAATTTTTTTTAAATTTGCGATATTGTTTTTAACAATGAAAAATTCACAAATTGTTTCTCTTTAACAGGGCGCAGGACTTTTATTATTAAGAATCATCTTAATCTTTAAACCATATTGGCAGCTGTAAGGATGTGAGGGCATTCTAAAATCAAGATAATTATTCTTTATATCACCATACTACACTCAATAAAAAACATACTTTTCAGCAATGCTTTTTCTTTATAAAAAAAGGATTTTTATAAAACATGTAAGAGTAATAACACTTATTATATAATTGTTATTAAGCGTGCATAAACTCACATCAGACACTTTTTAGAGATTTTAATATAAACCTCATTTTTTAAATTGAATTTTACTTTTTTAAATGAACACTCACAAAATCTGCTTTTTGGTGCAAATTAGTTAATAAAGCACTCAAAAATGTGAATGCATAATTCAGTTTGTTGTGTAATGATTGTTTTTAAATTGTGTAAAGAAGAGTCACTTTAATTCTGGTAATGAAATAAAAATGAAGCAGAAAATAGTTATCTCATTTTTAAAGTTAAGCCTTGTTTTAACAATTCAGAAATCTTGGAAAACATTAAATTTTGCAACTCAAAAATTGTGAAATTAATTCAAACAGTTATCACATGAATGTCCAAACTTTTAATATCTCAGCACTTAAAACCAAAATTCACCTGTTTGTAACACAAATTCTTTATTATTCTCAACTACCGTTTTAGAGGTAGGTAAACGTGCTATAGAAAATGTAAATTAAAATTAACAGCAATTGAGAAAGCCTACAATAAGCAGAAGATTCCATAGCTCTTTTATGTTAGTCTAAATACTTTTTCTTTTTTAAATAAAATAATTATAAAATAAAAACCTACATTTCTAACAAACTTTAAAAGTAAAACTGCACACATTAAGAAAATGAATTTAAAAAGTAGAAATTTGGAATAAATAATTCATTGATGAATTTTGGATAAAAATAGTAAAATAAAACACTTCCATTAATTCTTACCTGAGAAAGGTGTTGGTGGTCTAGGAAACAGTTTATGTGACAAAGTTGGAGTAGCAGGCATTGAGTCAAATATTTTATTTAGCCTAGTAAAAATGTACTGGTCATCACCCAGTAGAGTCTGAAATTTTCAGAAAAAGGCAGTGACTCAGAGGAATAAATGCTTGATTAAACATGTAATTTTTGTTTAAAATTTCTTTTTTTAAAAATGTAATCTAGATACAAAAATATTTTAAGTTGTGGGCTATTATTTGCTGACCTCAATATTAGGATGTAGGTGACAAGCTTCTGGAACTTCAAGGAAATGTTGAGTGATTCCATCCATGGATTGGATTAAAGTGTTGAGACGGACATTGGGGTTGAAGAAAGCGGCTGGTGCTTTGTACTTCACTGTTTGTAAACAAAATTTTGATAATTTAGTTCCACGCTTCACCTCCTACTAATTTTTTATTAATGTTTATTTTAAATAATGTAAAATTCAGAATAAATGAGGTCTATTAAAGTACTATGATATTGTATAAAATTTTAAAATTCTTTTGTTTGAACTTACATCTTGCAACTTCAAAATCTTTTTTAACAGCATTAGGTGTACACCAGTACTCAACTAGTGCACTCAAGCTTTGCTGGTCAAATGCATCTGTTATGTGAGTTCCATAGATTATCTAAAACATGAGAACATAACATGATTTTCAAATATGATGATAAATAGCTAACTTAAAAATATTTGGGAATATATAAAATTAAAAAACTGTTACAGCAAATATTTTTTTAACAATTAAAGTTAAAACTATTTTCAGATATAAAGCATATAAGCACACAACAAACCTCAGATAACATAAATCTGATTCCCGTCCATGATGTTGTTCGAGGAGCCATGGACCCATCTGCCGCCATTGTGAATAATAAATCACGAAATTCACCAACAGTAAAGTTGACAGCTTCCTGCACAGAGGAACATTACAATAATTAAGTGGAGGATTTTGGAAGCTACAAACATAGGAGCAAATTTAAATGAAAATAATGTCCACAAAGTATTTACAATAGATAACCGCAGAGACTTATTAAGTTTTTAATATTAAGTCTTGAACAGGCCAAACGTAATAAAATAAATTTCCAAAAATATTTTGGGAAAAAATAAACAAATAAAATATCAGTACCTGAAGTTCACGGAATCCAATGTTAGAAAATTCATGAGGCAAGTTCCATCCACCAGAACCAAATCTGGTCCTCAAGTGAATGGCAGCATGAACATAGCACAAGTTGTGCAACATTGCCGGCCAATCTGGCCTGCTGGACTGTCTTAAAATATCTGGCTCCATCCATGTCATATTGCGAATTAGACAATCTTTCATTACCTAATTTTATTGAAATAGTTTTGTATAATTGAAGCATTCACTTTAAGTAAAGTAACATACTAGTATGATTGCATAATTATAGAGGCATCTTGTTTATTTAAGTAAAGTATTTATAAACAAAACTAGAATTATTAAAATTCACTTTAAGACAATTTAAAATAAAAGAATATTCAAATTTTGACAAACATTAAAATGATGAGTTCCTCTCACCTTTGGTGAATCAATATAAACCCTGATTGTGTTCTGTAAGAGTCTGACTGGTATGTTGGAAGAGCTGACATGGGAGGAAATCCAAAGTCTAAAGTTGGGATCACACTGTTGGATGCTCTCATTCAGTATTGACTCTAGTGAGCTCAGTAGTCGAGGGCAGTTATGAGCATTGTGTAGAAGAATCCACATGCCCTATGATTAGCATTCAATTATCATTATGAAAATAATTAGAGATGAATTTTACAATTGCTTTAAATAATTAAAAATTACTTTTGTGTCCATTTAATTTGATTTGTTTCCATTTTATTTGATAACAAGTTTAATTATCAACTAAGCTAAGTAGGCTGTTGTCTCATTCAAGCTGTGCTTTTTTGGGAAATATTTTCGTGCTCTGGTGTCAATTAGTTTATGAAAATATTTTAGAATGCAGGAGCATTTAATTTTCTTTTTATGAAACATACAATGTTTTGGGGACAAACATAAATTATTTTATATACAATAAAATAAATAACTCTTAATTTATCATATGCTCCTATATAGACAGTATTGCAGAAGAGGGAGGGAAAGTGTAATACGCCCTAATGTTATTTATACTTTTTTTAGCTAAATGTATAAAGTTATAACTACAAAACATGCTTAAATTTGATTTTGGCTTACCTTTGGCTGAAGGAGCATAACTTACCTCAGTCATTCCTTTAAGAATATGTTTCTTAACAACCTTCTCATCTGAGGTGCTGTTGTCTGTGAGCATGAGTGACTGGAACCGGAGCTGTTTCTTGCTGGCAAACTCCTGAAAGGTTTTTGTGGTCAGCTCTGATTCAGTGCTAAACAAGATCAGGATGGGTAGATTTGGTGTGCTCTGTCTTACAACGGTGGGCAGGTCTATGGAGATGTCTGCATTGTACCTTGGAAAGAAATTTTTTTTTTAAAAGGTTAAGTACCATGTTGTTTTATATCAGTTCAGTTTAATATAGACTAAACTAATAAAATTTGTGCAGTATGAGTAAGTTGTCTTAAATAAAATATAAACAAATCATTTAAGCACTTGAATGTTTATCAGTATAACAAAAAAACTGATAATAATCTCACAAATTAAGGACAACTAAAAGTTCGATAATGTTTTGACCCAAGGTCTTCATCAGTACATTAAAGTGTGGTTAGATACAAAGCAAAAGATAAATCAGTGACAAAATCTTTTATTTGTCTTGACACTTCTTGACTAAAGAATATACAAATGAAAAATTCATCAAAGCCTTACTTTTTGCCAAGAACACAGCTAACGAAGTAGGAACTGGCTTGCAGCAAACGATCATTCCTTACAGCCCTGACAATACACAGCCTCTGTATGGCTTTGAGCACGTCATCCATTTTGTCTGGGAGTGGAACATTTTCAGGCTGTTCACTCTCACATAAGTTTCTCCACTGAGTTTCCCTCCCATCCTTAGGCATTCTGTCAAACATGTCCCTGAACCACTCAAAATGATTTGCTAAAACCTGAGGAGGTAAGGACAGCAGCTTTTAAATTAAAAAGAAAATATTTAAACACAAGTAAATAGTTAATAAATAATATAATTTTATTTTTATCTTTTCCTAAAACAAATTTTTGCAAAATTTTTGGTCATATTTTAATTTTGATCAAATAAAATATTCACATAAATTAAAATGTAGCCTACTTGTAAGTTGTGAAACTGCTCATCCGCCATCCAATCAAAAGGTTTCTTGGACTGCATGACATGCGGATCAGGTGTGGCATTGGTTGCTATGGCTGACATTACTACAGAGCTGAAGTTAGGGGAGATAACATATTCCCTCTCACCAGGATTTAAGTTACCAAGAGAATCCTCAACCTAAATTTGGGAATATAATTGAATAAGTCTAAACATATGTATTCATTTTCTTTCAAATACTCAGTTTTATTTTTATTTCTCAATTTATTTTTAGTTAACTAAATAATTTTCTAATTTTAAATTCACCATAACCCAATGATTGCTATATACTATATATAGTGAGCCTAGACTACCCAGAATGTACCTCAATGGCAAGAAGAAGAGCATAAACTTGTCTGTCTCTCTCTAATATTCCTCTGGCAGTTGTTGAAAAAGCACTGTAAGTTAATCTGTCAATAACAGCTTTCATTGCAGATCTGAAAATCATACACACTTTTTAATGGCCGAAAAGTGGATTAAAAATATGTATCAAAATTGAGACAAATTATTAGGTTTGTGTCAATATGATAGATTTAAACAGTATTTCTGTATGTGGGTTCTTTATCATTAAAAATTGTGAATCTTACTACTAAAAATATTAGACCACTTTCTTTCTTAAATGTAAATGTATATTATTTTAAAATCTGTTAGTTTTTTTTGTGTGTTATTTTACTAGTAGACAGTCATGATATTTCTTTAATTGATTAGTTTTAGATAAATTAAAAACAAGCCCAGAATTTGTTTTATTTTACCTTACAGGTTTTACAACATTTCTTTGATACATTCAGTTTTAGTTTTTAAAATGAAAAACTAAAGATGTAATAATTTTGCTATACCTTTCAGAATGTGCTATAGCAGCTAGGTAGAGTGATAAAAACTGCTTAAAAGAAGTCTGGTAAAGTATGTTTATGTCTCTCAAATATTGCGTAGTGTCAAAGCACACAGCTGCCCTTTGAGCTATAGCTCTGAAACCTTCTCTGGCTTTTAAAATGGAATCTTCACCAGCTTGAACACGAGCTTGACTAAAAAAAAAGATATATTTTGGTTTTTTATCAAAAGGAATATAAATGTATAAAAGTATAAAAACTTAAGTCCAAAATATTTTTAAACTATAATATTTACAATGCTATTACTAAGTGTAAATAAATAAATAAATAGATAAATAAATAAATAAATAAATAAATTATTTATTTATCTATTTATTTATTTATTTACACATTTACTGTCTACATAATCAAATTCAAAAGTAACCTTTCTAGTGTTTCTTCATATTGTTTCTTCAGTTCTGCAATTTTCTTGGTGGCCTGTAGATCATTCATCAGCCTAACATCACAAGAAAGTTGCTCTTTCATTTGCTCTTCAAGTCTTTGAATTGTTCCAAGGTTTTCTTGTTTTTCCTAGCAAAAAAAATGTGTTTTTAAGCCAGCAGTTTTGTTGCAATTTTAAATATTTTGTTACTGCTCATATATATGATTTGTGTATTGCATCTTTCTGTTGGACTGTTTTTCCCATAACTGTATTATCCATTAGCACCCCTCCCTTTTTAAAAACATCTATAAGTATGTCCATAATCACCATTACTTTTTTTTTAGAAGTAATGATTCATCTAAATTATAAAAGGAAATAAAATTTGAAAAAATGGTTAATATCCTAACCATTATACATTTGCATCAAAATAAAAATAATAATATTAAATAAGACCAGATATAAACAAATACAATAATTTATGTGAAATATTAATTTTAAAATGATTTTTTTTGGGTTTAAATTTTTAAAAATTTAAAAAGGATTTACCTCTCTCAGAGCAGTTTGTTCATTTTCCAGCCTTGATTTTTCCTGTTTCATAAAAGCATCCAACAACTCCTCCTCAACATCAGCTCGTGACTGCTGGTAGAAGGTGACAGCTGTGCAAGCTGCAAGGTGCAGTGGGCAGGTGTGGGGTTCACTTGTTGTGTGTAGAAACAAGCGGAATCTTGGGTCACATTCTACCTCATGGTCAGTTACCTGAAAAAGGGGAGGGAATATTTTCTAAACATTTTATCTAGTCTTAGAGGGTAATATTTCTAAGACATCTGTTAATTTTAGTATTTTACTCTCAGTTACATATTATTGTATTAAATTATTTGTTTATAATAAGATGTATTTATTAAAAAATGTTTAACAACATCATTCTTCTACATTTTTAATATTTATTAAATATTTTTAAAGATGAAAAAATTTTTTATAAAACAGCATTTAAAGTATAAGTGAATTCTCACAACTATTTTAAATCTTGATTTGCCATTAATAAATGCTGTGCAGTTTTGTATTGTGTCGATGAATCTCCTGTCTTTCTCCAGAGCTAGTAAATCACAATCTGTCACTAGTAAAGCAGTTCCATCAGACAAACAGTTCTCTAGTTGTGAGCGGATTTCCTGATTTGGATAATAAAAAATTAATAAATATATTTAACAACATACATAAATAGCCCAATTTTCATTAGGATAACATCACCCATAACTCTTCAATAAATGATCCAAAACTTAATTCTTTTATATTGAGAAATTAAAAAAAAATGTATTCCAATAATTTAAAAGGAAATCCCATGGATCAACTACTCACATGATATTTGACCTCCACTAAGCTCTTCCCTGTGTAATACAACTTGAGCCAATCAATGACACGTGACGTGGGGTCACATATGAGTGGCCAGGCAGTGACACTTTCATCTTGCATCAGGAAACAAGCATTTTCCAACATCAATCTTGTTGTTGGCAGCTGCTTCTGCTGCAGCCCAATAATATCAAGCTGGCAATAAGGAAGTTTTAAAAATTAAATATTGTAATAAATCTAAAACATTTTAATTGTAATTTAGGATTTAAATTAAATGGGTTACTATTTAGGAAATATGAGAAAAAAGTAGGATGGTAACATGCAGATCAAAAGTAGCTCAATCTAAAAATAATAACACAGGAATAAAGAATGACTAACACTTACAGGAGTGTGCAAAAATTCAATGAGCTCCATGTTTCTAAACAGCTGTTGTTTATGAAGTGGTAGACCATGATGCTCACAAACTTGCATAAAGAATTCGCCCATTCTGCGCCTTCAGAAAAAAATGAAATTATTAATAATCACTTCAAGCAAAGTGATTTTCCTTTGATTATAAAGTGTCTTACTTACTCAATTTAAAATTAGATAAATAATAACTCAAGATAAAGTGCTCATCATATCATAATCTTTTTAGTTCTCGAAAGTTCAAAATAAAAATTTTTCTACATTTTCTAAAACAAATTAGTTACTCTAAAACTAGAGACCTGTTACTCAACTACAGAGAAAAGTATTGTTCACACTAACTATCTCTGTACCTGGTGTCTATATTGACAGGTGCACAGTAAGTGAGAGCCCCAGCTGCACCAATACAATTGGCCAAAAGAAGTTCATTGCTGTCATTGTCTTTCACTTCCTGTCTCCATTTGCTCTCTTGAGATTTCAGACTACAAAAGGTAAAATAATTTGACATTACAATGTTTTACTGATTACAAATTAAAAATTTTGAATTAAGTATTTTAATTTATTATTATATTTGCATATGTGATCATTCAAAAACCAAACGAACCTATCAACAAGCTCTATAGCTGACTTCAGGCGTTCATTCATAGAATGCAACTCTGTTTGTAGAGAATGTTTCTCAATCACAGCTTGATCAAACTGGGCTTGGAGCTGGCTGACCTCCTGCTGAATTCTGGGAAGGTCAGCTTCAGACAGATCTTCATCATCTTCATCTGCTTGCTTAGTGTTTTCTTCTTCTTTGGACTAGCCAGCAGATCAAAAAAAGGTAAGCTAAACAACTATACTCCCTGATGTGTTATTGATTTCAAACTTTAAAATTCCTTTACAATAAAAAAGTTTTATTATTGAATAAAACTTATATTATTATTTCAAAATTTCAAATTAATTAGAGTTTTAAATATTATCCAACTAAGATTCTTACCATCAAGTAAACACATTGATTTAATTGTAAAAAAAATATTTCATTCATTTATACAATTATCTATGTATTTAATTGCAGAATGTAAAGTGTAAAATGTGTAAGTACAAAAGTAAACAGAATAATGTATACCTGTACATCATAAAATGTTTTTTTATTCTTTTTTTAAAAAAAAACAACAAAGGTTTGTTAGATTAAAACTTAAAATTTAATTGATGATGTATTTTATATCTCTAAAGTGCTGGTGTGTGCTAAAGTAATTTATGGTATGAGATTAAATTAGGCAACCATTTAATTAAAAATACTGAAATAAGTGGGAAGTTCAAATAACAACTTGCGGAAAGTCAAATAATTAAACTGCAAATAAAGGCGAAAAATGAAATGCATACAAATTAAATAATTAACATAAAAATGTGAACAAAGTATAGATACATTACAGACTTTCTCTAAGTCAAAATTTTTAAAAATCAAATGAATTCACAAGCAGTAATTCACATCTTCTAAAAATATTATAGAAATGGGTTTCAAGATCTAGTGTGCAATCTTTGATATTATAACACACACAAAAGTTTAAAACAGGCATTTTTCATTAAAGCTTCATTGATAAACTGGAAATCATGAAATTATGAAAGTAATTAAATAAAAATATTTTTCAAGTACAAAAATGTCAACATGTGTTAAAGCAAAATAGCTATAAGAAAGAAATACCTGAAGTTTTAGAGAAGGATTTCTCTGTAAAAAGAATTAGTATGGTATACAAGGATAACATTTGTTTAATGCATATTTTATCTAAGGAAGCATTGCTTATACATTTGTGTGTGGGCTTGCATTTGTTTCTGTTTGTAGGCTGTATTAAAACACGTGGTTCACTTTGGGTTATTTTTCTGTCTTCAATTAACTGAGCATGATGCTGATTATTCTTACTATAAAAATGTAAATTTCTCAATTAAGGTGTAATTATTCTTTAAATGAAGGAAGTCTGTTTCAAACATTGTATAGTTAGTTGATTATTTATTAGCTTATTTTCCTAAAAATATGTGAACATTTAAAAAATATTCTGAAGCTGATTAAGAATTGTGCAAAAAATACATATTTTCAAATATTAGTTATATATTTCAATAAACATGCCTACCATTAATAAAAGGATGAAAAATTATAGGTTATTAAATTCTAATATGTAAACATTGGCATGCAACATTAATTAACTAAAATATTGATTTTTTTATAGAGATATTAAATTTCACATTCTTTACACGTAGTCTTTGTTTTGAATATTTGTTACATGGTAATTAATTCTTCTTCTAATTTAAATTTAATATATTTGGTGAGATTATGTAGATCTAAGGCTAAAAAAGTTCAAAAATTAAAGAAATAATTTAAAAAATAGTTAAAGAAATAAAATGAAGATACATTATTTTATCAGAAAATAACTGAAAAATTGCTATGAAAATATTTAGTCTACAGTTTAGCCAATGTTAGCTAGCATTACCTTCAGTAATCTCATCTTTATCTTTAAGTTGCATTCAGGAAATAAAGATATACAACATAAACTTTCATATAGAAATAGAATTAGGTAAATAAACGAAATAATAATTTGCCATTATTATACTTAAGTATATATTAAAGATAACTAACATTAGGACTTAACAAAATATTTAATCTGATCAGACAAACATAGAATAACTAAAAAAATATTTTTAGGTTTGATTTTTGCTTACAAAATTTCCTTTTTAATTCAATCAATAAAATTGGAAAACACATAGGCTACTCAATACTTGTTTAGTACAAAGTTAGTTTTAAAATGTGCATTACTTCAAAATAAATGCTTAAATAATATTATTGCTTTTATTTTGTGCTAGAATACTATAATTTTTCAAAGCTTTGAATATAGATTATATTTAGGCCCACTCTTTACATTATATTTTTTAAAGAACACAGCATACTTGAAAATTAGTCATTCAAAATTACACAGGTGCATTTATAGTAGATATTTTTATTTATAATTTGTGCATGATAAAATAAAAGTAATCAATGATAAGACTACATACCTCTTCTTCCTGAAGCTTCTGCTGTCTCTCATTTTCTTCAATCTCCCTCTCTAGTTCATGCATTCTCTCCAGGGATGATTTTAGAGGTCCACAGAGTCTTGAGTACTCAACAATGGCAATAGTGTAGTGCACCAGAGTGGCACAGTCCTCACTGGCATACTTGGCACCCGCAATTGTCAGGCCAGATCTGGCTCCAGGAGATGATGACCTTTGTTTGATTGCTAAAAATTGCTTTTCTAGAAAAGGATATAGATTTAGATTAGAAGATGTAACATTCTTTTAAGCAATGATTAATAATGTGTACATTGTGGTAAAGGCAAAATTATATTATGTTTAAAAACTTGCATAAAGTTATTTTAAAAGTACTGTTATCACAAACAAATTAGGTTTTAAGAAAGCAGCAGTCAAGATTATTCAAACTAGAGCAGAGAAGTCTGTTGGACTTAAAATCAGCATGAAATATTTATATCTGAAAAATTATCTTAACTTGTTGTGTTTTGTATTTCTTTGATTGTCCCCCTTTAAAAACTCAAATTACAAATTTTGTTGATTATTGTAACACTACCTCAGTACGGAGAAAGTGTAATAATCACCCACTGAGGTGTAGTGTGTTTACGGGCTGACCCTGAGAGACAACAAAATCAAAGATGCTGCTTGTTTCTGGATCGGCTTATATAGAATTGCAATTTCCAGTACCATTGCAAGTACATGGATCTATCTATAGCCCTCAATTAGGGCTCTATACAACTCATTATTCAATCCCCATGTCAGTAGCTGTCCTGGTCACAGCAGCTTGGAGTTTGAATGCCATGGGCACATGTGTTCCCGAGGTCACATGACATGGGAAACAAGGGGAAACATTGATTACCAAAGATCATAAAAAAAAATAACATCAGCAATTGCTGTCCCACAGGGGCCGCAACCAAAACAAAGTGTAAATTATCCCCCCTGACTTGTAACCCATGCTATGTGTTACAATTATAATATTAGATTTCTTTTTGGGAATTATTACCAAAAATTATTACCTTGTGCATTGTCAAGCAGACTACCTTCTCCAGTGACTCCTAACTGTCCTTCTTTACTGCATGCCAAATAACTTTCAACAGCTGAATTAAATAAAAGTGATTTTAATAACAGCTGGTGTTTATTAAAAATATTGCATTCTAAAATCTTTGAAAAATGTGTACATCCTGCAATAAATTGAAATGGATACAATACTAACCAGCTAATACATCATTGGGCAAGCCATCCTCCCAGGAAAGGTTGTGCAGCATGTCCACAAATTTGACAGAGTCTGACATTGTCTGCTGCATACTTTTCCATTGTGCCTTGTCAAATTTGTCACCAGCTTCTTTAGGTTTTGCTAGAGTAGAAAAAATAAAAAGACAGAAAATAATAATATGTTCATAGATGACATTTTTTTTTAGCATTTGATAAAACAGTAAAAAAAATTAAAAAGTAAAACATTTGCAAGAAATTTAAACTTTTAAAAATATAACTTTTAACATGATTTAACCTCTATTAAAAAAAGCACTAGGCCTACAACTTCTGACAAACTTTTGCCACTTTTTTGTTTTACATAAATTAGAGGATATTTACTTAATTCTACCTATTTTAAGAATAACTTTTTTTTAAAACGTTTGCCATCAGCTTCTTACCTTTTTTGACAATAGGTTTGGTCCCACCGGAGCTTGTGGACATGCGTGAGGACATGTCATCTTTGCCACTGTTGGCTTCTCTGTTGGACTCAGATATCCGTTGGGATGGCAGTTTTTTACCAATGAGAACCATCACCATCTCAATGATCTGCCCTACAAGGATAGGTGGGTTGGAGAAGGCTCTCACATGTTCAATAACACCTCGATCCACCTTGTTTCTCCAGAAATTTACCTGCAAGAAATTAAGACATATCTTGATAATCTTAAGTCTTTTAAAAATAATATTTTCATTTAAAGGAACTGTAACAAAATAGGATGCACAGATTTGTACAATTCAGACGTATGCAATATTATTCTCTCATCATGAGTTCTATTCTTTCAATAAAAAATAAATTAAATCTGTAAACTTTATTTTGAACTAAGCAAAGAAAACAATCACTCCTTTAATGTTGAATTTTAAACATTAAATTATATTTTATTGATAACTAATAAGAATATGGGTTAACCAAGATAAATCAAGATCAATGAATAGCTGAAAATTTGACCTGCTGTTTTGCATATGCCAAGCTGCCACGGCACTGTTCAACTTGAGACTGCGCCAGTGTTAATTCATCTTTAGCTTGAACCTGGCGAGTTTTCAAATTCGCTTCCCTCATCCGATCAAACTCAGCATCATATTCATCATATTCTTCTGAAATTATATCAGAAACAAAAATTCATTAGCAGCATACATACACTTAAATAAAGTTAATTTAAAATTAGTTTCCAGCAAACAAAGAAAAGCCTCTGGGATGACACACAGTTTTCATCAGCTCACCTTCTTTTAACAACTCATCTTCTTCTTCCTCCTCCACATCCATCTCAGTCAACTGTAGATAAGCATCCAGGGACTTGCTCAAACCAACTTTAGCTTTCAGTTTCTCTAAAGTTGTTGCCTTGAGTGTTAACTTCTTGAGCAGCTCAGAAGTGCTTTTTTGGGCTCCTTCAAATTTCTGATTCAATGTCTTAATTGCTTTCTTCATAACTTTAGCATCAACTCTTGTTTTATCTAAGGTTGTTATCACTTTTCTAAAAAAAAGTACAATAGATGTAATTCACTAGCAAAAGTAAGTTTTTTAATACAAATCAATCTATCAATAAAACAACAAATTTAAATAGCCTAACAGAAATATATTTATAATTCAATTTGCCATCTTGTTGCAAGTTAAACTTGTATAAGCTATCTTTATTTATTAGCATCTATAATTAGTTTTCTTTTAGTAATTTTCAAGTTGTTGAAAAGAAACAACCAGATAAATTAAAAAAAAAAACACCTCTTTATTACAACAGCAGTAACGATAAAAGTTTCAAGATTAATGGGATGGCCAGGGGGTAGAGTGCTTGACTGCCAACCTGAACTCCTTGAGTTCAGATCCTGGGCTCAAGTATGTAGTATGTCCATTAATCCACCCAGCTCCAATGTAAATTTTAGAGAAAAGTAAAGGTAGATGGGTATAATGCTGACCACACTATCCCTTCATACGCTGAAGTCACAGAAAAAGCTCTAGTTCATCTGCTGTGTGCACCACCAGGTTTAATAGGGTGACTTTTATTTCTATTTCACTCGTTGACTAGAAATAGATATTATTTTTACACTAAGGTTTTGTAAATATCTAGAATTCCCTAAAAAAATTACTTGAGTTGTTCCACTCTCCTTGTTCTGTCATCAGATTTGAGGGAATACAAAAATCTAAAAGTTTCCATAAACCTTCTGTAGGTTGTAGGCCCAATGTAAACTTCATTTTTTGCTTTACTTGAATCTCTGTGATTCAATCTGCAAAACAAATACCATCATCATATTTCCATTATATGTTTTATTTTATTATACAATATAGTAATAGTTAACTCATTAAAGTAAATATTCTTCACCTAGGCTCTATATGAAAAGTTTTTAAAAAAATTAAACAACAAAGAAGCAGAAAGTTGGCAATTGAATAAAACACTTTAGGCATCATACATTATTAAACAGGGTAATTATTGGTTAAAGGAGACAAAACTATATTATCAGGAAATGAAAAATTGACACCATTAAGTGTGAATAACAAAGTTATGATAAATTATTTGCAGGCACTACCTGATTCTTTCTTGTAAGATAACTTTAGAATATGGTATGTTGGGAACATTGTCTGTTTGATATTTAAGCTGGTCCTTCTTCTTCTCATGTACTTTGATGGTTGTCATGGAGATGGTTGTGCTGACATCACCAGCCCATGGCATCTGCTTGCAGTCACGCAGTACAAAACTGTGGATGTTGGCCAAGCTTGTTGTGATGCTTTCTCTGAAAAAGACAATAGAACACAACACTTAGTCGTGTCTACAGCTTAAACCTAGTTGCTCAGTGGTTAGGCTATTAACCTGACATGTAAAACTACAATACTCTAGATTAAATTAACCCCTTTACCGTGGAAATTTTTTTTATTTTTTTTGGAAACTATTTTTTTTTTTCATTATTTGATTTGTTATGTTGTCCTGACAAAATAAAACATCATTTTGAGTGAAAATGAGTTGACATTTAGAATTTATGAGGTAAATATAAAGAAGGTAATTCAAAAGCACAGTACCAACATCACGTGATGACCTATTTTTATCATACGCTGTTGAATTGGCTGTTAGATTAGCCTCCCTCTACATTGTTATTGATTTCCAATGCTATTTTCGTATTTTCGTATCAAAATGAGTTAACTCGCGACGCACGGCACACAGACGACTTTTTTATCTGAAGACGAGTTAACTCGTGATGTACGGTTAAGCCCAAGATTTTATATGACGAGTTAACTCGTGACACACGGTAAAGGGGTTAATGAGTTTTCTGTAAAATACTGTAATAACAGTTCTTTTTATTTAATTAAATTGATGATAAGTTGATCAGCATACAAATTACATTTTGACCAAAAAGCATTAAAAGATTTTTTAAAATATTTACTTTAATTTTAAAGTTTGATAAAAAATGATTTAAAACTAAAGATGAAAGTATAAGAGAAATAGAACTCTATAAGCCTCAGATCTTCAAATGATTTAAAACTAAAGATGAAAGTATAAGAGAAATAGAACTCTATATGCCTCAGATCTTCAAATGATTTTAAACTAAAGATGAAAGTATAAGAGGAATAGAACTCTATTTGCCTCAGATCTTCAAAATCCTCAGTCAGCTGGTGTTTTGTAAGGAAATAGGAAGCTTCTCCTAGAAGAGTTTCCTGTGGCCAGTCACAGAACCAATTCATCTGGCAGCCAGTCAGTAGTCCAGGAAAGTTTCTGAAAATTTTAGAACATTCTTGCTTATATTTAACATAAATATAATGCTCTCTGTAAATATTGATCAATCACTGCTTTTTAAAATAATTTTAAAAAAAAATTAAGTATTCAACAAATTTGTTAATGAAATCATACATTGCAGCTGTTCTGAGCAGTTCATGGTTGGGGTCAAGACAGATTAAAATATGCAGGTTGCTTTTGACCCTTGAGACGAAGAATTTCATTGGATCAACAGTTGAGCTGGAAACCTCTCTCTTCATGGCTGGGTGGATGGCCTGCAGTAGCCCTTCCATTTCATCATTGGAAAACAAATGTGGATACTCCCCACTGATCATCAGGCTGTTGATGGCATCAAGGTGGACTGGGTCTTCTAAGTCCCTTGACTGAGAATCATCAATAAATTATATACATCTCAAAAATTTTATTTTATTTATTTTAAGCTACAGAGTAGGACAAAATATAAGTAAAATTTATTTTTAAAACTAAACAAAATGCTTCAGTAATCTAAAATTTGAGCTTTACATGAAATATTGAGTTTAAAAAAAATAATTAATGAATGCTCCCTTACTGTAAACATTAGTGAGATGACTTTTCCTTCTGATCCACTCAGTCTAATAGCTGAGCGGAGGCCATCAAAGAAGCTTGTTTGTTTTGTGGTGTCCATTTTGTGAATAGGAATATCTGCTACATGCAACGCCAGCCGACATAGTGTGGTAAGATTAGATCCTACTGCACCAACTAGTAAAATGTTGCCTCTGAAATGTTCACAAAAAAGGCTTTCAAAGTAAGATTAATGTGTAGATAATCTAATACGTGTTTCATCTTGTAATTGAATTGTTTTTAATTTAAATTTAATTAAATTTAACAATTTTATAAAATAAATGATTTATTTTCTGAGATATGTTGTAAAAATTGGCCATTTAAAATTTTGACTGTTTAACAGATAAATGAAAAATTAACTTAATGAAGCTAGAAACAAAGTAAAAATTGAATCTCAGTTTACCCATGAGAGAAGCTAAGTATTCGATGCAGTCTTACAACATGGGAGATAATAAAGTCAGACAGCATAATGTTTAGTCTGACATTTCCAAACTCTTCATTGTAGCGGGTCAAATGTGTATTGAGACAGCTGTGAAGGTCACTCATTTTTTCAACAGGCTGGAGTGACACCTAGAAATACGAACAAAAGTTTTATTGTATTACTAAATTAATTAAATGCATATTTATTTTCTTTTGGCTTTCTGGGATGTAAAGCATGTTAAGAATATTAAATGTCGCTTAAAATATTTATTTACAATAAAAATATTTCTTACTAAACACATGTGCTTAATGTTCAACAGGCTAAATAATGGAACCAATGATGGTATTTATAACATTTCAGTAGCAACTACAACATTTAAATGCGTACACACTGATAAATTCAAATCAACATTTAAAAAAAAATGTTACTTTGATATGTTTTGATCCTATTGATGTCACTGGTCTTTGAAACCCTCGAGCATCAATTGGGAAAGTAACAAAATGCTCATGAAGATTTACTGTCTTTTCCTTCCATGTCTGAAATCATATTTTAATGATTTAAAAGAAGAATTAACACAAAAATATTAATCAATCAATATATTATGAGAAAATTAAAGAAGTTTTAATATACATTATTATAGTCTTTAAAAAGGATAGTACTCAATGTCGTCTTAAAAATCTTTTGTATTTTTGTTTTTATTTTTTAATTTAAATTGTTCATTGAATCCCATAATGTTTATTACCTCCTCCAAAGAAGAATTCAGTTTGTCATCAAACCAGTTCAGGTCAGAAGTTCGACTGATCCTATCTCTGACAGTCCTAATCAGTTCATGACGCCAGAAAGAAATCACCATAATTTCATCTGCTTTACTTTCATCTGCCAGTTTTCTCAGACTCTTTCAATGGTAAACATGAAGTTTAAGTAAATCATGTCACTCAGACTCTTTCAATGGTAAACATTAAGTTTAAGTAACTCATGGCACTCAGACTCTTTCAATGGTAAACATTAAGTTTAAGTAACTCATGGTACTCAGACTCTTTCAATGGTAAACATTAAGTTTAAGAAAATCTTGGCACTCAGACTCTTTCAATGGTAAACATTAAGTTTAAGAAAATCTTGGCACTCAGACTCTTTCAATGGTAAACATTAAGTTTAAGTAACTCATGGCACTCAGACTCTTTCAATGGTAAACATTAAGTTTAAGAAAATCATGGTACATTTTTCAAAAAGTAAACTAGAAATACTTTGCTGTTTTTTTGTTTTCACTATTAAAATAAGTATTTTATATGATTTTAAAATAATTTAAAACAAAAAGCCTACATACCTGGAAACAGTGAGTGATGTCTTTTAGAGTGAACAGATAGTGACAACGGCCATCCATGGGAGTTGGTTTGAGAACAGCTTGGATTGATGTCATCATATCACATGAGACTGAGACCAAGGCGTTGTGGAGATCAGGGTCTATTCCTGTTGAGTCACGTTTACTGGTGTTTGCCTGTTGGTATATTTATTCAAACATTAGACAGAAGGTAGTGAACATTAAGTTAGCAATTTTAAAGCTATAGCATTTAAAAAAGGAATCTGGCATTGTAAAAACAAAAACAGTTTAAGTATCATTAGTTAAATGAAGCTATGAAACCAATAATAGATTTAGTCTTAAACCTGAATATGTCCATGTAGTACATTTTGGCCATTGTTTTTACCTGAAGTACATCGCTTGTAATGGTAGTAAAGGATTGTCATAGAAATGTTGATGACACCATATCTTACCTTTAGAATTCCATGAACAATAGTTTTAAGACCATTATCATGGGGAGCAGGAATGCTGAACACAGCAAAATGGCGCTAAAAAGATAATTGTAAACCAAAAACATTTTTTTTTACTTTTTTTAATTAAATGGTTTTTATAATAATCATAAAGATATTTTTAAAATTAATGTTTTACATTCAGGTAGTTCTAAATTAATATGAGTATAGAATTAAATAAACATTTTTATCATAAAAAAAATATTTAAAAAATACTAACCAATAGCCTAGCAGAGAGAGACCTGTTAAAAGCTGATGGGTAATCACTGAAAGCCATGGCTGAGATGACTGACATATCCTCCACTGTATGCCACTCAAAAGGTTTCTGCAGGGTAAATAACTGCTTTTGATCCAAGAGTTGCCTCAGAAGTTCATTGCATCTTTGTATGCCATTTTTGTCAGCAGATGGAAGGTTGAGGTCATCAATGAAAACTTTGAGCTTCTTGTTATCTTTTGCTCCAAACACAAAACCTAATGAGTAAAACAAAGTAGAAGTGTTAGAAATACTTGAGTAATAGGTCACTTAAGTATGTAACTCTTTTCTTATAGAAAATGACTTTTATTTTTTTAATTTAAATTTAATATTGTTAAACCCATAAAGGAAAGTGATTTAGCATTATTAATCAGATATTTGATTAAGTTTATCCTGTACTTACCTTGCCTATGATAAATGTTAGAGTCAATAAACTGCTGGAGCTGTAATGCTACTGAAGCTCCAGAAAACACCAAGTGCTTGCAGACAGATATCTGGGGATCTAAAAAAACACATTGATGTTTTAAAAAATTACTTAAAAGTTTTCAAAAAAAAATTTGTAATAAGTAAATAATACATATGAAAAATCATTAGAATTCATAATTAATTTTATATTTTAATTACCTTGACTGTTGATGAAGTCATTAATTAGAGCAGTTTTTCCTGATCCATGAGGACCAACTAGTAGCACATTCATTCCTGAAGCAGCTGAAAACTCCATAAGGATACGGGTTCGAATCTATAAAAAAGAATCAACAAACTCAGATAAATGAGGATATATAAAAAATTGTTAACTAAATATTTTCTACACAAAAAAAAAACCAGAAAAAAACTTACAGTGTCTACTGTATCAACAAAAACTTCCCCCAGCACATCCTGGTTGTCTGCATAGACAGCTTCTGGCACTCTGGGTTACATTATGAAACAATTATTTATGTACATTTGTAAAAAATAGTTTCTTAAATCATAGACAGCTTCTGGCACTCTGGGTTACATTATGAAACAATTATTTATGTAAACTTGTAAAAAATTGTTTCTTAAATTATGGACAGCTTCTGGCACTCTGGGTGACATTATGAAACAATTATTTATGTAAACTTGTTAAAAATTGTTTCTTAAGTTAAAAACACTGGTCAATAATTTGATATCTAAATAAGTTTTGGAGAAATATGATCTGTATTAAATAAAAGATGCCCAAAAATTTATAATTTACATTATGCCTCTTGGTAAGATTTTTTTAAAGAAGAGTTATCTTACTTAGAGTGCCATGGATCCCACTCTCCAGACTCATCCACATAGTAGTCAAACACACTAATATCTCTGTCATCATCTGGTAACCTGCAAGAGTTGTAAACCCATTCTTTATAAATTGTTTTAAAAAAGATATTTTGGTTGTAATAATTTAATGTTTATTATATAAAACTGTAACTATTGTAATGAATGAATTCTTGAATACTTTTATTATACAAAACTGTAACTATTATAATGAATGAATTCTTAAATACTTTTATTATATAAAACTGTAACAATAGTAATGAATGAATTCTTGAATACTTACGCAGTTGACAATGTTGTCAACAAATCACTGAAGAGTTTGCGGTCATTGGAGTCAAGAAGACCACCAAAAGTCCATATCAGACAGAAGAGATACAGCCTTTCAATGTGGAGCTCACCAGACACTTCAATGTTGTCTGCCAGCATGGCAGACAAAAGACCAAGACAAGTTTTCAGCATGCCAACTTCACTAAGCTGGAGACGAGGCCTGTGTAAAAATAGCTCTCAAATTATTTTTTTTTTGCAATATAAGTTTGTTTAATAAGTTACAAGGTTAAATGTAAGAGATGAATCACAAGATAATAAATAAAATTTGTATTTAAATATATACTACTTACAATATATGACCTTATTCTAATAATACATTTTATTACAATGATCATGTTAAATAAAATTGTCTACATCATAATAACATTCTTAAGTTCTTACTTAGCCTCTGAATGAACAAAGTTCATAATAGGATCCAATGTCTTCTGGAAAGACTTCTGCAACACCTAAAACAAATACATCACTTTGTTAGTGTTTGTTTGTTTGATAGCACAATCACCAAACAATTATTTACAAATAATATGGAATTGATTGGCTGATTAAAATAAATAATAATTAACAAGCTTATATTTTAAGAGAAACTAAAAGCTTTATTTTTTTATTGAAATTCATTGAAACAGATATGCAGTTTAGTAGCAAATGCAATGCTAGTTTTAAAAAAAAAAATTGAATTAAAATACATTTATATAGCTTTCTAACATATGAGGAAAAACATTCTTTGCCATCAATGCAAAAGCAAATTTTACATTTAATTAAATAAAAATAGTTTTCTTCTGCTGAGAGCAATAAAACAAGTGGAAAGATTTTTAAAAATAAACTTAAAATTTTGCATGATGTAAGCCTGATGAAATGTGAGGGGGAAAATCTAAAGTAAAACCTTGTTTTCATAAAGTGATAGGCTTGAGTTTCTATTTGTTAAATCACTTAACGTTTTTTGAAACATCCTTTTATTAAATAATTCAGAATGTCAGTTTAATATGTTTGTATAGAAATGTTTTCAACAGACAATAACTACTTTTTTTTAAAAACATGCTAACAGAGATATATATATTCTGCAAATTCACATGATATTACAAATTGCATTACCAATACTTTTACTTATTTATTTTAGACTTCATAAACATTTTAATAATATAATTTTACATTTCCTTAAACAGCAACGTTGCTTTAATGTCCTGAGTAGGGGATATAAATAACAGACATGCCTAGGGATTAAATACTCAATAAAAAATAAATCTTAATTTAAAAAAACTTAAAACAAGTAGATACAAACAGGATCTTTTAAAATGCAAATAAAATAGCTCTTGTAGATGGTGTTTCTTATTTTGTTCATTACAAACATAATTCAAATTTTTAATAAATTGTTAGTAGATGACAAGTTTTAGTACAAGCAACTACTACAGCCAGTGGTTAACTAATGGTCTACATGTTGTTGAGTCATGTGCATATTGTAGACTACAACAGTTAATATTCATTACTTCTATTATTTCCTCAGTGTTTGCCTTCTGATGGTGCACAACAGTAGAATAAAACAAGTTTGGTAATAGAAATTCATCAAACCAAATAGTAGGCCTACACAATATTTTTAGTATTATGAGAAATAATGTATGTTAATTTTAATATTATTATTTTTCACAAAAAATGAAATGTTAAGTAGAATATAAAAAAAAAATGTATATTAAAATATTATAAAACATTTTTAGCTTTAAGATTTAAGAAAACTGGCAATGATAATTTAGAAAGATTATACATACATGTACTTCTAGCTGTGATCTGGTATCCAGCCAGGCCTTAGCAATAGGTTTCCAGCCTACAACATCTCTATCTATGTAGAGGATACCCTAAAGTAAAAATACAATCAAATTTTAATTATACTTGGCTTAGATGTAAAATAATTTTTACCTCTGATCATATAGGTTATATCCTAAAGTAAAATATAAATCAATGTTTAATTAAAGTATGTGTATGAATAATAATTATAAATATAGTTTCTAAGAAAACTGTAACTCAAAATTTTTTATTTAGTTAAGTTGTGGTAAAATGTTTAAAATACTAGTGTAAAACTTCTAAATAAAGAACTTTTTGAAGGGCAACAATTTAAAAAACTTACACAACTTGAGACAGTATTGGGTGAGGCATGGTTCAAGTCATCAGTTTCAAACAACAGCATAATGTTGTCATTCAAAAACAGCTTATCTCCATTTTTTAAATGTAATACCTGAAAAAATATTATTGTACATCAGAAAAATATTTTTTTAAAAAGCTGTTGCTAATCGACTTATTATTTTCAAAGATAGACTTAAGTGTTCTAAATTTTGTTTTAAAACACTTGTTTAAAATAAAAATTCAAACCAACCTTGTCACCAGATAAAATACTATTGAAATTATCAGCCCAGTTTTGGCTCAGGCATCCATCCAAACACATCCAGGTGGTGCTGATGTTCTGAGAGAGGAAGTAAATAATTATTAAGATAATAATTAAGATATTGCTTTAATAAAATCAGAATTTTAAACGCAGTTAGAATAGCACAGGATGTTTGAAAAAAAATTTAAGTAAAAAAAAGTAACTGAAATTACCACTTAAATCATAATTTAAATAAAACCAGCTGTAAAGCAACAATTCATGGGGCATATTTTCTTCTGAAATGTTTTCTAAAATAGGCTTGAAGTTTGTCATTTCATAATTGTTTTTTATATTTAGTCTTACTAACCAGGGATTGTAATACATAGAAAAACAACTCATTTAAGAACAAATTAGATGCTTTAATTTGTAACAAAAACAGCCCCCATGAAGAATTGATAGATACTAACTCTGTTTGCTTTTCTGATAGCATGTGTGAAGATCCCATCAATCCAGTCGTTATTGTTGCCTAGACAACCAAAGATGAGAGCTGTGTCATCAACAACCATTGGGTTGATATGTAACAGCTTGTGCATGCTTTCACCTTCTGTGGATTTGGTATTCTCTTCTAAGCTTTCATTGCGCAGACATAATGCGTCAACCATTGTTTGAATGCAGGTTGATTTCCCAGAGCCTGGAGGTCCTGCTACTATTACACCTATTAAAATTGTATGTGAGAAAAAAGCATTTTATATTTTGAACTTAAAAGTAAAAAAGAAATTGCTTACAGACAAGCTACATTGCATAACCAAGCTTTAAGAAATATAGTTGATTAGTTACAAAACTAGCAATTTAGAGCAATTTTTTTAGCAGTTTTTAAATTGAATTTAATTAAAACAACTAATTTATGCTACAAATAGATTACACAATAAGCAAATACACATTTAATTTATGTCATTTACTCTAAGCTTATGAACCTCATGCTTTTTATTTTTTTTAAATATCTTAGAGAATTGATTACAAGAAATAAAATTTAAAACATGCAAAAAAACAAAAAAGATATTACCTTTTAAACAAAACAAATACATAAATATTTTAATTTAAAAAAAAAAGACAGACATTAAATTCTCCCATACACAACAAACATTTAGTGTCATTAGCTCTTACCATTGTAAACCTGGGACAGTGTGTACAACTGGTTGCATTTAGTGATCCAAGGTTTGTGGGGAACTAACCCAGACTCCACAGCAGCTTTCTCTAGAGCTGGCTCCAGGTCAGTGGCTTGTTTCATTTGTGAACCCTGGGCTTGTTTTGCTGAACTTGTATTACGCCCTTTGGCAGAGGATTTACCATCTGCACTGGGCAGATTAGTGAAACAGTCTTTCAGGATGTTTTTAAACAAAACTTGATTCTGAAATACAAAAAACAAAAAAAGGAAAATATTTTTAAAAATTCTTTTTTTTCAGCAATATTTTCTTATAATTTAATTTAAAACTTAACTAAGTGCATATAAAAGTTAAGTAAAAAAAAAACTACAACATATGAAACAAATTAACAACATAAAAAAACAAATTTTAATAATATGCATGATTACTACTTATTAAAGTATTTCACAATAAAAACTTTTGTGAAAACTTCTGTTCAAATAATGATGATATTTTGGATTCAATAAAAAACAAACCTCAGTCATTAACCTGGGACCCATAATTTCTTCAATTGTTTCACAGACAATTGAATGCTCCTGCTTTGCCTGAACTGTCAATGGGTTAAGTGAGCCAGATTTTCTAAGACCGCCAAGCTGGCCAGGCTTGTTTACAGCTATTGGTGTAATAGTGTGATTCAAAAACATGAAGTGATTTAAAGAAACAACAGAAATGTGATATTAAAAAAGTGTCATCCAAATAATAATAAAATGCAGACAACAAATGTGACACGTTGAAGAAAAATGTGAGAAACAATATATAAAAACGTGTGATTTAATTTTTTTAAAACCGCTAAAAAAACATTAACAATCAGGCAGATTCTTGCTGCTTGAAGATTTGAAGAGAAAAAAACTAATTTAATCTTTATTTACCATTGCCTACTGTTCTGCCAGTTGGGACTTCAGAACTTTGACTTTCTGATCTAGAAGCATCATCTTTCAAGTTGTTTTTCTCAGTGTTCTTCTCATCCTTGTCTTTGCGTCTTTTTAAGGAAGCTTTTTTCAGTGCACCAATGAAAGCTTGTGTAGTGAAGTTATGATGGACTTGACTAGGTCTGAAAATTGCCCATTGAGATTAGCTTTCAGTTTAAAACTTAAATATAAAATTTCTAAAGAAAATGTTTTAGATAGGAATGTCTTTATATTTCTGCCTAATATTAAGTATCAGAAAATGTAATTAGTATTGACTAGGTCACTTTATAAATTTAAAAAATTCATCAAATGTAAACTGAAGTACTTGCTGTAAAAAATTGTTTTTTAAAAAAAAGAAACTTAACTCTATAAAGTTACATACATGTTAAAGGTAAATAAGCTAATGAAGAGAGATACAGCATTTAGAAAACATAATATTAAAAAAAACAATAACAAAAAGGAAGATAACTTACAGCTGGTCTTTGACTAATTCTGCAAGCATCTTCAGCCTGTTAGCTAGTACAGCTGGCGCCCTGAATCCCAGGGCAGCACATTTAGCTTTAAGGACCATCCCAATGTCTGGCTGCACCAGTGAAATGGTGCGGAACAGCTCTGTTACATCACTGGGGAGTTCAGCGGCTGGCAGTTCTGACACATCAATGCTCATGAAAAGTCCAACTGATTTCTTAATCAAAATCTGCAACATTTAAAATTCCAGACACGTTTATATTTGTTTGTGTACAAGTTTGATAATTTGTCCATACTTTGTTATCGTTAAATAAAGCTAACTTTACCTCTGTGCCATCCACTAGTTGCATGTATGTTTGTTTTGATCTCAAAGCCTGTACTATAGACTGCACATGATCAACAAGAACAGATAACCCTTGAGGGTTTAGGCTTTGGACACCTTTTAAAAAGCCCCAACACCCATCCTGAAAGTTGGTCAAATTGTTTTTTAAAAATGCATTGTTTTCTGTGCTTAAGAAATAACTATATTATAGCCATGTTTTATATTGTCTAATGTGTTATTGCTAAATAAAAACTGAATTTATATGACTTTAGACTGAGATAAAAGATTGAATATAAGTTCCTACAAAACAAATATTTTAATTTTAAAAATTATTAAAAATAAAACATGAGATAATTAGACATGTAAAACAAAAACGATGAATTGGATAATGAACATCCATGTTAGTCATTTAGTTAAAAGTAAAGACTAAATAAGATTGTGTTTAAATTTTTAGTTACCATGGCCAAGCCTTGAGCAATCTTTCCAATACTTGATGGACTCTGTTCATTAGACACTTGAAACAAGCCTAAGAAGTTGCCAAGAATATTGGCTAAACCCTTTCAAACAAAAAAGTTCATTTTTAATTTAGTTAATATTTACATATTGCCAAATGTGCTAAAATTTTTTAGTTATTAATCTATTTATTTTCATCAACATCTGATTAACATTCATTCCATAGATAATTACTTTGACAGTTTCTGTTTTTCCAACACCAGAAGAGCCTATCAGAATGGATCCCATCATTTGCTTCAGTGCTAAAGACATTGTGAGAAAGCATTTTTCTGTCACTGGAGTTGGTGACACACCAGGATCTGTGCCATAAAACTCTTTACCATGTTCAAAATGGGAGTCAAGGATCCATATTCGAGGAGAAGGTTTGGTATCAGTAACTGAAACAAAAGGTTTATAGTTTTATGTTAAATAAATTATAAAACGATATTTCTAAAAACAAAATAAACACAATGCCATGCAACTGAAAAAGTGATTTTAAATTTTGAAGAGCTTCTCAATAAGAAAAGAAATGATTTTCATTTGCTAGATTTTTTATTTTTAAAATGTATATACTAGACTAAATGTTATTTTTTACTTGTTTTACTATTATTTGAATTTCAGTTATGATTTTATAAGGAATTGTAGTAAATTAAAAATGTTCCTTGTGATAGAAATCTTATTATTTTTTTGAAATACTATGTTTACACAATTAAAAAATACATCTGACACCTGTCAAAATAGCTTGGAACAAACTTGATACATTTAATAATTATTCACATTCAAAATGAAAAGTAGGTGACAGAAAAACTTTTTTTTTTAAAACTGGAAATTAAATAATAAAAACTCTGTTTGAAGTATGAAAAAAACAAATCGTGCTACTTCTAGCAGGATATTTAAAAAAAAACTTTGCATAGTTGGTGAAATGAGCATATAAACTAAAAATAATATCTAAACAACAGTTGAAAAACTACAATTAACAAAAATTATGCAGGTCTCTAGCTCAATAATTGCTACAAAGTAATTTGTTTCACATATTATTACCAGATTCTTTAACAGTATCATCATTATCATCTGGAGTGGCTATTTAAATAATATGTAATTGGTAACCAGAATAAATGCAATGTTTTATGTACAAATAATTAAGGATAAATAAAATTATCAGTTTTTAACAATTTTACAAAAAAATTTTTTTTTAATTTGAAGGTTTTACAATAAGCTACAATTTTAAATTTCAATATTTTTAAGATGAAAACACATTTCTAAAAGTAATTGAAAGGTCAGAAAATAATCTTGTTATCATATCTTCATTTGTCAAAATAAATGCCTAGTGTTTTGTAAAATGTGTATTTGAATGTGTTATAGTGTAAGTTATGAGACATTCAGTTAATGTTAAATAATGAAAAAGCCATTCATGCACTCACCTGCCTGGGACCTCTCTGTGGAAGCAGAGGATGGCAAATGCTGGACTGTGAAAAAAAAATATCGTTTAGACTTTTAGTAAATACATTAGAGTTATCACATTTTGATTTCTTTCTCAGCATAGAAAAAATTATCTTTTATCTATTAAAAAATTGTGAAATTAATCCCTCACTAAGTTAACTAGTGCCTTACAAGACAACCAAAGACAAAAGCTGTTCTGATTAGGTTAATTTTATTTAAAATAAAACTAGACAAACCAGAAGATGGATCTGGCTGGAGATAACATCGAACACTTCGCCTCCATTCAAAGTCTGTTGTATCCCTCAGCTTTCTGTGGCAAAGATTTTCCAGTATGTCTTTGAGATATGTAGATTGCTGTGGAACAGAAAATAAAGTTAATAAAACTTTAAAAAACTTAAATAAATAATAAGAAGAATAATGCACAAAAATAAAAAGCACATCAACATAGATATACAAAATGCTTACTGTGATCATAGCCTCTAGACGAACTCTATGTTTTGGTTTCATTTGTTCATCAGAACTTCGCCAGGACCCCCTCTGCAGCACAGTGGCAAGTTTACTTGTTGCCAGATTGTATTTCCTGATAGCTCCCTGCAAAGACTTCCTGTCATACTTTAAATCAGCTATGGCTATCTCACATTCTGCACTCCAGTGGAAGAGCATGCCAGTTCTACACACTTGCGAGGGATACTAAAAAATTTAAAAAAAAATATATATCAAAACCTGAATTATTTTCAAAAAACATTTGCAACCATGCTCAATAAAACTAGCTGTTTACTTTTAGTGGCCATTCTTCTAATCCAATCCCATTTTTGCAGTCTGTAATGACAGCCTGGTTGAGAGAATGCAAAGTGTCACCAACAGAATCTCTTAGCTTACCAATCCATGTCTCAACACCATCTGTAATTGTCACCTGATTTGACAAAAACATTAGAATTATTACAGATAATGACTTCATGGGTATTGTAATTACAATAAATTTAATAAACTTTAAATATGATTTTACAAGGCAAGCACATGCCAAACAGTAAGAGTAAAACAATAATCAAGAGCTTAACTATAAAGTATAAGCTAATATTAAAAACATATTCAACTGATTTAACAAAATAATTTAAGAATGGATTAAAAAACTATTTAAAAAGTTATACAAGCAGAAGTTTCTTTTACGAGCATTTGCACTAAAACTTAAGACTGACTTACTTTTTCTGTGAGGTTTAGAACTTCTCCATCAGAGCTGTGCACAGCTACAGCATCCATTATAATGACTTCATCAACCAGACCCTCAGAGGGCAGCATGCTGGGTACGTGCTGGATCACACTAGGGTTGATGTTCTAAAACATGGTTACACTTTTTAAAATATGTATATATATGAGAAAGTGCTGTTTAAAATGTGGAAGTAGTTATGGGGCAGCTACATTTTTAGTTTTGTTCATTTAGCAAACAAAATGTAAAAAAAATATTTTTTTTAAATCATAGAATTTTAAGCTGACTTTAAGAATTTTAATAGGGAAACTATATTTATAATTATCTTCTCATAAATAAGAAAATGTAATTTTTAAAAAAGATAACTTAAAATTACATAAACTTGATGCAGCCTTTTATCAATTTTCGGAGGAGTGTTGCTGCGTGTGAGAGCAGACAATGTACTAGAGGCCCGATCTCTGTCTCTAGGTGACCCAGTCCGACCAGTGTTGCGCCTTTTGCTGCGAGTCTGATGTGTACCCTTATTATCTTTCACTTCAGTATCATGGTCACTGTCTTCTACATCAACTTCATGGGTTTTTTCAAGCTTGACGTCTGAGATTGCACTGAAGATCGACCTGGACAGTCACACAGATAATTAGCATAAAGCTGTTATCAAACGTTTTAATAATATACACAAACCATTTATATTAGAGATTAATTGTCCTGTAAGTAATCTTTAAAATACATTTTTTATCTTCTGTTTTTAATAGTAATTATTTCAATAAAAATTATTTAATAATAATTATTATTTAAATAATAAGAACTGAATAATAATCACATTTAAATAAGATGTACTGAATAATGATTATCATTTAAGTAATAATTATTTAATAATAATTTTTTAATAACAATTAATACCTGAGATGAGGTCGAACAGATTCCAGGTCATTGGGACGGCTGAGCAGAGCCAGTAAAACAGCATCAGATACAAAATAAAATCTGGGAAACATGCGTCTTTTGTTGTCCAAATAACCAATCAGACTTTTAAAGCAAATCTCCAGCTCCTCATGAATGTGGCGCAGTACAACAGCTTTAGGCACCTCACCACCATAGCAGCACTAAAGGAAAATACAAAGATGTTATAATTTAAGAAGGATTTTGACTCAATATAAATTTGTATTTCTAATAGAGAAATGTAGTCACCTGAAGCACATTGCGTGTATCAAATGCTCTTTTCATCATCTTAGTCCAGCCTTTGTCTATCCTGGCAAACCTTTTTGCTTCTTGTGGTAATTCCTAAAAGTAAAACAAAAACAAATTTTTAGTGTTTGATCTATATTAAGAGTCAGAACTTAAGAAATATTATATTTTAAAAACTAACCATCATTCTGCCTTGACTGTTAATAAATTATTAAAGACAAATTCCAAATTTCATTACATATCTTAAACCTACCCTGACTGCTGATGAATTATTAAAGACAGCTTCCAAATTTTATTACAGATCTTTGCTGATGAATTATTAAAGACAGCTTCCAAATTTTATTACAGATCTTTGCTGATGAATTATTAAAGACAGCTTCCAAATTTTATTACAGATCTTTGCTGATGAATTATTAAAGACAGCTTCCAAATTTTATTACAGATCATAAACCTACCCTGACTGCTAGTGAATTACTGAAGACAGCTACCAAATTTTATTACAGATCATAAACCTACCCTGACTGCTAGTGAATTACTGAAGACAGCTTCCAGATACTGCCACAGATCTTGGACTTCCAGCCACAATTCCAACACTTCTGCTACTTCCTTCAGCTTTTCAGCCCATGAAGCTGCCTCATCTCTTAGTGGCCCAATATATCTGTACATGGCATTCAAATAAGTTTTTAGTGTGGTCAAATTAACCAATGTGAACACAGTTAAATCAGAACTAGAAAATAATGTTTAATTTCCATGTTACATTTTTAAAGCATTTGTTTCAACAATACAAATTGCAGAAATAAAGTCTGTTAATATATTTTGAAGTCTGAATTTCAAACCTTAATGTAAGTAGCATTTCCAGTAATGTAAAACTAAAAATGTTAAAATAATTTTAAATCTGGATTTCAAACCTTGATGTAAGCATCATTGCCAGTAAAGCTTCAGCATCTTCTAATTGCTCCAACAAACGTTCTGTAAAAGCTTTGTCTAAAAACATTGGGCCCCTCTTCTTATAGTGCTCAAAGTTCAACACCTAAAATTTAACAGATAAAAAAAAATCAAAGATTTTTAAAACTCAAATAAAAGGATAGATAATGTACTAATAACTTACAGTATATGGGCTAATCATGCTTGATTAAAAAGTTAAACATATTAAAAGTTAGATTTTATCTGTTTTAAAAATAAAATTTCACCCCCTCCCCCCTCACCTGTTCAGTCCACTCCTCCTCAGTGACTCTCATCTTAATCTCAAGCTCCAGCTCTCTGCTGGCTCCTCTACATATCTCTTCCACTTCTGATCTGTGTCTGTAAACACAATTGGTGTGTTGTTAGCAAGTTAAGATTTAAAGGGTACTTTTTCTAGAGCGGCAGTAGTACTACAGTATCAATTTTGTTTCTTCTGATAGTATGTACATCAGGGTTAGGGTTAGAGTCATGATAATGACTAGGATGGTGGTACCAGCATAAAATTAATTTGCTATTAGCAGAGAGCAGAGAAGTAGATACAGACATATCAACATACAAAAATGTTAAATAAAGTTCTTTTTTTTTCAAGGGTAGGCCATATTTGTCTTAAAAATCACAATAATCTTTATAATAAACCTGACAGTAAATACAACTAACTTGATTAGTCCAATGTCCAAAAGATGGCAAAGTTTAAAGACATTGCCTTCCAGCTGAAAGGAGCTGTGTGTTACATGCATGACTTGTAGCCAGTGTCGGTTGCGGATTTCCTGAAAAATACAACAGAAATAAAAATTTAATTTTTTATGCCAATCAATAAAGTTAGGAAGAATGACAATTTTATCATGCTATAAATTTATAAGTATCAAGAATTAATCTGCATGTATTAACAGTACATATTGATAATGCTTTGACTAAGTAAATAATACTGATTTCAGTATACTGATTTCAGAGAAATTATTTTAGTCAAAAAAATGGTTCTAAAGTTTCCTTATTTAAAATTTACTGTAAGTCTCTCTTTTCTGGCTTAAGAAAAAGTTTTTTTTTATTCCTTGGAGATATATAATAACTTTTTGTGACAGTTTAAAGGCATTCTCAAAAGTGTTAAACTGACCTCAAGAACTAAATTAAGTAGTTAAAAATTGTTACATAGAAAATGAATTCTAAATTTATAACACCGATTGTTTATTAGAGGAATATATCAATGATTACATGACAACAGATTTAATATGATTTAATTCTACAGCAATAGTCCTATAACTTTAATGGTGTAATTGCCTATTTATATTCTTCAAGCTTATAATTATATTTTACAAATTTTTGCTGAGTCTGAAATAAAAACAACTATACAGCTAAACAAATCTATGTACAACAGTTAAAAGTTTAAAGGACAAAACAAACAAAAACGTCAAGCTATCAAAATACTTGAAATAAATGTGTTTGTGATAATATAAATGATTTACATTATATCATGCATCATGCATAGTAAATCAAACGATAACAATCACAGATTATTTCTACCAGCTTTTTCCAATAAAAGCCCTGTGAATTAATACCTTCTTAAGACATTTTAAATGTGCTTTTGCAAGGACGAATAGAAAAATCAATGTTAAAATATCAGTATTAATCTTCTGGCAAGTAGCCAGATGTGTAAAGGCAGGGTTTGTTCATATCCTGCTGTGAAAAAAGACACAAGATGCTCCCAACCAAAACTGAAGCATTTGCAAACTACTTAATCTAATGGTATTGTTTAACATAGCATAATAAATAACAGGAAAACATTTTAACTGAGAAGATGGTGCTAAATAAACATTGCAGACTATTTACAAAATAATGTCACAATAGTTTTTTTCCATTCACATACTCACATTTAGGTTAAAACGATTGGAACCCTGTTAAAAAATAGCACACTTTTAAAAGGACAAGATGCAACACTCAACAAATGAACCAAAATCACACAGTTCAGAAGATTGTATTATGTTTGAAGTTTTTTAATCATTTAGTTCAATATCTGATTTTTAAAGTAGATCAACCAACATTAATAAGCTTTTCTAAGAAAAGAAATTCTTTAGTGATGTTAGCCAAGCCTAAACATAACTAAATGTTTCTTCTGGTTTCCCAACACTGTCTGAATAAAGACCTTTGCTATTTACACAGGAGAAAGATAGAATTTATTGCACAGAATATTGCTATTTATACAAGAGAAAAAGAGAATTCGTTACACTAATCGTTGACAGGACTGAAATGACAGGTCAATCAGAATTTGTCTTAAAGTTCTAGTTATCTTCAACCATACCATTAGATTCCAATTTAGGAGACCTTTAAAACGTTTATTATTTTTAAAAATAAATTACTTTAATTTTTTTTAAATGTGTACACACAATTGCTGGAATAATTTTAAAATCTACAATTAATTTTAAAGAAAAGGACATCAACTAGAAGATAAAACCAGGGACAAAGAAAGAGAATCTTATTGAAGTATCTAATTTAAAAAAAAATACCTTGGAAGCTAACTTCTGCAGCAATGGGAAAACCTCTAAGTAGTTCTGAAGTTTTGTTCTCAAGTCATTGTAAGCTTCCCAGTCCTTTAACTTACTGGGCAGGGCCAAACATTCATCCCAATAGCCTTCAACCTGGAGGTCACATTACATGCATTCAACTCATTTTATTTTGGGTTTAAAATAATTAAAAAATGAAAGTCAATAAATTAACCACTTCATTTTAAATGATTTGTTCACATTTGCAGAAAGTATTTTTATTTTTTGTTCTCCAACTTTGTTAACAAATTAACATAAAAGCTTAAAGAAGTTAAAACCAGAAGCTACTAAAACTTTCTTTCAATAAAAGATTACTTCAGATGATGAGGCCTCAAGATCCACTTCTGCCCATAACGTATCTCTAAATTTGTTGTCAAACTTGATAAATTTTTGGAATAATCCATAAAGTTGACTAAGGAGATCAAGTTCCTGTAAAATTAAAAAAGATTTAGATTTTATTTTAGGAAAATCAAAAGCATTCTAGTTATAATTGAATGTTAAAAACAACATGAAAATATTTCTTTAAACCTATATAATTATTTTTCTAGGTAAAGCTTTGCAACTTTTTATTTATTGTCGTATTTTTAAAAAACTCCACATTAAAAAAAATACAATTAAACGTTTAACTTATTGTTATATTTATGATAACTAGCCACAGTAATCATAAATATCAATTTATCTTTAAATCTATTGCAATTATTTTGTAATTTATGATTAATCTCCAGTACTTCTCCTGTTTTATCCAGTTCTGGGAATGGCTTGCATGAAATGCTAAAGAGCTTTGATACAGAGTCCAGAGTTTTGCGCTTGGTATCATATATTGTGTATCTGTACTGGAAGTCTTGCAGCCTTGACACAGCTTCTGATGGCTGAATGCCAGGCACAGCAGGGCCTTGGGCATCAAAGGCATTGCGGAACTGAATCACTTCCACAACAAAAGTCTAGAGTGTGAAATTATAGATTATAAAAAGATATTTAGGCAAGCTGTTTTTCTGACTTGTTATATTCAAAGAGATAATAATAACTGTTTTGTAGAGATAAATAGGCCTACCCGTTTTAAAATAAAATAAATTATTTATTGTGCTTTTATTTACCTTGACTTGCTTGTCTAGCTCTTGCTCAAAAGCACCTCGTCTTTCTTTAAGAAGAACATCTCTCACTTGATCTGCTATCTCTAGAAGTTCAGCCCATTTTTCTCTCAGATGGTCAACTTCTTCAACTTCTTCTCTAGGTAACCGGAGGTCAAATTCTCTGGAAAACAAAATTGTATGTAATATAATTATAGTCTTATGAAAATATAAAATATAAAAATATCTTTTTATGAGACTTTTGAATTTAAAAGCTTTAACTTATAAAGATAATGTTAAACTTGAAACATCAGATTCTTTGTCAAAAGAAATGAAACAAAAATTACCTTAGTTTTGAATACATTGTTTCAATAGGTAAATAAATGCCATCAATTTTATTTTCCATGTCTCTGAGTTCTTCCAACAAATGTAGGGCAGAGTTCAGCTGATCCAGTGTCTGCACATGCTGCTCAAGCCTCTGTCTAACATTACTCCTGTACAACACCACGCTGTCCAGATTTTTCTATTGAAATAAAGCACAGCTAAATAAATACATTTCTGTTTCAACTATTTTATTAGCTGGTATTTCACCACAATAATGAACATTAGGTCTTAAAAATGTATAACTTTCTTACAATAAAATACAGAGTTTATAAGAACAAATAATAAATAAAATTACAAAAACAAAACAACAGAAATATATAAACAAATATTACCTTGGCTTCCTCATGTACAACAGAGGCAAATTTCGTTTTCCATGCAATAGAAAAGCCATGAAGGCTGTCTTTAATGGGATCAGAAAACAAACTGATAGGGCCAATAGGAAGAACAGATGGAATTCCCAAAACTTTCTGCTCCAAGTAAACATAGCGCTCCACCTGTCCAGTAAAAAAACCAGAGGAATTCTTTTTAAATTTTACATAATTAATGAGCAACTGAAAGACACTTTCAATAAATTAAAAATTTTGATAAGATTTTTTAAAATTTGTTTTAGACAATATTAAAAATAATTAGAGAACTTTGCAGAACTTAAAAATTAATTAGCACCTCTCTTTTGATTGCCACCATCCCTGGTTCAGCGGCTATGAACTCATTGAAATTGCCATGCATGTCATCCTTCCAAAGGAAATTGTAGTAACTGAAGTGGAACAGGTGTCGATTCACCTGGCTTCCAAGTTCTAAAAAAGACAAAATATTTCATTTGCTTTTGCAAAAAAAAAAAAATTTTAAGAAAAATTAACACACAAAACAAAAAACTTGGTTAAACAGAGTATACATGATTTATAATCTGATTGGCTTTTAACTGGTGGTAGCACATAAGACTGTGCAGTGCATTTACATGAAGATTACCTTCAATTACAGAAGTGAGTTGAGAATAGAGCTCTTGTACATTGGAGTCACTGATTACTTTTTTACCAAAAGAGTCCTCTCCTGATTCATTCATCCATGAAACATCTGAAATAAAACAACATTAATTTTATTTCTATTCTACAATGTTAGTGATATGGGCTTAATAAATCTGAAGGTACAGAATCTTTTTAAAAAGTCAAATTCCTAAATCAGTTAACATGTTCTTTACCATTGTTAGCTTCAAGAATAGCATTGGCTGTTTGTGTAATGGCATTTTGTACAACATCTAGCGTTGGCTCCACTATGATGTTGGGAATGGAGAACTTTACACTGACTTCAAATCTTGACAGAAAGAATGAAAGATAAACATTTTCTTTTTTTCCCAGGAAAAACGTAGAACTATTTTTTTAATGTCACTTTGTTTTCTCAAATATATAACAGAAACAAAAACTAACAAAAATTCTTCAGTTGTGGTAAAGTCAAATGACTACAGTTTAAGCTTACTGTAGAAGTGTTTTGATGAAAGTTGTCTCTCCAGGAGACCATGTCATTGTTGAAAGGTTTGTTACAGCACTTCCTGGTCTGTCTGATGCCTGGGATTGTCTCCCTCCACTAAGTACTGAGTTTGCTCGACTGTTGTCAGGACTGTTCAATCAACAATTATATGCAATAAACCACATATTTTCAAGAAATAATGTATACTTCAGGTAATTAAAAAATAAAAAGTCTAAAAACCTCACCTGAAAAAATGGCTGGACACCCCTCTGGGTGAGGGAGAGCTGCAGTCACTGTCTGACTCAAGATTAGAGTTGGGAGAGTAAGCCCTGATTACCTCCCCTGTGCATCCTGCTGCATCAGCTAACAGAGCCAAGGATTTGGTTGTTACACTTAAGACTGCTTGATAAACCTGGTCCTTAAAATGATCTGTGAAGGAATATAATTCATGACTTATATATTGCATTATTTTAATTTTAGGCACTGAAGTACTAAATGTCGTAAAAATTAAAACAAAATATACATTAAACTTGCAAGATATGACTTATTTTTCCATTTTTTCATTGATCAATCCAATATAGCCTAACGTAATTGATTTTCACAAATTAACTTAAACACATAATATGATAATAATAGACATGTTATTCTATTAAACATAGAAAAGTTACAAATATTCAATTTATAACTGTTACCCAATAACAATAAACAATATATTTAGTAGCTAATTAATACTATTTTACCTATTAATTCTAACAGATTGTTTTCTTCTGTGGCTGCATCTTGTTTTTCTTTTTCAAGATCATCTTCCGCAAGAATCATCTGCAGTTTCTTCTCTTTTAGAACTTGCTTATTCTCTTGCTAATTTTGAATACAAAATTCTATTAACACAAAATTGAGACTAAGATAAATTTAAATGTAAAAAAAAAAATAATGAAAAAAGAGCTTACTAAGATGATATTCGTTTACAAGCAGATTCCAGGTTTTTGAATAAATATACTTTTAAAGTTAAATACAGAAATATTATAAGTTGAATAATTATAAATTGTGGAGACAGATTTAACTGTATCATACTTTAAAGTAATAATACAAAATAAAAATCATTAGAGATTTATAAATAAAGGTTGCTGCATCACATTCCAAAATATGGACAACAACAGAAATCAATGCAAAGTGTATTGACAAAAATATTATGAATGAATGATAATCTACAAAGCTATAGTGACAAAACACACACAATATAGATCAATTCAACATCAGTAAGTAACTCAAATAAAGCTAAGTCAGCCTAAATTAATATGAGAAATGCAATACAAAAAAAGCTTTATCTTAATTTTTATTCCAAAATGTTTTGAAAGGAAAATTAGACAATTTTGCAACTATAATTAGGTACTAGAATACCCGTCATCCGTTGGATAACTGTGGGTTTCGGGGGTCATCCATCAAAAAACATCACGTCTGTCACTCAGAGGCATAGCGACCCTTCCTGGCGCCCGGGGACAAACTTTTCGATTTTAACCCCCCCTCCCAAGATTTCAATTTTCAACCTCCCCCCCTCAAACTTTTGATGTGCACCCCCACCCACTCAAACTTTCGATTTGAACCCCCCCCCCTCAACCTTTCAATTTATTTTTCCAAACCATTTTGGCGCCCCAACATATGTCCCCCCGCCCCCCCCTTCCCCCCTCCACCTCCCCTCCCCCCCCCCCCCCCGCCTCCCCTCCCGCCCCCCCCCCCCTCCTCGCTACGCTACTGCAGTGTCACTTATCGTCAAAAAAAAACAGACCCCACTTTCAAAAATTTGTTTTTTATCTTTTAAAAACACCGAAAACACCGATTTCGGACTATCCCTTCATATACTGACTTCATAGGTGACCTACTCAACTCTACTTCACCTGCCCAGTGTCCCGCCAAGTCTCAGACAACATGTTTTTATCGTTTAAAAAACGATTCCAGCCGAGCATGTCTCTGACCACACTATCCTTTCATATGCTTAGGACAAAGAAACAGACAAACTCTACTTCACCAGCCCTGTATCCTGCCAAGTTCAGATAGGCAACTTTATTATTTACATCTAAAAAAAAAAAATTGAAAAAAAAAATCATTGACGAATTGGTCTAGAACCTGTGCCACCCACATGAGAGCCGACCTCACTACCAAGTTAGCTATTTACTCGTGACATTACAAGTGAAGTTTTATACTATACTTTGAGTCTCCTTACGCGCATAGATCTACATCTAACTCTAGTAGTAGTAACTTTCAAATTAAATTTTATCTTAAATTAGCCAAACAAAAATTTATATAAAATAAAGAAGGTCTGAAATTATCTAGATCTAGATAGAATTATCTAGATCTAGTCTAGATTCTACGACTCTTTTGCTTAAGTCTTCTTATGTTTAGTTTTTCTTGCTAGACCTAGAATCTAGATCTAATCATTAGCTACGCTTATAGGCCCGGAGCGAGCATTTCAAAATTACCATATTCCAAACAAAGATTTATATAAAATAATAAAGGTCTAAAATAGTTTAGTATATAGAAAATCATTATCTAAATCTAGATAGAAAATTATCTATATTTTAGATCTACGACTGAGCTATATCTAGAGTTTACGTCTATAATTTTGCACACTTAGCGGTATAGAAGCCGCGTATGAATCTTAAGTTATGCAAATAGGCCCCGCATCCAGCATTTCCTAATTAGCATATTTCATAGCTATACAAAAAAAGATTTATATAAAATAATAAAGGTCTAAAATAGTTTAGTATATAGAAACTCATTATTATCTAAATCTAGATAGAATTATCTATATTCTAGATCTACGACTGGTTTGCTAAAGTTTCGTTTTTTTTATTGTATTTATAACTAATAAATCTTGGATTTGACCTAGATTTTTAGATTCTAGATTCTAGATCTAGATCTATAAATAACTTTCCTTCGACAGCTGATCTTTAGACCTAGAGAAATTTATTGTAAAACTAAATGAAAAAGACAGTTGAAAATTGATATAAGTGTTGGAACGTAATAAATACAGCAAACGGACGTATTGTTAAAGTTAAAGCCGACAGAAAATTAGCTTTAGAACGCGTTAAACATTGGAATGGGAACACAATCTTCTTCGATAGGCCGCCATTATCGATGTAAAAAAATAAACACATCATGTGACGTCACTGTTTCCGTCGAGTCTAGTGGCTTTTCAAATCTTTTTTAAAAAAATGGGTTAATCTGCATATGAATAAATCAATTAATTAATTAACGTCTTTAAATAAATTTGTGATCAACAGTCTGTCTGCATTAAAAAATTATTCTCTACCTGCATACCATTTTACAGCTTTCCAGATAGAGTCGAACATATCACAATTTTCGATCAGGCAAACAAATAAATATTCAAACATGTAAACAAAGTTGAGTTTTAGTAGTATAAATAGATAATAATGTAAAAACAAGCATGTTAAAATAACTTTTTAAAAATATGCTAGGTTGATTACATAACTTGTAATTATTTTAAAATGTATGTAACATATATATATATATACATATATATATATATATATATATATATATATATATATATATATATATATATATATATATATATATATATATATATATATATATATATATATATATATATATATATATATATATATATATATATATATATATATATATATATATATATATATATATATATATTCATGCTATTCAGAAAAAAAAATTTATATGGCTTTAGCAACAGAGTGAAATAAAAACAATTAGCAGTGATTAGGTAATTTTAAAATTTACCTTGCGCTTGTGCTTTAATAAAGATTTAAGAAACATGTGTTTAAGAAAATACATGCAAGTGTTAAATGGGTGAAAAGAAAAAAAAAAGTTGTGCAATTTTATTACCCATACACACTGTTATAGCTTGTTTTGCCATATAAGGCAAACCCAAACCTTAACTATTTCACCCACAGCATAATTTAATCTTAAACTAGTTCTTAACCTTATTATAGTATTAAAGTTTAAGGAGTGCAGTATTATTGTGTGTTACACTATATAAATATGTAAATAGGATAAACTGATTTTTGAAAAATCTGAAAATTATTTATACCTGTATGAGAATGTGAGCTACATTTTAGTACACGTATTCTACTTAAGTCCTAAGAAACACATATTACTAATTTGTATTTACAGATAATGAGAAGACAGTGCAACTTAATTAAATATATATATATATTGTGAATATTATACAATGTGCAAAATTAAAGATTTTTACAGTGCACACAAACATGTTGTGGAGCTTTGGATACAAATTAATTAGTCGCTGACAAGTCTTTTTAATTTTAGTGAGTCAAACTGAACACATTTACCACACTATAAAGATGTGTGTTGAATGCAAATAAATGCTGATACTTTGTTGAAAAATACAGCTTTATTTCATGCACATTTTTTAATCCAATATTTTAGGATTTATCCATATGTTCTCATTTGACCACAAAAAATTCTTATTAGGAAACTAATACCATTATATGAAACATCACAATTTAAATACAAATAAAGATTTTTCAAATCTAAAATACCTTTTTTGTAGTAAGGAGACTAGTAATGGTTTGTAATCCATCTAAAACTGTTGCCACATAACCCTGCAGTATTTTCGATCTTTCTTTTATACTCTCCATGATCTGAGTGTAGAACTCTTCAACTTGCTAAAGTAGTAAACAAATAACTTATTTATAGATATTTCTAAAATAATTCAATGTAGCTAAAATTACTGTTCTAAATTTTGTTTGATTTATTGTTTATCTTACAGTTTTTCTGAAACATTTTCTGTTGAGATATTAGGTATTATGCTAGTTGTAAACAGTGTTGGAAATTTTGTTTGTCCTTTTTTGTACATACCTACTATAGTAAAAATAAGTAGATCAACATGTTAAAATAGTAACCTAATTTCTTTTATTTCATTTTTCCAACAAACCAAAAACCTAATTCTAGAGAAAATTTTGGCTAGCTATGAAACTTGCTGAAGGTATTATTTAGCAAGTTGATAATGAGATTTCTGTATTTAAATAAATGAGTTAATAAGAACACACCCAAGTTTGAGAGAAAGCCATGTCTGCATCATACAAACAGAAGTTCTGGATTGTGTGGATTGTTCCAATAACTTTCTCCATCATCACGTGATTGACCTTTTGACTCAAAAGTTTAAGTCTGTCTAGCGCTGAGTGAATTTGGTGGAGGAATGCATCTGTGCAAAAAGAGGAAAAACAGATGGTTAAATAAAAATTTTAAATATTAAATTAATTGGTATTTAACCCATTATAGCAATAACTATAAACTATATTTAAGAAAAAATTTAAACATTACTAGAAAGAAACAAATTTATTTTATGAAAAAGAAAAGCCAATTTTGTAGAAGTAGTATTTGAAATGTGTGTTGTCATTAACTGTGGTTCTGGTTGTAAATGAAAAAATAAATCAACTATGATACATGAACAACCCTATGTTTATAATGTTGCATGAGTGACAAAGCTGAATTTAAAAAATCTGATACTAAAAAGATTTAAAACCTGCACTAACATATGTTTGAAGTTCATATACATATTTTTGATGGTTGAACTCACCTATGTTCATGCTGTTCCATGCCAGTGATGAGAGACCAGGCTGAAGTTGATGCTGCACATACAGGACATGAGGGGTAAACAGCTTCACAAGTGGAGCTGGAATGGCCTTGCACACATCTCTACATTTTTAACATACAAAAAAAAATTTCAGACTAACAAATTTTTTTTAAATTAAAAAAATTAAAAGTGACATATGGAAAAACTAAAATGTATTTGATGATATATATTTTTTTTAAATTTACCGTAATGCTCATATCCATATCATTTAACAGTGAATTATTAAGACCAATTGTAAATTCTAAAGTAAATACTTGACAGAAGATACACATTAAAAGTTCTGACTTGAAGTCACGCAGCACAAGCTCCAGATGACTTTTGTATCCTTTGAAGCGCTCCTCCTGTTGCATGACTGCCAGGGCTGAATCTGGGACTTGAATGTCCAGTCTGGTCATCCACTTGGCCTCATGAATCAGTTCAAGGACTCTGGTAGCATGGTTGATTAGAAAGGTTTTGATCATTCCATATATTTAGAGAAAGTTAATTTAGTAAAATAAAGATGATAAAAAATGTAAAAAAAAATAACAAGACTTTCCATTTTAAAATCAGGTCAAAATTAAAAAGAAATGTTTTGTAAAAAAAAATTAAATTACTACTACCTGTCATCTGCATTGACAATGACCTCCCCTGTTGCAGGGTGAAGAACAAAGAGAGTTGCTTTGAGGCCACTTCTGGCTTGCTCTATGCTATTTTTCCACTGAGTGTACCACAAGCTTTCAAATGTCACCAGAGCAGTGGCAAGTTTGTTGTACATCCTGACCTGGGAGCACATTAAAGAAAAAAAAAACATTTCACAGAGCCAAACATTTGAGTCCTTACTAAGACAAATGTATTTTAACGTTAATGGTACTTAGTATTGCTTAAGGAATGTTATGACAAATTAAAGCCTTCTTTAGATAAACACATCTTTCATTGTTAAAAAAATCAAAGCCTTCTTTCTTCAGATAAACGCATGTGTAATTGTTTTAAAAGTACTAACCAAACGGCCATAGTCAGCCAATGAAGTGACTGCTTTAATATCTCTGAAGATTTTCATTGGATCTTCTATCCTCTTAAGAAGTTGTCTAGACCAGTAAATGGCACCAGCAACAGGGGGTGCATTTCTCACCATAATTGGTTTCTCCTGAAATTTATTTTTCAACTAATTTTTAATACTTTTTGTAATTAACATCAACTCATAATTGATTTTCTCCTGAATTTTATTTTAAAATTAATTTTTAATTATGCTTCTAATTAGCCAAACACATAATTAATCTCTCCAGAAATTTTTGTTGAATTGAATACAACTATTTATAGTAGCATACCTTATTCTTTTCATAAATATTTTGCACTTCATCAAGATCAGCTTCATACCATGCAAAGATCTCAACATATTTATCAGAAACTGTTCCCCTCACCTCAGAACGTGTGGCTATAGGGCTGAATCTGGCAAAAAACATTATTGATTTCAGATAATCAGTAATTAAATTAATATTGGACTTTTTCATATCATTTTGGGAAAATTGTCACTATAAGAATAAACTGCATATTTTTAAAACTATGAATGAAGTGTATACTTGGTAAATAGCTTGACTTATTTTGTTTTGTAAAATATTTGGACAAGTAATGGGACTTGGGTAATTTTTACCCATGGCTCCCAATGACAACCAAGATTGCTGGCCTTTAAATGTAAAACCAATCAGAATAAAGTCTAAGGCTTTAATGATTAATAAAATAAATAACAATGAAAAGCTTCATCTACAGTGACAGACTTATGAATGAAATAGTAAGTATGAATATCATAACTTTAAAAATGTTTTTGTTGATTTTGTATCCCAACTCACTTTGTGATTATGTCCAATCCTTGATGAGTTTTCATCTTTCTCAAAAAGATAACATGCAGGTACGCTGTGAGGAAGTTTTCAAGGTCTTGAACAACAGATTGGAATGAATGAAAGTGCGAATCGAATCGATCTTTGTCCTTGAAATAAAAGTATTACAAAAATAAATCCAAAGACTATTTTAAATAATTACAAGAAATGTAACAATTACTTTCCTTTAAAATATTCAAAAAGTGTGTTATGGAAGATTTTAGATTTGAGTTGTTTGAACACTACTGCTTTCAAATAAGTTGTTTTGCTTTGAAGTTGTGCCAAAAATTACTTTTTGCACTAGTATCAACAAGAGAGTCAAGTAATAGAGAAGGGAGAGAACTGACTTTTGATTCAACATCTAGCACTGTCTTTGTTGAGACATGGTCTCTTAGTATCCCATTCATTTTTGTGACATGCTCATCTACAATTGTTGACACATTTGGACCCTCCACTTCTGGAGAATCAGGGTAATAAATCCCTAAAATGAGAGTTAAAGAAATACAGTTAGATAAAGGAAAAAAAAATCACAATTTAAAAAAATATAATTTCTTATAATATTTGATTACAGAAATCAATTACTAGATTACTACATATTAGAATGTGTTAATCAAATTAAAAAATGCTAATTTCTTTATTCCTATTGATAATGAATTTGAGAATCAACATTTACTCAAGATAGCCAACTCCTCCGCTGTTAGCCCCTTGGGTTTACTCTCTTCTGTGTCTACATTCACTCTGGAATAAACCTTATGGGCTGCAGCTTCCTCTATGGTGTTGTCTGGACTGTCAGTGGGCAGGTGTTCATCACCCTCAGCAATGACCTGAAGAGATCTGTCTGTCTCAGGGAGTGAAACTTTGATGTCAGGAATTTCTGAATCACCAAATTCATCCTCCTCTTTCTCTAGTTCAACTAAAAACCAGAAAAGATGATTTTTTAAAAAGATTGCATTGGGCTGTTACTAATTATAAAAATGTATCATTATTATATTTAAAAAAACAGCATACAATTATTTTTTTTATTTTAGACAAAAGGTGTATTGACTCATCATCATCATTGCTTGAGAAACATTGTGAACCATGAGGTAACAACCACACATCAGCTGTGAATTAATTTGTGTGGTGGTTCCTTGAGCTAGGTTCACAATGATTCTTTGAGCATCTATAAATAAGTTTAAACTGTTGAGAACTAAACTATACCAGCAGGTAAGTCTTTAGGTTTTTTCTGTTTGTGATCTGGCTCTGATGATTCCTCATTGTAAATGAGATCCTCCTTCCTTGGACGAGGTAAACCAACCAAACCTTTGCTCAATCTAAGCAGTAAAAAAAATAATATTTTTGGATAAACTAATCTTAAAAATTAAATAAAAAATAAAGGTGAAGTTTCTGTTACAAAACAGTATGATTAAAATATTTACAGAAAAACACACTAGATCTAGTTGTGCCATGTGGATACCTTTTAAAATATTTAATCAAAACATTTTAAAATACAAATTTGAAAGAACAAAACTTAAAATAATTTACTTGTTAAATTGTGCCATTGTATGGATGACTTCCAGGACTTGTCTTACTCTTCCACAAAATGAATCTAAATGTGCCATTATCACTTCCTCATCAGCCATTGGTGAAAAATTGCTCCCCATATCAACACTTTTTTTAGGTGATAAAGTCGGAGGTTGATTGCCCTTTTGACCAGGAATGCTTGTCTTTCTTCTTTATGATAAAAAATGTATACAGAACCATTGAACCTTTAATCAAATAACAGAAGTATTTCTATGTCATATCATAAATATCTTTCTAAAACTGATTCAGCCATACTGTAATAAAATTGGCCACATACTTGTGTGGACTAGGTGCTGTACTGTAGCTGCTGAGAGATGATGGATGGGATATGGACTGAGTGGCACCCAGAGTTTCTCTCAGTGAGCGCAGAGCCTCACGGTAGGATACCTGGAGTTGTAAACAAGCCCGTAACCTGGCAAGCAGGGTCTCCTCTGACAGCTGTTCAGTTTGAGAATCTCTGACTTTAGATTTTGTCTGTTCACAAATGTTAGAACTATATCAATATTTATGTTCATTATTACTTAACTATCTTTCTATGTGAAAGCAAAAAAATTTGCTTGTATTTCATTAAGCAATACATTACCTAAAGAGTAAAGCTTATTGATTATGTAAGAAAAAGAATATATGTAATACATATAATTAATTAAATACTTCATAAATTAATTAAATAGAATGAATTTTTTTTTAAATAATATATAATGAAAACTAATAAGAACCTTAAGCTTGTTTTCCCCATGCTTATTGAGTAGTTTAAACAGGGTATCACTTGAATGTGAGATATCCTTTTTTGTGATCTCTTCAGTAATTCTTTGCCAGAGTTCATCTTTGTCTTCCAAGATGTTGTGTGTCAGCTGTTTAATATAGTCCTTGCATGCTTGTACAAGTTGATTAGTCACCTGTCAATACATTTTTGAGTCGTTCACATAATAGATACTTACAAATTATATAAGTAAAAGCTTATAACTAAGTATTTCTTTAAACATATTTTTCTTTTAACATTTACCTTTGTTAGAATAACCACAAGGAAACCTGTTCTGGTATAAAATCTTGAAATAGAATCCATCTGTTTGATGGTACCAATAATACCAGGAATTGCAGTGTTGATAATACTGCTGGGAGATGCTTCTTGATACATCAGGTCAAAGTACCTCTTCAGTGAATCCAAATACTTTACTTTATCTTTTGTGTCATTCAGATTATCTGTAATGCTTCAGTATTTTACATAATATGTTAGTTTCTTTTCAAATAATATGCTATTCTATTATTAAAATTAGGAATATGTTAAAATAATTTTCTTCCAGATTAAAATTTGTTAAATTGGAAAGAGCTAAGGTTATAACCTTAGAAGGTTAATACATAAAAAAGACGTTCTTCTCAAAAATGCCACACACACTTTTTAAATATTTTAATACTGGTGGAAATATTGTAGATAAGGCATGATAAAATATAAACTGTAAAAAGTATAGTAATAACATTAGCCTATGTATAATGAGTTTTACCTGGAGTCTGTCATTTTCCATTTTTTAAGTAGACGAGATTTTGCGGTGATCAGCACTGCAAGTACAGCTTTGCACTCCTTTCCTTTCAATTGCTCTGTGATGCTTGTAAGCAGACGTTGACGCCTCTTCCATCTTTCTACTTCTGACAAAGGACCAGCATTTGGATCCAAATATCTTTAGCAAACAAAAATCAAGATATTGAAAGACATTATGTCATTCCTAAATTCAAATGATTAAAAACCTATTAATAGGAAACAGCAGAGTTTGCTATTTCTAGTCTGTATTACTTATTATTAGTTTAAGTAATTACACAGATTTCTTGGACTTTCTTATTGTCACACAATCTCTGCCTCAAAAGATATTTTATAATACTAGTTAATTTTATACATTTTACTCTGTACTCAAAGCTGAAAGTGGAACTTATTGAGATAGATAATGCTAAAAGCCGAAAAAATTAAAAAAATGAATTTCACCTTTCATCTGCAGAATCATTTAAAATTGCTTCAATTGTATTGATCCAGTCACTAACTAAGTTTTCATATTGAGCAATTAAGTTGGGATCAAGGGCAGCAGCTCTTTGTTGCTTGAAATCATTAAGGATAATATTTTCTGGTTGTTTTAACATCTGGGAAAAAATACATAGAAATACATTTAAAAATCCATATAAGAGTAATAAGTTTTAAAATATTAAATAACCCTGCATAACTGTTAATTAAAAACATCTGATTTGAATGAATAGCATGTAATAGTAGCATACTCATTGTATAACTACAAGAATCTAGATAATTTATGAGTACTAGCAGGTTGTATCAAAGCTAATCTTTTTTTCTAATATATTTTCCCTGGCTGTAGTTTTAGCCTAAACCCTATGGTCAAGAATAGCATAGTGATGCCAGCCAAAATAAGCTTCAAATATCCAGTCAGTTTTAAGAGAAATCCAGTTTTTTTATAAAATTTATACTTAATGTATTTTAATTTTTTAGCCTAAACAATTTATTTTAAGTATATTTTATTCTGCAGTAAATCTACAAACCCATTGTCTTGAGTGGGTCATAGAGGCAGCAGTTTCATTTAATGCTGTGACAAACTTGTCCATATTATGCATTAAGGTAGTCTGGCTCTCTTCATCACACTGACCCCAGTCTTTTTGAGCTCTGATGAGTGGTATGTAAATGTCTGATAACAGTGAATTAAGGGTTTCTATTGTGTTGTGCTTTAGTTCACCACAAAATATATCTCTTTCCATTTTCGTTGGATCAACATCTTTCTCCGTGCTTTTGCGAAGGAAATACAGAACAGTAACTTTCTCCAACTGCACATCTTTAAGTGTTGCCAAATTTCCTGTACAGTGAATTTCTCTTGCATTGTCCAACGAATCTGATTTTTCACAATAGAAAAAGAGACGGCATGGGCCGCCTGCCTTGAGAAACTTATTTACTTTACTTAGCGTGTTCTCTTCGCACATAAACTCTTCTAAATGTGTCGGATTCTCCAAGTTTCCAAGTTTGAAACTTTCTTGGATCCTGGATGCAACCCACCAATGCCTTTCGTCCATTTTTCTTATAATCTTTCGTTAATGCTAAACCATATATATTTGAGTTAGACAATTATTACTTTCATTTTAAAATATTTTTTCATATAAATTCACTGTTGATAATTGCTAAATATTCTAATATCAAAAGAAAGTGGGCTGTAGAGGCATTCGACAGCCATGTTTGTTGTTATTGGTTACGGCAGGAAAGGGCTATAACTCGAAAAGCTAACAAGTTATCTAAAAATGTTTCGCATTCTAAAATTACATGAATTGAAAATTATCAATACAATAAATGTAAACGTCCTAGTATTTGCACGCGTGAATGCAAAATCGACGAATAAAAGCTGGTGTAGAAAAATTAAATACCTGCTAGCTAAAATAGTTAGATTAATAGTTCTTGAAAAGAAAATAATGATCAAAAACTGGATCAAATCTCGTACAATATTAAATTTACTTTTTTAAAAATAATTTTATTTTTATGAATCCAAATATTTCTCACATAAAATTGCTTTTTTTTGCCAAATGGTTTACATATTCTTTAGCAAATGTAAAAAAAAAAGTTTTCAAAAATCAGTTGTAAGTTGTTTTTTTAGAACTAATAATATGTACACGCCGACCCGCTATTCAGTTTTTTTATTTTCTACTTTTTAGTAATTTATAATTTGTGAATTCCACACTACCAATGCTGCAACTGAAAATATTTTGCTTTAAAACACTATCAGTAGTTCATGAAGGACGATAGCGATATGGTTTGTTGCACATGCCTGAAGAGCAAGGGGGGGGGGGAGGGGAAAGAGGAGGGTTAAATAGTTGTCTTGCTACACAGTGGTATCCTATATGAGAATTTTCATATATATATAGATAGATAGATAGATAGATATGCTTCTTTTGTTACTGTTATCCATATATTCCTATAGCCCTTTTGTCTCATCAATACAATACTGTTGATACAACAGTGGTTAGTGTTAGCTCTACAAGTATGTGGGTATGAATTAGCAGTAGGTTTCATACAAATTCACAAAATGCATTAAAAGCATTGTTTAAAATATTTTGAGTTTTTTCAATGCATGAAAATCGTTTTTTTTATGTATACTAGTTTAATACCAGTTTGTTTATCCAAAACTTTATGATTGATCTTTAGGAACAACCTGTTTGAGCCATTTTGAATTGTGTGATGTTGGAACTATTAGAGAGATTTCTGGGCCTAGATTACAATTCCGTTATTAAGTCCACTGAGTTTGTTAGAAGGTAGCTTGCCCTACACACTAACAAATGTTCACAAGGACAACAGTTTGGATGACTACATTAATCTGTGCCAAATTAAAAAACCCAAAAAGAATGATAAAAACTGGAAGACGAATCATAAACGTTTAAGCAAAGTAAATATTTAATATACTCAAGCAATTAAGTATAATTTGCAATTATAAAATATGACATAATTTCTCAGTGTCAAAAATATACATAAACATTCCTATACATGAACATTTAAAAAAAAAAACAATGTCTGCATAACAGATATGAAGAAGATAAAAAAAATTCTTAAAATATCATTCTTAATACACTTGTGTCAAATCAGGGATAGCTCACAATTCCACAATAAGTTTTCTTGATGATAATAGTCTAGCTTTTTTCAAATAAACTTAAATAATTTTTTAATATTGCTATATTTATACACCTCAGCTAAAAAATGAAAATATAAGTAAAAAAGTTTGCATAATTTTTACATAAGAAATATACAAACAATTTTACTCCCTTTTGAAAAAAAGTGGTTTAAAACAACAGCTATATTGATAACTCTTCACCTAATTTTATGTACTAAAACTACTATAAAATGCCTTGACATTCTTGAAATAAAAACATAGTGTTGTTTTCACCCTGTAACATAAAAAAAAATCTTTTTTTTTATATTTAGGGACTTTGAATCTCAGTGTGGTATACATTGTGTATTTTATGATTAAAAGTCAGTGCAACAAAATAAAATGTTATGATTTTTACTTATAAGGAAAAAAAATACAGCAAAGATAAAATAACACTCGTTCTGGAATAAACCAATGTCATAAATGTCGCTAATGTCTTTCCTTCACTGAATTTTCAGGGAAATAGGATATTTCAGAATTAATATAAAACTGGTACAATTTTATAAGGAGGTTACAAAGTGAGAAAATAAAAAATCTTACTCAAAATAATCTTCATACATAATGCAGATGTTTCATGAATAACATGTAGAGTAGATCTTTGAGAAATTGAGATTTTATAACATCTTAGGGTCACATTTCCAATTGATATCTTTCAACAGAAAAGTATGAGGATGTTTTACTAAAATGTAGTATACTTAATTACAAACCACTTGATCATGGTGAATATTATAGTGAATATTGATATGTTAATCAGTACAACAGTGAACAGAAAAAAGTAAGTTGCCATGTGTGAGTATTTTGACCTAAGGATTATTCATAACAGCAGTATGAAATAGTGGATACAAAGGTTGACTCTGATATCACTGCTATGAACTCCTGAGCTGAGACTAGAATACACAAATACTTGACACACCCAGAGAGCAAAATAAACATTTTTTAAAATGTACCATTGTTAGAATTATTGTTATATATCTTCCTTTGTTTTCATTTCTTCTAATCCAACTATTAATGTGTTTTTGTTTGTTTCCTAGGGTAGAAAAGAGTATAATAGTATTCCCACACCTCCCATCATTTGATTCTTCTCTTGCATAATCAAACCAAGTTGGTAAGGGAAGCAATGAACATTAAACTCTCAAGGACCTAATACAGAAAACATTTATCTGGCACAACAAAAACAAACTAGAAACATGTATGTGTATTGATTGCACAACAGGACTTATGATAATTGTATGGTTACTGGGTGTTTTTAACTATTGTCTATTTTAAACAGAAGTTATTAAAAAATAAATCCCAAATGCAGCTTTCAATATTTGAAACTCTTGCTAGTTATGTGGAATATACTTTTGCTTTCAGAACAAGTGAGCATTTAAAAAAAAAAAGCTTTTAATTGAAGTTGAAGAAAATTTAGAGTATGATAAATTAAAAAAAAAAAAAAAGATATTTTTAAAAATGTAACAACCAGTTTTAACCCAAAATAAATTGAACAGTAAAGTCATTAAGTTAAGAATTAATAATACTGATGTGAGGCTTAAAACAGATTAAATGCACACCAGTTAACATGTATTCATTCATAAATATGTTCATAAGTATTGCCACTGTGTATTTTTAATTTTTTTTTTTTATGTACAAGAAAACTGTACCTAAATTTCCCTTTTCTTTGAAAAATATTATTTATAATTAAATGAAAACTGAATGTTGTGATTAAAATTAGATAGGGTTATTATTAAAAATCAGATAGGGTATAGTTTTTATTTCAAAACCTGATTAATAGTTTGAACTCTAAATACACTTTCTATATTAAAATAAATGTAAATATAAATACATGATACATGAATAAAAGGGTGCAGGTAAGGTGTTGGGTATATATAAGCAGAATACACTTTATCAAACTGCCCTTCAAAAGGCAGAGGTGTATGAACATGCCCAAGTTATTAATACACATTGAAATGATAATATTGCAACACACTTAAAAAAAATAAAGTATTAATCGATACCTACATCAAAACATCCTCAAAACTAAAACATTATTATAAGTAAAAGTATAATGAGATGTGCTTACATAATAATACTCTAGTTATGTAGTTGTGGCAGGCATTAAAAAATTAATGCAAAAAAAATCTGTCCCATAAAACATTTATATTGATTTTCTAAGTATATGCTAGATCTTGTGAGTTAAATTAAAAAAAAGGCAAAGAAAAATAATGTGAATGGCCACTTAAAATATATATTCTATGTTTATTTTCACAAAAACTAATTTTAAAAATGTTCTGAGATCCTGGGAGAAAACAATTGCATTATCTACCCTGCAGACAACCTTAGTGAGAGTAAACATTATTGCTGTGGGTTTTTCACAACATACTTTGAATTTGAAATACTTCAAAAGAAGATATGCCAGGGAAAAAAACCCACAAGCTGTAAAATAAAAACATTTCAAATGAAAATGTATCAAGAAAATGCTATAACACTGGCCTTTGATGACATAAATGAAATAAATTTAACATGATGTGAAGGAAAGAGGCTTGATTCTATTAAACTCAAGATCATATATTCTACCAACAAAAACATATGTCCTGAAAAATAAAAAACTTTTCATTATGATGTAAAACTTTATATTTCATGAGTCATTTCACTGTGGGTTTAATTGTATAAAAATGTATACAGCATCCACAAAGACCTAATTTTTTCACAATCACTATGTATAAAAATAAATGTATAACAGTTATAAAATTGACACACAAGTTGAATAGCACCACACAAAGTAGACGAATATTAGTGTAAATTACAGATCAATTATATCTTGTAAAAACTGTCGCTAGCATTCATCTCAGTTGAACAATTATACAAGAATAGTGTGATAGTCACTAAATTAATAAGTAAATAAACTGTAAGAAACAACAGTTACTTTACTAAGGGCAGTCAGGACAAATTGTTAAACTGGCAGGTGGACTGATAACAATTTAGAAATATTTCTTATATTATATTCTATAGAATGTATGTGGGTTTTTACAGTGGTGAATATTGCCTTTTAATGAATATCCTATAATAGAAATTTATAAAAATTAAAGTTTGTATCATTAACATAGAGCTAAAATCTTTCTGGTTTTATCCTGCTTAAAAATGATGTGGTTAAATTACATCACTGTAGACTAATATTACACTGATTGTATTAAATGGCCTCTGAAAATAAGACATTAATACTGATACAAAATGTAATATCAAGACATCTAGCAAAACTAACACATGTCTTGTGATTTAAACTTGATCTAGTTTTTTTTTAAATTTACTTTTAGAAACCTATCTGATAAATACAATATATAATACCAAGACAGCATGCCTAGCACAACTGATATATCTTGTGATTTTTTTAAAAACTATAAATCAAATTTAGTTTACTTTTTGAGAGACAAATCTTAATTATCAAAAAAGTTAAAAAAAACGTTCTGAATGACTTTTATAAAGGGTAGTGGGTGGATCATCAATGTAACAAAAAAATAAATAGTTTGGGCGCCAGCTATAGAAGAAAGCAGTCACAAACTGAGCAGGTCATCCACAGACATAGTGCGTGAGAAAGCCTCATAACAAGCAGAGCCAGCCATATATTTCTGTACGCCATCCTCTAAGTCATCTTCTTTGAGGTCTGTACCAAAGGATGGCATTTTTTTAATACGATTCTCTGCCAGCCTACATTAGTACAAGAACAAAAAGTTATTAGAAATACTACACTAAAGTAGTCAGAGAAAAAGCAAAAGAAATGAAGATTTTTATGTTAATTAATATCTCTCACAAATTCTTGTTATTTCATCCTCTCTATTCCTATTATTTAAGCAAATCAATAATCTTAGCCAAGAATAGTAAACTATAATATAAAATAGTGGAAAATTAATTGTTTATCCATTTTTGTAGCAACACAAGAAGTAATAGTGTGGCATCACTGTGCCCAGCTAACTACTCAAGTCAGTGACTCATTCAGTGGGAGTGGACATAAGGACATCCAACAAAAAAAAAGGCTGGTAGACTGAACCGGATATTTTCAGGACAGCAATCACTTACCACACCATCCTGCATTTCTTTGCAATAAATGTAGAAAGTAAGTAGAAAGTATTTTGTTTATTTTACACTTCTACAAAGAACTAACCTTGAAAACATTTCATCTATGTCATCATCTGTGTCATCAAAACTTTGCTGAAAATACAAAGTGCACTAGTCAAATAGAGATAAAAGGATGACTATCTTAATATTAAACAAACATCTAAATACATGTTAATCAATGTTTATACAAAGTTATAGTTTTTTTTCAAAATTTTGATGATTGAAATTATGAAAAAATGGCTTCAGATGTTTATCTAACATAGTTACCATAACAATGCAAAGAAAATGTATCTGCTTAATGGAATTAAAAAAGAAAAAACTTGAATATTTACCCAGTTTTTTCTATGCCCAATGCTCTGGCTCTTAAGGGGAGAAATATCTACACAAAACAAAATTACAAATAAATTATCCTGGAACAAGAAATATAATAACTATTATGAATGCTTATGATATAAGGACAACATAAAATGTGTACCAGACTGGTTATCCTAAAACTGTTTCTCCAATATACTTGTAATTTATTATTAAAAATTAAGCATCCATATATGACTATCGAGTTCCAATGTAGTTTCTGCACATTAATGCTTCAAGATACCCCTTTTAAAATCCAGAATTATATTATTTTAAAATCCATAAAGAAGCTCATCATAAGATATTGCCCAGCTTAAAAATTAAACATTTCAAACTAGTTCACAAGTAAAAACTGCTAACTATTTAAAAAAAAATCAAACCTGTAGAAATTTCAGGTGTCATTGGTGGTGAGGGCGTGGAAGTGAATGAAATAAGTGGAGCTGAATTGATGCTTGAATCATTACTTTTCTTGAAAACGATTTCTTGAGACTGAATCTAAAACAATAAAACCAAATGGATTATTTCGGTTAATCTGACATTACTTACTCATGATTTGCTATTTTAATTTGTTGTGGCTTTAATCATTCATCCAATTTTTCAAAGAAATACAATTTTAAAAATACCTTTTCTTTCTTTGCAGCATCTTTCATGGCTTTCTTTAGTTTTTTATTTGCTTGCCATTTTTCTTGAGCTATAGTGAAAGCTTGAGAAACTGTGAGTGTGACAGCCTGTGCCTGAAGTTAAACAAATGCAAGATAATTATTTTTTCTTAATCCTTTTACTAATGACTTTTAACTAACATAAAATTGCGATTTGAAAAAAATAGGATTAACACATACAATTTTTATTTTTGCACACAAAAATGCATGGCATTCCATAGTTTCATTTGTGGTGTTCCTTGCAATGTAGGCAAAAACGTGGTCATGGTTTTTGTCAGCAGTGCAGAATGATATTCTAATTTAAAAAAACAAATCGTGAAATGTGACATTAGCAACATTTTTAAAACTATCATTTCTGGATAACTGTAAAGAACATAACCTAGTATCGACAAGCACATCTTATGAACCTCTCATTCCTATGAACCACCCCATATCACCAAATTTGGTTCTACAAAAATGGGGCTTTGAAATTGAATAATTTAAAAAAAAAACATCTTTATAAAAAATAAATGGCTTTGTGATCTTTATTTGAAACAACGGTTAAGTAAATCTTAAAAGAAAATTTTGAAATGTGCAATGTTGTCAAAATTACAACCATTCACAATAGAAAACTGTATTTTAAAAATAAGAAAAAATTCAAATAATACCACCCCTTTCCACATGTAACAATACAAAGCCCCTTATGCCCCTTCATGTGATGTAATGCATGCATAATCCATAATAAGTAAGGTATTAATACTATTTAAAAAATACTAGATCTAGTATTAAATAATATCTAGCATACTTATGTTCTTGTAAGTATTAATATTTTAAAGCAATATTACCTGTAGATTGAGATATCAAACATAACCTGCTTCGTTGTCATGTCTACTGTGCGGATGCCTTTGGGAGACACAGTTAAAGCTGTTTTTCTTAGTTTTTTCCCAGCTGATTTGGCCTATATAAATTTGGAAAAAAAAAAATTTAGGTAGTGATCAGTGAAATATTTGTGGACATTTTAACAGAAATTTAAAAATAAAAGTAATATTTGACGTAGAACTGAATTCTAATTATTAGATACTGTACAAAAGTAACGGAGCTAAAAAAAAAATATGTATGAACTGATCATCCATAGGATAAAATTAACTTATTTAGAATGATACAGAAAAAGGCATCTATTAAGCTATATATTATAATTAAAGAATGAACCTTTAAAACTAAATTTAAATAAAATTAACTGCATGAAATCTATTCTATTACAATGTTTTCATTTTCAGCATTATCCACTAATTCTAATTAATTAATCTCAACAAAAAGAGATTACTAATACAATAATTACTCATTAAATAGTAGAAAGTCCCTGAGATATTTAGCAGTATATAATAATCTAACAATTCTTACCATAGCTGTGATAGTATGTACTGCTTTAGCGCTGATGCCATCTCCATATGTCTGGTCTGAATGGAGCTCTTCTACAAGAGTTGATCCTATATACTTTAAGTAAAATGTCACCCCTTCTACAACTGGCTCACTAACATCACCCCATCCTTCAGGAATTTCTAAAAAAAAATTTGAAAAAAATAAATATGGTGATTTACATTTCCATTCTGATCATGAATTGATTTTCAATTTACAAATAATAAAATAACAAGGTTATAGACTAAAGCTGTAGTGTTGTATAGGTGCTAATTATACTATTTTTGTGTTAGACTATAATTCGCCTCGCCCACTACTAACACATTTTTATGCCAATTATGAATTTAATCAATTAGGGTCTAATTTAAATTGATTTTTAATCAGTCAGAAATCCTTCCATCAATAACTCACTCAGGTAATCTATCGTCGAGGCTAGTAATGTGCGAAAACGTTGCCTCATTGTTAGGGCTTTAGTAAAAGTATATTGTGATATATTTGTGTCACATATTAAAGATAACTGAATAATAAACCAAAATCAATGGCTAAATATATCAATATAGGCAAGAAATTAACTTTAAACAAAAGTGTTTGCGAGCAAGATTTACTATATAAACAGCGGCCATCTGTAAGTTTCCCATGAATCACTAACTATAATTTTACAAAAAAATAAATTAAACAAGATGGCTGCTAAAGTAAATGAGCTTGGTTGCATCTGATAAAAACATCAATAGTCTTTACTTTTTACTGAAAAGTTTTAATTTAATTGTTGAAGAAAGGTACATTAATCATTATTAATGAAACTTTGAAACATTTTTGTAACTTTCAAAACATAAATTTTCCTAAAACTGTGAAATAATTAAAAACATTTAATGAGTCACCTTTTTTCACATTACTAGTCTCGGCTGATTTTACGTACCTAAAATGATAGATTAATATTAATAATAATTTAATAATACCCTCAATCAATAATCAATATTGTTGACAAGGAAGGATGAAAATTTGTCGAGTTTTTGTCATTTTTGCTTTCATAGTGACAGTAAAAAAATATTAAATAAACAAAGCTTTAGGCTAATATTAAATAAACAAAAAAAATTAATAAGAATCAATGCTAGATCTAGAAATCTAGACAAGTGAGTGGCAAATAAATGCAGATAACTTGAAAATAATTTTTTTTTTATTTTTTGTGTTTTTAGAACTTATATTTTTAACTTAAAGGTGAAGACCTAGACTCTAGACTATGATCTAGCACTCTAAACTTAGTTTAGTAGGCTATTCTTTGGGAACTCAGTTTTTAAGAGGAAATTTAGATAGCCCATTAACTTTAATTTGTATCTTTTTCTTACTCGAATGCTTTATTTTCCCTTGATCTTTAGTTACGTTTGGTGACTTCCTCACAACACGAAGCAAGGCGTCCATTTTGGATTCCATAACATTGATAATGACCTTTGACCTTAATATCTCACACAACACACCATAAGAGGGGGACCTAGTTAGGCCTAGCCCTAAATGTAAAGTCGTTTAGTAAAAGGGGGGGGGGGGAGAATTAACATACAGTAAATTTGAGCGAGTGAATAATTTCAATAACATTTCATTACCCAGATATAGATCTACTATTTAACTAAAATATTACACATATAGCAGTATGTGCGTAAAAACTGTTCTTTGTTTAAAAATAAAATAAAAATTACGAAATCTTGCTATCAAGTACAATTAATCGAGTTGTTTTAAAAGCTATTTATTATATTTCTAATATAATTTTAATTAATTAATCTAGGTATAAGGCATATTCTCAATACTGTGTTATGTATAGTTTTTGCATACCATATTTGGAACTTTTTTCAAATTCTATTTTCAAAGCCGCATGATCAAGATTATCTGTGAATCTTTAAAGGATGAGTAATCAGTTGAATGGCACAGGTATTTTTGTTTATCTTCATTCATTGCTACCGTATCCGCCCCTGTCTCGCCCACACCCTCAGTCCCTTATTTGGTTTACACAGCGGCTTGGGTGGTGTCCATAAAAATATATCCACCCATTGTTTATTTAAATTAATACCGACATGGATCCTTGTCTCTTCACATCAGACTAACTCATTGCTCTTTAGTCCAAACAGTTCATACGCAGTGGAGTAAACGTATATGCCTAATAGCCCTGTGCCATATTATACTTCGGGCGTCTTATAATTAAAATACACTACATAATCTTTGAAACAATCCCGAATATATATATATATATATATATATATATATATATATATATATATATATATATATATATAATAGGATCTAGACTTCGCTTACTGTACGGTAAAGAATAAATAAAATATATCTAACTACTATAGTATATTATTATAATTTGCTCCAACCACGCACCACCTTTTAAACTCGAATGAGGCATCACGATTTTACCTTTTGAACTCTTTTTCCATCCTCTTATCCTATTGCAAGGCTGCTAAGAAATTAAAGCAATGACTAATTTTATTAAGCAACTATAATCACCGCCATACATCAAATGAGAGATGAACATTTGCAACTTGTTGGTAGTGCAGTTAGACATTTTTTCTCCGGGGGTGGGGGGGGGGGGGGTGAAAAGGTGAAACTTTGGAGAAGGGTGAAAAAGGTTAAAATTTTCTAGGGGGGGGGGGGGGGTGGGGGGGGGGGGCGACGGACACTGGTTAAAGTATATATTTCCTATAGGCCTATAAATTATAGATTTTTCTTCTTTCGTTCATTAAGGGTGGGGGGGGGGGGCTTCGGAGGGGGCACTGCTGTTAAGGAACCCTGCTTATAACTTTAAATTGTAGTATTTATAGTCTATAATATTGCTCTTTCAAACAGGGGGGGGGCGGCTGAAGAGATGCCTGGAAGAAACTCTGATTGGACTAAAAATCGCACGTCGTCTTTTATGGATGTCAGTAACACTAACAATCCACGCTTTTTTGCTATTTTTCTTATGCTCCGACTTCCTTAAGGGGATATAATCAAGCAAGACTGAGATTAACGAAAATATTATTGGAGTTTTTTCCCTTGGTATACTTTTTTTTTAAAGAAAATTAATATTTTACTTCAGCTTTATTTCTATGACAATTACATATTTTGTAAATACATTTTAAAAAACCAATAAAGTGTCGTCACAACCTTTTTCTTTGAAATTGAACAAAACAAAAATGATTTTAAAAAGAAATAAAACGAACAATTGATTTAAAAATAGCTTTCGGTTGTTTTTTTAAAGTGAAACTGAAACAGATGTTTAGGCTAGCCGATTATCATCACTTGAATATTTAGATTTAAATATTCTTCCGTAATTAAAAAAATACGTTTTAAAAATAGTATTTGGCCTAACAACAATTATTTTTATTGACACATTTTAAAAGATTTCCATTCACCTAACATTTAAAAAAAATATCGCTTTTGACACTTTTGTAATAGGAAATTTCCGTTATTTGGCATACTAAATCTGTTTGATATCTTCAATTACAATAAGACGGTCGATCTAGATCTAAAATCAATACTTGCAAATCAAGACACTTTTTATGAGGTTAAAAGTATAATTTGACCCTTATTCGCCTATGGTCTAGATCTATACTATAAAACCAACCATTCTTTGGTACTATAAATAGAAAAATAAAATTCCGGCTTTTCTAAGAAATATCCACACGGTTTTTAAAAGGTTGATCTAGTAGGCACAGCAAACACATACTTGGACACGCTTGGACTTATAAATGTAATTAAGTAGCCATACGTTAGTTAAAGTAAGAATAAAAATGTAGTTTAAGTGTGATGTGTAGAAGTGAATTATACTATTATAGTGTAACATATATTTGGTGTAAACTATTTATCATATAGGCCTACTTGATCTAATTATTTCTAATATAATCTTATACACTCAATAAATAGCAAAGTAATACTAAGTTATAAATAGTCTTGTCACTTCACTACTGATATGGAATTTATAGATCTAGCAGAAAGCTAGCTCGAGTCATACTTATTTTTGGGGTGTGGGGAAATTGCGAGACGCGAAAAGCGAAATGGCGAGGCGGGAAAATGCGAGAAGATCATGCGAGACATACCTGCGGAATCAAGGGTAAATAGCGAGAAACTTTTTGCGAAAAAAAAGTTTTTTTTCATGCTTATTTCATCTTTATTTATTTAAATTATTTTTTTTTTTTGTTTTAAAATAAACTAGCATGTAGCCATACCCTTTAACACGAGTGTTGTATGTTGTTATTTTTTATCTAGATTTTATTATATATATATATAGATAGATAGATACTAAGAAGATAGATAGATCTATATCTAGATCTATTAAAAAATCCTAACATCGTTGCTGTGCTACTGTCATCGCCCGCTCTCGTTAGCGAGAGGAAAATCCCGTTTCAGTCGGCATTAATTTTAAAAATCTAGCCCGCTCATGTTTATACATTGTGAATTGGTATAATTTTGTCAGCAGGAGAGATTTTCTGCAAGTGTAAAAGTATAAACAATTCTAAAAAGTGTAGGCCTAATTTATTTTTTTATTAAGTAATTTTAATTACAAACAAAATTTACAAACAAAATCTTCTGAAACAGTCCTAGCATTAATCAAACACACCTCGTCACACCATCTTTCACACATAGTACATCCAACCCACCAGTTCATTAGACTCCCATTTATACTGTGCTAACACAGAACACGAATATGAACACAATGGGAAAAAAAATGTGCGTCTGTAGATAATCTGAATAAAGTCCGCTATCGACAAAACTACCATTTAAAAGCTAAAAGAGGTCATTCATAAATGACGTCACGCTTTTTTGACGATTTTTACCCCCTCCCCTCCGTCACACATTTTCACAAAAATCCAGACCCCCCCCCCCTTCCTAGTAAAATGACGTCACACCTCAGTCTACAACCCCCCTCAAAATTGCAGTTGAATTTTTTTTAAAACATCGATATTTTCCTAAAATCTTGTCTAATTTCTGTCAAAATAGAGTATTTTAATCAATTCCTATTACAATTTATGAAAACAGTTTTCTAAAACGCGAAAAACGTCTAAAATTCTTTTTCTAACATAGCTTTTTAGTGTGACGTCACACATTTCTATGCAACAATACAAAATATGTTTGCGGCGGCACGGCGATCTTCAAAGACGGTAAATCAGGCGGCTTCGGCGTTCCACACAAAAGAAAGAAGTTGATCTATCGTCGGCGGTATTTCCGTCGGTTTCGAACAAGGTGGTATTCTAAGTCGACACAAAAGATGGGGGGAGGGGGGAGTTGACAAATCATCAGTATGTCTAGCGACGGAAAAATCGGAAGTTTTAACAATGTAAACGAAACGTCTTTGACGTCTGGACCAAATACCACTGAAAATCGGGTGCGTGTAAATTTTTCGCAGAAATCTTCGCATTTCAACACCACCCAGCGTAAGTATCGGGTTGTGGTAAAATGCGAGAAAAAAAGTCACGTGACTGACAGTTTTCGCGCCCTTCTCGCATTTTCCCGCCTCGCCATTTCGCTTTTCGCGTCTCGCAATTTCCCCACACCCTTATTTTTGTATTTCAAAATGTCTTTATGGTAGCTATAATTTACTATAAATAGACATACAAGATTCTAGATAAGTAGTCTAGTTTAGCTCGAATTAAATATTAAGTAGAATGAAAATAATCGTTTGAGTAATTTTTATATTTCCCCATCGATCTATTATACTTATAGTATAGAGATGACTAGATCTAGATCTAGATCTATACAATACTACTACTAGGCCTAGATCTATACATTATACAACGCCAACGGAAATTCTGTAACACGGGACTGACGTGTTACATTCACTAACACGCATATTGCTGTATATTTAGGGGGGGGGGGCTGACGTATTACATTAACACGCATATTGCTGTATATTGCGCAACAATTTAAGAACATTTATATGAATTATTTGATTTAAAAATATAGTTATGGCTTTATATAAATGTTTTGACCCAAACCAATAGCCATATGCTGCTTAATTTACACTGGGTAACTATGGAACATACTTTTCCTGGCTTATATTTTATATATTTATTCTATAACAGTGATACAACATTGTTTTCTATTAACGTTTTGTAGCACATATGTCGAAATGTGATTATTTTTAATATTATGTAACATGTAAACCTATGTAACATGTAAACCTATGTAACATGTAAACATATGTAACATGTAAACATATGTAACATGTAAAACTATGTAACATGTAAAAACTTATGTAACATGTAAACCTATCTAACATGTAAACATATGTAACATGTAAACCTATGTAACATGTAAAAACTTATGTAACATGTAAACCTATGTAACATGTAAAAACTTATGTAACATGTAAACCTATCTAACATGTAAACATATGTAACATGTAAACCTATGTAACATGTAAACCTATGTAACATGTAAACATATGTAACATGTAAACCTATGTAACATGTAAACCTATGTAACATGTAAACTTATGTAACATGTAAACATATGTAACATGTAAACCTATGTAACATGTAAACCTATGTAACATGTAAACATATGTAACATGTAAAACTATGTAACACGTAAAAACTTATGTAACATGTAAACCTATCTAACATGTAAAAACCTATGTAACATGTAAACCTATCTAACATGTAAAAACCTATGTAACATGTAAACATATGTAACATGTAAACCTATGTAACATGTAAAAACTTATGTAACATGTAAACCTATCTAACATGTAAACATATGTAACATGTAAACCTATGTAACATGTAAACCTATGTAACATGTAAACCTATCTAACATGTAAAAACCTATGTAACATGTAAACCTATGTAACATGTAAAAATCTATGTAACGTGTAAACCAATATAACATTTAACCCTGACCCTGTAAACCTGACTATGTAACATGCCATTGTAAATTAGACCCTAACACTATGTTCCTGCTTAGAGTCCCCAGCGACCGCTACAAAACTATCCATGAAGTTCTGACAAAGCTGTAAATCTACACCGCTCGGAGATCTCTGTAACAACAGTAAACGCCTAGTGAGTACAGTTTGTTCCACTCTCCTCCACCTACCCAATCTACACAAATATTAATACCTGTTTTATTCTAATGTTAATGCAATGTCAGTGTATTAAAGTGAACTGCTGTTGCAAGGGTTCATCTAATCGTTAATCCTGTAAAAATACTGATTTGTATCAAGACAATTGCGAGATAGTAGGCCTTATTATATGATTTTTAAAGTTGTAATCCTAATGATACTACGGATATAAACAGTAGCTTATATTAGAGCTGGACTGCTTACCCGTAAGTCTCGAGTTCGAATCCGGGTTTCAAGTCAGTAGACCGTCCCTGAGTCCACCTAACTCACGTTAGGGAAAGTAAAGGCGGCTGGGCATAGTGCTGACCACACTATCTCTTCATATGCCGAGGTCACAGAAACAAGTGAACTCTACTTCACTTGCCCTATAGACCGTCAGGTTTGAAAGGGAACTTTACCTTAAATGGTGTGTTATGTGACTCCGTTCTAGCCTAGTCAACTTCTCTAAAAAAATTGGCGATAATTATAAAAATAAAATCTGCTAACAGGCCTAAAACCTAAATATTTATTTACTTGCATAATTTCTTACTACATCAAAGTGTCTAAGAAGAGTGGCCTACGTGTCTGAATAAAGCCAAAATATTTTGTTCTCGACGTCATTTACCAACAAGAAATCGATGTGTTTTAAAGTACTTATTTAAACCGGTAATCGTTTTAGTTTATAATCACAACGATTAAGGTCAAAAGCTGGAGCTGTGTCGTGTGAGTCATTTTCGTGAAAGTGTAGCACACTATTTTTTTTTATTTGTGTAGGTTTGAGTCATCTCCGTTGAGGTTATTTTTAGCAAAGCGAAAATTTACACCAGGGGTCTCCAAACTTTTCAGTCCGAGGGCCGCATTAACTATCAAATTTCAGTTCGGGGGCCAGTTTCTTCCAGGCATGTCGTGATTTTCTGAGCAAGTTCCTCAGCCATCACCAACAAACGTTTTTTTTTTCCGTGGACAAAAAGATCTCCGCGGGCCGGATGAGAGGACCTCGCGGGCCGCATCCGGCCCGCGGGCCGTAGTTTGGAGACCCCTGATTTACACGCTCGCTTCTTAGATCCTCTGCGGTGCTTCTTCCAGACTTTTTTCTCCGGGGGGGCACTTGAAATCTTCGGGGGGGGGGGGGGGGCGGTAAACTTTCTTCGGGGGGGCGGACACTGTTCAAAGTATATAGAAGAGATGCATGATAGAAACTCTGATCCTGTGTTATGTGCCTATTTGAGAAAGGGAGCTCATGTACTTATTTCTTAGATCGCGATCTTTACCTTAATGAAAGGGAGGTAATGTATTTATATATTAGATCACGTGTTCTTTACCTTAATGAGAAGGGAGCTAATGTATTTTTTTAAACAAACGTAAAAATATAAAACATCAGATACCCTACGATTAAAACTACAACTATACCATTAAATTGTGTCGTTTTAGCCGTCGTACCACAAAGATGCCATGCCTTGAAGATTTCGAAGATTACATGCAAGTCACAATAATATTCGAGCGGCCAAAGTATAAATCGATGTCGATTTACCGAATGGAATTGCCAAGAGATGCACCCCTGTCGGAGTTGAAGTATATTTTGCAACCAAAGGTAATCAGACAATGTTTTATCTTTATCTAAGCGTAAAACACTGCTATTTTGTTGTTTTTAAATAACAGACTTAAAAACCTTTTCACGCTTTCTTTTTGTATACATTTATCATACAATGAACGCTGATATATATATATATATATATATATATATATATATATATATATATATATATATATATATATATATATATATTATATATATATATATATATATATATATATATATATATATATATATATATATATATATATTATATATATATATATATATATATATATATATATATATATATATATATATATATATATATATATATATATATAAACATATATACATATATATATATATACATATATATATATATATTTATATATATATATATATATATATATATATATATATATATATATATATATATATATATATATATATATATATATATATATATATATATACATATATATATATACATATATACATATATACATATATACATATATACATATATATATATATACATATATATATACATATATACATATATACATATATACATATATATATATATATATATTACAGTTGAAAACAGAAACAACAAGACAAGTATGGCAGTACAAGGGTACTGAACTTGACAACGACTCTACCCTATGGAACAGTGAAGTCCGAGAAAACGACAAAATAGTTGTTAAGGTTCTTACGTGATGGTATATGACTGGGTTTTTTATCACTGTGATGGTGTGTACCGCAGAGCTTAAAGTATACGGGAAATTAATTGCTTTGTTAACTATTTTACCTATGTACATTTTTTTTTAAAAATGCCTTTTTGAAAATAAATATTTCACAATTTTATTGAGTTTTTAAAGCGCTATCATATAATTTGCATTGTCAAGAAATTGGTTCAATTGAAGTGATTAAGATTGTATCCACTCTAAAAAAAACGCAAGTGATTTTTATAACCATAGGCAGAGGCGTAGCGACCCTTCCCGGCGCCCGGGGGACAAACTTTTCGATTTGCACCACCCCCCTCAAGATTTCGATGTGCACCCCCCCCCCCCCCCTCAAACTCGATTTGCACCCCCCCCCCCTCAAGATTTTTATTTGCAACCCCACCCCCCCTCAAACTTTCGATTTGCACCCCCCCCCTCAAACTTTCAATTTGCACCCCCCCTCAACCTTTCAATTTATTTTTCCAACCCATTTTGGCGCCCCCTAAGGTCGGCGCCCAGGGACATATGTCCCCCCCCCCCCTCGCATCGCTACTGGCCATAGGCTTTCATTTTTTAAACGTGTAGTTTACATAGTCATTCTAATGACAATGTAATAATCATTACATTTCTACCCATTCGTAAAGTCAATTAGTTATTACAAAGATTTTGAAATACATTAGCCTAAATTAACTAAATACTGTCAAATAACACATAAACAGATATAGCGAAAAGACTAATATGAAGGGTTTAAACCAGTGGTTCTAATCCTTTTTTGGAAGTACCGAACCCCACCAGCTTCAAGTGCACATTCACCGAACCCTTCTTACTAGGAAACAAAATATGATTTTTTAAAAATTCAAAACTTAAGTATATATTTGACTGGTGTACAAAATGAACCGTGGATCAACATCCCTGTGTTCAAAGAACGAAACCATAAAAATGATTTCCACAAAAAAAAAAAATGAATATTCACTTCAAATCAATGTGACTTCTGCTGATGTCTTTCAAACACCAGTTCAGAAATGAGCGGTTTCGCCTTGGTAAGTTTCACTCTCGTGACATTTTCGCAACAAATTATGTTCCTTTTCTTCGTTTTAATGTCCAGCATCCTCGAACATGATTACGATATGAAAATCTCCAGCGCTTTCTTAACCATAACAGGGTACCTTACCATATGTTGACACCAAAACGTTGAGAGCAATGTTGTTCTGAAGAGTTGCTGCTAAACCTGGCTCAGCTGAATTTTAATCATTTTTCCAGGATTTCACCATTCTCATCCTCTCATGTCTCAACACTTAACGTGATCGTTATCGCACAAAATTTTGTTGACTTTGAAGAAGTCATCCAAAAGTCATCTTAAGTTGTTGTTGTTAGAGCTATACAAAATTTTCCCCAAACACGTCTTCTTTCACACAGCGCAGAAATACGTAATTTTTTTTTTAGCTTAAAGGCTGACTTTAAGAAGGCTGAAAATTAGATCTGCAACTACTTGAGTCAATATATTTTTGCACTTGTCCTCTATTCAGTCGCTGAAGGTGTCATTTGAAAGAGTAATTTGAAAAAACTTCAGCAGCTTTCCCTAGCATGATATTCGCCATCTTCAACACAGCTGATTTTATGTTTCACCAATGGCGTGTAATAGGCCCTACCCGGCGATCAGGTATCAACTTCGTAAGATGCTTAGGGGAATCGGTTTGCTGATGGGTATAAAGCCAGTCGAGAACAGGCCGAGCAACCTTTGCATCGAATCTGGCTATGTTTCATCTTGAATTCAGCGAACGTTGTGTTCTTGTATTTTTCCATCTCCATGCAGCTTTACCATTACGACAGTCACGAGTCATTACTAGGCCACGATATAGGGGGAAAAAAGTATAATCGTCACAGTACGACCAACTAATTTTATCACCGCACTAGCAAAATCCGATCGCAAATCAAATGAGTCGGGTGAGTGTCTTGACCTCCGCCAAACCACTGAGACTGTTCGATGGAACCCAAGTTAAAAATCAGTTGTCTCCCGTTGGAATTAAATACTTTAGCGTCCGGGCTCACGGGTTCCCAGACTTTTTCGATTGGCAACCCCTTTTTAAAAAAATAAAAGCCGTCTGCGACCCCCATAAAATTACGAAATAATATTTTGTTTGGGTTTAAAGCCTACAAGTTGCGACCCCGAAAAGAACCCTTCTCACCCCCCCCCCCCGATTGATAACCTTTGCTAGCTGGTGACTAATGGTTTCATATGATCAGTCAAACTACAACTCGAATTATTGACCAGTATTGTACATGACTTGGTCGCTCGTTCACTACCGTTTCAATGTTGTCTTAACTCGATATTCTATGCTGTAATTGTGTTTACGCTAGTGAGTTCAAATTGTTTTCTTGGAAAATAAAAATTCAATATAAAACTGTCTATGTTTACCTGATTGATTTTGTAAACTTGTATGTAAAATACTTATGTATGTGTGTGTGTGTGTGCGTGTGTGTGTGTGTGTGTGTGTGTGTCGATATTACCATGTTACACAATGTAAAACAAAACATTCATTTTATTATTGACGGCAGTGTTTCTTTCAGACAATTGAAATGTGGATGGCAGAATTACACTGGTTAAAGTATATATTTTATTATACAACTTATTATTTTTCGGAGGTAGGGGAGCGGTGGACTTGCTTCGAAGAGATGTCTGAAGGAAACTGAGAGACAGTAGATTTGGGATTATATTATATTTGTCACACCTTTAACGTTAACCAAAACCAGGGGTCTCCAAACTTTTCAGTCCGAGGGCCGCATTAAATATCAAATTTCAGTTCGGGGGCCAGTTTCTTCCAGGCATGTCTTTGATTTTTCTGGGCAAAGTTCCTCAGCCATCATCAACAAACTGTTTTTTCCGTGCACAAAAAGATCTCCGCGGGCCGGATGAGAGGACATCGCGGGCCGCATACGGCCCGTGGGCCGTAGTTTGGAGACCCCTGACCAAAACGATAAAACGATTAATGCTTAATTTATAAAACTGCGTGACAATTTGACACTATCACATATTTTATGAAGTGGCGGGAATAAAACATGTAACCATTTCTCGAGCAGCGCAGTTTGGGGGTAACATCAAAATTCAAATTCGAAAGAAAGACAAACTTGGTACACATTAAACAATGCTTTATCGAGTTGGTCAATTGTCCTGACAATGTCTAAACTTTGAGGGTGTGACGACACTTCGGAAACCTTCACTCTTATAAATTATAATTACATCGTTTTACGTGGGTAGCGACCAACACTTAATTCAGTTTGTTGAAAACATCTCAGGAATATATCAACATAGATTCTCACCAAACTCTTGTCAAGGATCAACTTAAAACAAAAAGTCTGCATAAGGCTCTCGATTTTTTTTTGCCCCCTTCCAACACTAGCCCCAATTACAAGGTCTACATTCAATGAATTTGTGTTTTGACAACAAAATAATCAATATGCTAAAAT